AGAAGCAGCCGGTGTCAGATCGCCGCATGCAGCAGATGGCGATCGAGTAGTATAATTAAGCTAGCTAGCCGCTGCCGTGGCATGGTGCGCCGTTGCCGCCGGTCTCGCCTTGTTTGCACCCATTGCCTACCGGCGTGGTTGGGGTGCTGGTCTTCAGTATCTGCATGACGAACATCTCGCCGCCACCGCCTCCGCCACCGCCGGCGGCGGCGACGACGTCGCCCTTCAACGGCCTCGCCGCGAGGAGCACGCCGCAGCACTGCAGCAACACGGCCGCCACCATCACCGCCCTCACCATCGTCTTCGCCGACGCTGACGCCATTAATTATATGATTTCTTGATGAATTCTTAATTAAGCTAGCTAGCTAGGTGCTCGGCAATGGTGTAAAGCTCAGTGAGACGACGAGTGAATTGAATATAGCAGACAGAAAGTGCGTTTGCTGTACGTCGAATGGGTAGCTAGCTTGATTAAAGAAAAGAGTAATAGCTTGTTTAATTTGTTGGAGGAAATCAGACAACCTGGGCTTCCTTTTATAGTAGTACAGTTCATATATGTTCGTGACTTGACCACACGTTGAACTGCATGTACTAGTAAAAATCTTAACAGATGAACGGGTCTAATCGTACGAGTTTACCAGTAGTACTACTAATTAATTAACAACATAACATGCCACTGTACGCGGTTTTCAGCGCAGTCCATGTCCAAGGTTGAACACGAATAGCTAGTTAGGTTCAAGAAGACGTGCAGCAGCAGTTGTAGTGCTGCTACGCGTGAGTATTACTATGGAAGCTAAGGGGATGTTTGGTTGATGCCTAACTTTGCCATAACTAAGTTTAGGCTAGTTGTGGCATAGTGGCACAAATATGGCTTAGAAATAGTTGGCCACAAGTGTGGCATGCTTAGCTCTAAATTTGAGAGCATGACACGTGGGTCCCAAAGTGTGGCATAACATAATTGCGGCAGCGAACCAAACACATGCCTAAAAAACTATGGTATGACTAAAGTGTGGCGTGACAAAATATGGCAACGAACCAAACAGCTCCTAAGGCAAAGTTAATCAGTCATGTATATACAGTTACACTCCTACAAAGACCTAGTAGCCCCTCCGTCCCAAAATTAATGTAGTTTTACATTATTTATATTCAACGTTTGACTGTTCGTCTTATCTGAAAAAAAAAGTTTATGATTAGTACTTTTATTTTTATTAGGTGATAAAATATGAATATTACTTTATGTGTGACTAAATTTTTTAAATAAGACAGATAGTCAACCGTTGGACATGAATCTCCACGGTTGCATTTATTTTGAGATAGAGGTAGTGTGTGTATGATACTCCTTCCGTTTCAAGTTATAAGATATTTTGACTTTGGTCAAAGTCAAATTATTTTAAGTTTAACTGAGTTTCTAGATAAATATAGTAATATTTATAATACTAAATTAGTTGCATCGAATCAATAATTGAATATATTTCATAATAAATTTGTCTTAAGTTAAAAATGTTACTACTACTTTTCTCTACAAACTTGATCAGAGTTAAAGCAGTTTAATTTTGATCAAAGTTAAAACATACGAAGTACTAGTCATGTGCCTATGTAGGACCGTACGGACGTTCTGATTAATCCGTGTGTAACTCGACCTTGACCCCGATCGATCGAGCGTCCATGCCCTTGAATTGACACATTCGTTTGGACCGACCGACCAGTGAATCTTCCTCGATCGTAACGGCCGGGTTCGACCAGTTAATTAATTAGTTCCCTCTGAAACAAGCAACTTAACTCGATCGATCAGTAGCTACTACTAGTAAGCTCGTACATACACACGCACACGCACGTACTATACGCCTCGCCGAAAGACCGGACCGTTACTTACACACATACGAGTATACGACGAGTTGTGTAGACGTTTTCATGATACGATTGCGTGGGTTTCAAGAAAAGAATGATATACGAGTTGTGTACATACGCACGGCTCGGTATCGCCCATCGATCGATCGAACGCGATTTGGTCGGCTCTGTTCAGCTACGTACTACCTTCGTACACATAAAAAAATCGTTTAGGACAACGTTTAAGTCAAACCTTAGGAATATAAATCATGAATAACTCTCAAGTTGTTGAGTTTGAAAATATAAAAATTATATGAATAGATTTGTCTTGAAAAATAATACATATATCACTTTTTAATAAATATTTTTATAGAAAAAAGAAGTCAAATTTATGTTTTGAAGACCGTGTCGCTATTCTAAACGTCTTTCTTTACGAGTATGAGGGATTACTAATTCAGCGGTTTAATTAAGTTGATGCCTGCCGCTAGCTAGTCGCGGCGCGTGGACGACTGGTTGAATTCATGTGTAAATGCTGCAGTTTTCGCCGAATTCTGCGTGCGTGCGCGCGCGCGCGCGTGGTGCAGGGATCAGACTGATGCTGCGCATGCGTTAGAGCAGGCCGTGGCACAAGGCTCTGCGTCTGCTCGGCCAGGCCGGTCGTCCAGTGCGGATAGGGAACTGGGCTGAGAATTTGGGGCCGCGGCTGGGGGATTTTTTTAAGGGAAAATTGAAACCATCTCATTATAATTTAAATTACCCTTTTTTTTTAAGGACGAGGAGATGGGGGCATGAGGGGCAGATCCAGCACGAAGGCGACAGGGTTTCGAGCCTCCACTATTAGGTGAAAACGCCCCCACGAAGACTTTACTAAAATTTTTTACCATATGTAAATGGGAGGGGGAACGGTAACTCTATCTAGTTTGCTCAGACTCTAGTGCTATTTCTTTCTGGATCCGCCACTGAACACATGACTGGTTTCTTTTCATAGGTACCTGCCTAAAATCTAGACTTTTTAAATATGTGTATACCTAGCTCTTTAATTGATTTAGGTAGTCAAACTAGTTGATCAATCCAATACGGTTATGAAACATCTCCAAAATGATAAAGAATGTGTTAGCTTTCTCCCCCTCATCCTTTTCTCCTCGCTTTCTCCCTCTGCTAGGGGACGGCGTTCCCGCACAGTGTCGCTTTGCAAGGGAGACGGTGACAGCAGGAGACAACAGCGACAACATATCCGGATGTGCGAGGCGGACTCATGCACGCGACAATGGATCCGTGAGGGCAAGGCGAATGGCGGGTCCCCTCCTATTGGCCTCATCGTCCTCAACAACCGTGTGCACAAGGCAGGCTCGACTGACAAGCCATCGAGCCTTCCTCCCTCACTCCTCTCTCGCCGTCGAGCCGCCCTAGCAATGGCGCCCTCCCTCCCTTGGATGTAGAGAGGGCGGGGATAGAGAGAAGGGAAATGAGCATCTATGACGTGGGGCCCATGATTAGCCAATTTGGCCAATGAGGGGAGAACTTTGGCAGGTGGATTATCTTGGTCATCTGGATGGAGAGGTGTTAGAGGAGGATTTTTTTTTTCTAAAATTATTAAAATTTGGTTTACAAAATCAATTGAAAAGACTGTTAAAAACGCTCGAACTCGTATATTAGCCACGTTCAACTGCATGCATTGGAAACTAAAAAAAATTAAGGAACAAGTCTATTTTCTATTCCATTCGTAAGCAGGCACTACTAGTAAATAATTTGTTTTTTTCCCCCGGTCCAGCCGTGTAAGTACACGGTCCATGTCCTTGAACGATTTATTAGGTTATTTAGCCCACTCCGAAAGTTAATGGGCTGGCTGTGAACCTCCGCAAGGCAAGTCACGTCTCACGTGTAAGCTGGACTGTTGGATATGGTTAAAACATTTCGGCCTACCAACGATGGTAAACATTTAAATCAATGAGCCGTAAGCCCTTGCTACATAGGAGTACTCCGTAACATGGTGATTAACAAATTGTATTTGAAAAATGCATTCTTATTCTCTCTAGAGTGATAGTCTCAGTGTTTTTTTTTTATTTCAAGACAATATATACCAATACATACTCACTCCGTCCCATAAAAAACTAACATCTATTCATATTTGTGATAATAGAATATGTCATATCCATTACCAATATCGTTAATTACATGCACTACTGATTAATACTAAGCAGCAAAGACAGAAATTTTATTGTATTAACTGAAAAAAAAAATCTACGTACGGAAAACAATTAAAAACCGGCCGGAATCAGCTTGATCGATCGAGGTCGTCGTGTTCGCGACAAAGAAAATTAATTAAAACTAAGTAACAAGCTAAGCTAGCTAGCTACCGGCGGCCGGGAGTACTGCCGATGCATGGTGGGCTGGGGCTGCTGGGAGGGGTCGGGCCTTCCTTGCACGTATTGCCCGTAGGCGTCGTTGTGGCGCCACCGCCGGTGGTCTTCAGGATCTCCGGCGTGACGACGAACATCTCCTCCCCGCCGCCGCCGCCGGCTGCGGCCAACGGCCTCGCCGCGAGGAGCACGCCGCAGCACTGCATCAGCACGGCCGCCACCACCAACGCCCTCACCAACTTCGCCGACGCCGACGATGCCATGTTTGTGAGATCTCTGATCTTGAACTTTAGCTAGCTAGCTATATTAAGCTGTAAGATCGATCAAGCTGATTGTTATGAAACTATTAGGAATATAGAGATCCACAATTAATCTCAGGCCTATACAATGTAATCAGCTAGAGTATTCCTAATAGAGTACTAGTGCCGATCGATCGATGAGTAAGTGATGATCTGAATGTAGCAGCCAATTAATTAAGTACGTGGACGTACTGTCTTAATTGAACGACATGGGACAGGATGGGTTTCCTTTTATAGATAACTCGATCGTACAGGTATACGTACGTTGGCCACACGTTCAACTGCATATGGAGTATGCAGAAAAATCAGAAAAACAAACAAAGGACCGGGTCTATTGTCTATTCGTAAGTATTTACTATGACTAATGAGAGTTTTTACTGTCCTTGAAAGGGGGCGGTACCAAATCTGAACCGTCGATCTAGCTTCATCGGACGGCTGAGATTGGATGGTACCGCGTGGTACCGCACGCGCAGATTGGGGCGGTACCGCTGGGGTAAAACCGTATTTTCGCGTAACGAGGTAGGGGTCCGTGATTTCCTGCCGGGATCAGACCGGGGCTTCTCTTCCCTTTCTCTCTGAGCGCCATCTCTTTCCTTTTCTCCCTGTTTTGTTCTGATTCTCGACGATTTCTTGGCCCACGCATAGGGATTTCCCCCTCTAGAACCAGCGCAGGGGAAGGAAAGATGGGTCCGGTCGATCGGCGCATGCGTCGTGCCTTTGCTGCCGCCGGCGCAGGGGATGGGGGGATGGCGCTCAGATCTGGAACGAGCGCGCCTCCATCCGCTCGTCCGGTCGATCGGCGCGTGCCGTTGTTTCCGCCGGCGCAATGATCCCCTTGGAGCAATGGAGGTGGTAGGCGGAGGGAAGGATGGGTGTGGTGTTCAGAACCAAGCACCGGCGGGGAGATGCGGCTGCATAAGGTGCTGCGGGTGTCGTGGCGTAGGAAAACGGAGAAGAACCGGAAGATCAATGTGCTACACTGCGAAGAGTTGAGTCCCTGCGAAGGTAGAGGTGTTGCGGGCGTATTTCCTTTCGCGCAGATGGAAAAAGCTAAGCCGGGTAAGGTAACATCAAGCACTTGTTCTTCCTTTCAGTTTGAAAGAAATGTTGCAATTGACTGGAGCTTGGAAAATAGAGATAGTAGTTTTGAATACATGGCTGATAATTGATTGGAAATAACCTAGATGGAAAAACAGTGTTGCATAATATAAAAGTTTAGATAGATACACTTAGATGGAAATACAGTGTTTCAAAGATGCCACTAATTGGCTTCAAAGCTTCATTGTAACTTCAGATGTGGACGAATTTTCTGAATGTAGACGTCTGATGTCGTCGTGGACAGCAAGCACTATATTTAGAGTAGTGTTGATTAGGTTGGCGGCGACCTTTAGTCTGAAAACTTCATTCGGTTCCTGAAGTCAAGAGGGAGTGAAAAATATGTGTAAGAGATGTGTAACACTAATAAAATGTGAGTCATAGTAGCTTAGTACTTTTCGGAGCAGTACCATATTTAAGAAGTCGCTCGTTAATTCCTTTCCATCCCAGGTCTCCATGAACTTCAAAGCATTTAACCCACATGACCAACTAACCATAGAAATTGAGAATGTCAGTTAGCAATAATTGTTAGTTAAAAGCGTATTGATGATATTTCACCTGTCTTTCTGTTGAGGTACACTCTTTGGGCACAGTGGCCATTTTGCAACATTTGTGTCAGTCCAGGATGTTGGAACAGGACGTTCTTTCACCGTGTAATCAATATACTTGGCCACGCCATTGATCTGTTATGTGTTAAAATTACTTAGAACATATGTTATTATAGCATATAGGAACTGTTATTGCGATGGAGCTTACTAGGTTTTTAATATCTTCGCTTGCATTGTACCATTGTGGCTGCATCTGCATTGAGTCAAGAATTTGAATTTCTTGGCATCTTGCATTAATAACAATTACGTACCAATGCGATTTGTCCCTATTTATTGGTAGGAAGACCTTCAGGAAATAGCATAAGTTAAAGTAGTTTTTGGAAAGGCATAAAAATAAATGATGACCTGATTTAGTACCATATCATGGACCATGTATCTTTGGGCAAACGTTGATCTGGATTCAATGTATCTTTTACTTGGCTTTCCTCTTGTCTTACCAACGGCACACCAAACCTGGACTTGCGTTTCTTTCTCAATTAGAGCAGAACCGTACTGCCTGGTGTGGCCTTGTTGATTGTCGTTTATGAGTTCTGTGTAAGCTTCAATGACCTGTTGCAAAATAAAAAAAAATATAGAAATGTATGGGAAAGGTAGAAATTATTATAACAGATAAAAATAATCTTAACGAGGTGTTCAACCATTTTGATTTTGATGAACTATCAAGCGGCGTTACAAGTGGCAGTAGATGTGCACGTGATAGCTCTATGTCTTGTATACTGGCAAGAACCTTAGTTTTTTCTGACTGGAGGATGTAATTGATTGTTATTTTATCTTTCAATGTCAAACCAAGGTTCGCTGATCCTGAATTGGATATTTGAATTTTGGGCTCGAATGTTTTTTTGTTATGTTTGTAGAATATGAAATCACTTTGAGTTTGATATGATGGCTTGACTGTCCTTCCGAACTGACCTCTTAGTCTTTCTGCAATGGTTTTGTTATTGTCATCTGTCTCAGTTGCTTCATCCCCAGTGATTATGAACGGAGCTTCCTCTGTTCCATTACCATCAATCTCTTTGGCTAAATTTGTCTCATCCTAGAGAAGAAGACATAAAAAATTGAATGCTCGAACAATAGTTTTGTAAATTAGTTCAGTACAACTCACCGTATTATCTTCATGCATCTCTTCAGTATGGTAGGCATCCTTTCATTGCCTAAATCGAATGTTCGATTATCCTCGACTTTGTTGACATCAGCTTCTTGTTTGGGTCTAAATGCATCGGCTTGTATAGGGACTGACTTCCTTTTTTTGGACAGGGTGTTTTTGATGTCCTGTAAGAGTTGCAGTTCATTTAGCTATATATTATGAACAAAAGCTATATATTATGCAGTTCATTTAGCCAGTGCTGCTTTATGCTTACCTCGATGGCTAGTGTGTTTTTCCGGCATATTTGTTCCACGGAAAGTAACTTGTTTGTCAATTTGTTCTCCATGAACTGAATGGACCTTTCTAACTGTTGGAGCATGTCAACAAGTACTTTGATGTGACCTGAATGCTACAAGAAAGAAGCAGTTGGTTATGACATTATGTGTAGGAAGTAATTTTTTGTTGATAATGTGCACTCAAAAAAACTGAGCTAAGAATGTATTACCTCTACGGCTGCAATTTTTGCTGGAGATTTGATTTTCGTTTCATGGTCATCCTCACACTGATTTAGCTCTCTGTCATCATCTTTTTCCTTCTCATTGTCAGTACCGTACGGCATGTGATCATTAGCATATGCAAAAGATTGTTGTGCATCTATTTCTTCGTTGTCAGAAAGTATGGGATAGTCATTTTCTAGTTCCTCAAAGGCAGTGTCTTCCTCAATTCTCTGTTCATTGATATAAAAGTCATTTTCTCTGTCTTCAAAGCCATGCGTGTCATGCTCATACCTCTGTTCATCATTCAAAAAGTCTGGATGTTCTATCTGTTCAATAATCTGTATAACATATGGCAGCAATTAGCATATGATCTACTACTGCAACTAGTATTTCTGTATGTGCAGTAACTTACCAATCCCCCCCCTTCAGCTGTTCTGCAGTCATATTTGTTTCTCAACCTGACATTGGCTGCATTCCAGAATGAAATCAGGGGAATCTGACGTCCATTGTAATTGATGTTGCAGAACTCAGAGTTTACTGCCTTCACATGTTCCCAATACCAACACTGAATGCAATGTAAAAAATAAGCATTTTGAGTACAATAAGAAAATAAATTCAGCATGTGATAGGTTTGTATAGTACCTGCAGTAATGGAAGATTGCCTTCAATATTTTTTAGTCCTCCCTTGAATTCCTTCAAGCAATCGCAGAGATGTTCCCTTGTTAAGCTTGCCCAATTGATAGTGTGAATTTTTGTTACATCTCTCAGTAAAGGTAGATAGCTGGAGCTGACATGGGCCTTTGTAGTAGGACAAAGGATGTACCCAATGGTGAAAAACATCATCCTTCTAATGAAATCTTCCTCGTTGATTTCAGATTGTTTCGATTCTTCTAAAATTGCTTCTTGCAATGATATGAGTGAAATATTCTTGCTCTCGCCATCCTTGTGCCTAGAATAAATCTTGTAATCCTCCGTGATCAATGGCGGCAGTTTGGAAATCACCGGTCCTTCGGCTGGAATATCCAATATACACTGGACATCCCAAAGTGTGATCGGTAAACTCTTGTCTTGGATCAATATTGTTTGGCTTTTGACGTCGTACCGATCAGCTAACCAAATACAAATTACCCGGTTGATGTTAATCTCTGGCATTGCTAACAAGCCTCCAAATCCAATTTTTTCCATGGCCGCTGTCTGGAGTGGATTCAAACTTCTCACCATTGTTACAAATTTATGTGGGGAGCTAGCAATGGTCAGTTCCCTTGGTTTCTAAGAATGAGAAAAGTGCATGCAAGTAAATCACCGTACAAGAAGTGAAGAGCAAAAAGTATGTTGAGAAGAAGCAAATAAATTTTAAAATAACATACATACCACGGAGAGAATAGGTAGTTTCCTACCATGACGCCCTCTTTTGCCAGGGTTGCGGCGACGAGCAGTGGAAGTGTTGTTGTCTGCCATAGAAATGTTTAGAACAGATATGTGCGTAGGAAATTTGAACTGAAACTCTCTACTTATATGTGTGTAGCAAAAAAACGAGTTAATGACACCGGAATAATCTTGTATTGAACTTAAGTACAGGTTTTGTGTCGTTTGATTTTTAAATGTACACATCTCACTGTGCATCGGCATATATTATACGTCAATCCACTGTGTCAGGTGCATGCAGCCGTGTAGCAATCAATGCCATTATAGTCTATTCTGTTTCCAAAGCGAATATGGGCTGCTTTTGTTGCATGGCCTCCTCGGTACACCACACATAAAACTGATATACATGCGTGCATTCCACTCGGTATAATAAAGCAGTCAAGAACGGCACTGCAGTCAAGTATGAAAGCAGTCAACAAAACTATGCATTTACACGGTTTAAGTATGAATGCAGTTCCGTCGAAAAATTAACATTAGGGTGTGTAGGATAATTTTGATGGAAAAGTTGGAAGTTTAAAGAAAATATTACATCCAATGTAATCACTTGTTGTACATGAGATCACTAATTTTCACTAACATAATGACAATTACTACAAACGATCCCATTAACCACGCACGAGTATCGTCGAGCTCTTTTTTCTTTTTCATTAATTTTTTTTATACGCCAATTCTAGTTCAGAGATATGGTCAGCCGTATCTAACTCTAACTTCATTTTTTCTTCCTCGGCCTTTGTATTCCGAACGAAACAACACCAGTCATATTGTTTCGAACCGGTTAGCTTGGTAGCACGTTCCACTGCATGCCACATCTGCTCAAGTGTCTTCTGAACTCTTGGGTGCCATGGTTCGTCGACCCAAAAAAATTTATCGCACTGATCCTCTTCCTGAAACGAATAACAGTTCGTAAAAACCAACCGAATGAATTTTCTTTTGTTTTCAAGGACTTTTGAGCTCACCTCCAGCGGACAACCTAAGAACCTTCTTCCTGTGTCAGGTCCTTCCCAAGCTGTCCTCCGTTTCGGCGTGAGGCCATGCCTGCAAGTTAGTCTGGTGCCAAGCTCCTCTCCACAATACTCCGAATCTTCAATGTACATCGGGACATCCATGCACAGACCATGGCGATATTCCTACAAACACGAGATCGGTGAAGAAAAAAAAATTGAAAAATCGTTGAAAGGTACTTGTATTTTCATTTACCTTAACAGCGCCGTCCGCCATTGCAGCTTCGTTGTTCTGTACCTTCTTGCTTGTTACCATGGCTGTTATCTGTGGAGTGAGGATGAGGTTGATGGATGCACTAGTGTGACCAGCAACTAGCTACAACCGAAGCAGCATATATGGACGAGTACTAAATGAGGTAGTTGGTTGGTTCGCTAGTCCAACCATCAATACAAGAATTTACTACTATCCGACCTGGCATTATAAAAAAATGAAATTATAATTAACGGAATTGACAAAAAAATCATATAAAATGAAATTATAATTAACTAGAGACGTCGAGACTAGGAGCGGTGGTTCGGACCATGCCGGGTGTCCTATGCGCAACACATAGAGACTCTGCAGGTGTTTTCCTAAGTCTATTACTTGTCATCGGACTATAAAATCAACTGTTCAGTACTGGTACACGAAAGTTACGCGTTACTATACGTGTCGAGATGTACAAAAGTGTGTATAACATGCCCAGATGTACAAGATTTGTGTCACGTTACTAAATTGAGACAGCAGTACTTAATTCCTGCATGCGCACACGGTTACCAATACGCACTTACACAGTCCACCAAACAATTACTAATACTTATCCATCCACCCACTCCCCTGTGCATTAACCATGGAAGGTGAGCAGCCAACTCAGTTCGTCCCCTTATTTCTTCAACCATTCTCCTCCTACTGCTTCCTCTTTCTTCTTCTTCTTCTGCTCTTTCTTCTTCCTTTGGCACTGGAGGCGGCCAGGCTGTCCTCGGCACTGCAGGCGCTGCGGCCGGTTGCACGGCTGCAGGCGAGCTCGCGGTGGGACGGCCAGCTCCGAGCAGTGCAGTGTGCCGACTAGAGTCGCCGAGGTGAGCTGTGGTAAGAGCCGATTTCGGAGACGACACCATATATCAGGTTCTGCTTCCTCCCATTATATTCCATTTTTGATGCGTATCGTGATGCCTATCTTGTCACTTAGAGTGAAACACAAGTAGCAATGGGGGACGGAAATGAGGTCATTGACATTTCATCAGATAGTGACGATGGTGATGCCTATCTTCCGATTTTATCCTTTTTTCGTAGCATTACACCTACTAACAAGTTTGGATTAAACACGAGCAGAACAAGTACAAATTGAGATAAACAAGATTTATCAAAGCGTGCGCCGTTCAACTATTACAACAGGTGTTTATTAATTCTCATTAATTTCAGTTTTAGCTTTCAATGATTACAAAAGTCATATGAACTTGTGTATGTGAACTCTAAAAAACAGGACAATATGGACCTCGTACTTTCTCTGGATTCGACAAGTACTGCTGGTATGGAAATGATGTCACATTAACAAAAAGTATGCATCTTCAAATTGCTCACGTTGCCGCAGTAAATTTGCCGCTGTCAAGAGAACCCTTATGACCAATGCGAAAATGGTATGTAAAATGACTTTGTTGCTTCATGTAGTTTGTACTATGGCTAATCAACTTTTCTTGCAGACCTTTGCAGTCCAGTTTAGCGAGCGGTACATAAACAAGTACATTGGGAGTCCAATTGATGATCTGATGGTGTCTATGGCTGGAACAACACAGTCATATCAAATGAGGCTGAAGAGGTCCAAGGACAGTAGGGCAATGCTGACCACTGGATGGAACCAACTGATTGATGCAAAAGCATTCGATGAGGGTGATGTTTGTCTTTTCCATTTCAAGGAGGTTGACGACGTTCTTGTTCTGAAGGTTCATGTTCTCAAGTAGTGTGGTGGATGAAAATCACCATTTTGTCTGGCAATATGTAATGCCATCCAAATTCGTATGATGTAAAGCTAGTTAAGACCTTATTATGTGGTTGACCTTTCCAGTACAATCTTATTATGTGCTAGTTAAGACTTGATTATGTGGGTCAACTATCTGTTAATGGATGCTTGTCAAGATGGAGGAACTATCTATGTGTTGTTGTGTCAGTCACTGGATGCTTCGATGTTATTCTTCAGATTACTCAATTGCGACACTTCTTCGGTATGCACTACAATTATCCAAAGTACTGAGTAACAGTAGCACATCCACTAAACCTGGAGACATGATGCTATCAATATCAGCATCCACTCGACTTGAAGCCAACATGCAACCTTTCCAAGTACTGAGTAACATCATCAGCAGTTTGACTCAATTGCAAAACATATTAAGATGCTAATCATCCAACCCAAATATAAAAAAGTACTTCAGGTCCATTACAATTTTGGAACATGTTCAAACAATATAAACTGTACGCACACAACATCAATATACTTCATGTTGGACCATACAAACATCCATGTTCACCACAGCCATCCTGTACTCCACCCTCTGGGACAGCAAAATCACACATCTTCGTTCACTTTCCTGTAAAAAAAATAAAAAAAACCTCATATATATTTGTAAAGTACACCACAGAACAAAAAAAAAAAGATTACTTGGTAAAACTTGCCTTAGGTATATAGGGCACGATCGAATACTGTGCCCTGGGATGCGGCAAAAACCACATCTTCTCTTACGTTTCTCCAAGAAACCCCTCATTCTCTTTGTCGGAGCTCCTTTAGGGACAATTTGTGTCGGATCAAGCACCATGTCACCACTTTCAATATCATTCCGGCTACTTTGCCCAACCACATAACCAAACTCAATGTCAAAATTTTCATAATTTTCACTACTATCCTCTTCAAGCATTAGATTCTCTAACATCTTCATTACTTTCACCGTGCTCTCTTCTGTCATGGATGATTTGAAAAAAGCTTCACTACCCAAACAACGCAACAGCCGATAGCGTTCCATTTGGTCTGACCAAGTGTAAATTGAACCATACCTATCAGAAGGAAATGCATTCTTTGCTTTCATAGTCCATCTACGTGCTATGCAGAAGGTCGGAATGGTGTCTAACTTTAAATAATTTCAGAACTGCAAATAAATGATTGCATGGAATGTATTCGCACTCCATTTTTCTACAAGGGCAGCAGATGCTAACCAACAATGCTTCCTCAAACATGCCGGTCAAAATGACAACACCATCCTTGCCAATCATTTGCAATACATACCTGACACAATTGTCCTCCTCTATAGTATCTATTACCTCCCAATTCATGCCCATGTATAACTCCACCTTAACCTTCTTGAAAATTTTAGGTGTAAAAACACGAGCTGCATCCTTCTCTATTAGAGTAGAGTCATTGCTTGTAAATGGTACTGACTGAGATGCTTTTGCATCCAACTCTGCCTCTTGATGACGCATACGTGACAAGCAATGTTCATAGTGCTCAATCAAAATGACAAGGCTCATTTTTCTGTCCAACAACCTATGCAGTTTTGAGTTAAGACTTTCACTTCTTTGATTGCTCTTCATGCCAAGAAAAACCCTCCCTTTAGTGTATGCTGCTGCCCACTTTTTCCTTAGATTATACATCCTATTCAACCACCTGTTCTCATCTGATACTTTATGCTTAACCTTGAACTCAACCCATTTTCTCTCAAACTCATCTTCTTCAAGTGGAGCATGCACAAGGACCCTAAAATCTGAAAGCATAGTTGGACTAAGGTTACGTGCCATATTCTGCTCAATATGCCATGTGCACAACCGATGGTCAGAATTTGGAAACACAAGTAAGATAGCTCTACGCATTGCATTGTCTCCATCTGTGATAACAGACTTGGGATGTTTCTGACACATGCAACTTAAAAACTGCTTAAGTACCCATTCATAAGTACCAACCCTCTCATCGGAAACTACAGCACAACCAAAAATCACAGTCGACCCATGGTGGTTCACCCCAACAAAAGGAATGAAAGGGAGATTGTATTTGTTCACTCGATAGGTGCTGTCAAACACGACAACATCACCAAATGCATCATAATCTATTCTTGATTGTGGATCTGCCCAAAATAACCTCTTCAAGCATCCTGCTTCGTCGGTCTCATACTCATAATAGAAATCCATATCATCTTTCTGACGAGCTTGCATGTACTTAATAACACGGTCAGCATCTCCACCATCAATCCGTTTCTTCTTCATTTTCACAAAAAAATTGTACAAATCCCTTGTAACAAATCCTGCACCTTCAAAACCACCATGGTCTCTCTCTATTACATCCATCACTTGGTGCTGATGTAAACCTAAATCTCTCAATTCCACCAATTTTGCCTGTTGTGCTGGAGTAATTCTACGATGTGAACGGAGAAATGCCACTTCATCAGCTTTACACAAAGGATGATTATGATCTGCCACAAACCTTGTTACATACCAATGGCCTTTTATCTCATCGAGTTTAATCTCAAAATGAGCATTGCATCCACAATGAGTTAGTGCTCTGGGTTCCCTAGTTCTGCCAGAATAATCCATATACACCTCCTTCCTAAATCCTTCCCTTGAGCATGTGAAGCGCTTATGAAATATCAATCCACTAAAACGATCACGCCTACTATAATCCTTCCTTACACTAAAACCTTTCTCTTTCGCATACTGGTTATAGAAAGCAAAACCTTCATCCTCACTACTGAATTTCATAGCCATAAACTTACAATACTCATCCTGATCCTCAAATCTTGAACCATCACCAATCATTTTTTATATCAAGAACAACCTGTCAAACACATATCAAGAATAAAAATAATTATGCACGTTCATACTGTATCGGCCTAATTGCTAAAACAAAACTAAAAAAATCTTCTCATCGATATACGACTGGTGCGGGCTAAATGCTATAATGCGAGTCGGGTCAGGGACTTACGGCGACACAGGCGAGGGCGTGGCGACGGATCGAAGAAAGGCGGTGGTGGACGGCGGTGGGCAGCGGTAGGGGATTGCGCTTCTCTGCCTGGGGCGGTGGGCGGCGGTCGTCTGCGGTGGTCGCCGGTGCTCGGCGGCGGCCTCCTGCGCTGCTCTGCCTGCGGCGGTGGGCGGCTATGGAAGCAGGCGGCCTCCTGCGCTGCTCTGCCGGCGGCTATTGGGCGGGTGTGGTCGGCGGCGGCCTCCACCGTAGCTCTACCAGCGGCGGCCTCCACCGCTGCTCTGCCGGCGGGGGAGGGCGCAGGAATTACTTCCCACCACGCATGGGCGACGGCGGCGGAACTGGCGGAGAGAAATCGAATTTTGCGGATGAGTCGCCCTTGTCAGATTGCCTCGCTATTGGCTGCTTGGGCGGCGCCGACCGGAAGGCCCAATTAGTCTCTTACCAATTTCTTTCCGATCGTACCCCTGCAAAATCAATGGCTAGATTTGATTGTTACCTTATAGTACCTGGTACCTCATTACACCTCATAGTACCTTATTAAAGATGAGAAAAGAGCTCATGACTAATAGCTAATTAGTATGCGATTTTCAGCGCGGTCCATGCATATCCTCATTGTACAGATGGATGTATATATGAAAGCCGCATATATACATGTGCCATGTAGAAATTAAACCTCGTATATATGTTCATACTCATATGTGTCAACAATAATAATGACCAAGCTTTACTGACTGCGTGCGTATGACTATCTGATTAGTCCATGTATGTGCAACTCGATCTTGACTCCGACAGTCGACCGTGCAGCTAGCTAGCCTTGAAATCTTGAATTGACACATTCGTTTCGATCGATCGGCCGATGAATTCCTCGATTCGCAAACGGCTGGGACTTGACCAATTTACTAGTAGTTCCCTCTGAAACTGGCAAGGCACACTTGTGCAATAATATGTTTAGCTCACCGCTGAAAACCTCGATCTTTCCATTTTCAGCGTAAGGGGCCCTCGATGTTTTCTTATTCTTTTTTGAGCTCCAGTTTTGCACAGTAACATTTTTTTTTCTTAAGGCTGTGTTTTTTTAACACTTTCCCAAGTTTCATTCACTCATTTTCTACTCGTACGCTTCCTAAATTGTTAAACGGTGTGTCTTTTTTAAAAAAAATCTATAAAAAGTTATTTTGAAAAATTATATTAATTCATTTCAATTTTTAAGACTAATACTTAATTAATCATGTGCCTCTCCGTTTCACGTATTAGGAGGAAAGATTCACAACCTTAGCTAACGAACACAGACTAAATGTAGTAGATTCTCATATACCCGCGCGTGCACGCTCATGCATCTCCTATAAACATCTTCTAAAGACTAGTCAACATATCTTGAGATGTCTCACTGTCAACGAGCACATCGTCGGGGACCTGAATTCGGGTGGATATGTATCACACAAAGAACCTAACTATGATTAGCCTACGCACTGTTGTATAACAAATATAGGCCAGTACAAACAAAATGGTGTGAAAGATGTTTGGTGTATAGATTGCATATTATCAGGAAGTAGATTTTTTTTTAAAAAAAATGAGAACATAGACGCGCGCGTTTTTGTTTTTATATATATGACACAAACAATGGATAAAGGCATACAGCAACACAGAAACCGCAATACGATTTTTAAATTTTAGTCAAATGGAACTTATGTCAATTATTTTAGAGAAAATTCAAGAAATGACATTGACAAACACTCAAATCCAAAAAATGCCATCGACGAATACAAGTTACATGAAATGTTATCGTACAAGTGATTTTGTCCCAGAAACGCCATCGCCATTAGGGTTACGTTAGCAACCTTCCGTTAAGTTCTATAGGATGCATGAACGGTGTATTTAACGGCTGTCCCAGAAACGCAATCGCCATTAGGGTTACGTTAGCAACCTTCCGTTAAGTTCTATAGGATGCATGAACGGTGTATTTAACGGCGTAGGATGAACGGACCATAACTGTGATGACATTTTTTGAACAAAATCGTTTGTATGATGGTATTTTAGAAAACTTGCATTCGCCAATGGTATTTCTTGAATTTAGGTACTTGTAATGATATTTCTTGGATTTTTCTCTTTATTTTACCTGCAGCGGCACTGCGACAGGGATAAACCATATTTTTGGGACCATATTGCACAGGCCAGAACAGCCTAGTAGCTAATTAATTAAACAATTTTCACTTGCTTACAACATTACAACTTACAATACCCCATGCATTACGACATGCACTGATTATAGACTACTTCTAGCTAACTTTGATCAGCTATACATTCATCTTCCGGCACTCCAATTTTGCACGGAATTAATATTAGAAGCTCGATCATCCTAACTGCAGATCATGAAAACGACCAAACCAAAATAATAACGAATAAATCGAAGTACAATCTCCAGACACACACGCATGCCAACATCTACGCAATTAAGTAAAACCGGTCTCGATCGGAACCCAGCTTGATCAAGGACGACCGTGTTCGCGAGAAAGGAGATTGATTAATACTACTCCCTCCGTTTCAAAATATTTGACACCATTGACTTTTTAGTACGTGTTTAACCATTCGTCTTATTTAAAAAATTTAAATAATTATTTACTCTTTTCATATCATTTGATTCATTGTTAAATATACTTTCATGTACACATGTAGTTTTAGATATTTCAGAAAATTTTTTTTGATAAGATGAACGGTCAAACATGTGCTAAAAAGTCAACGGTGTCAAATATTTTGAAACGGATGGAATATTATATAAGCAGTAATTAGTTAATTAATTAAGCTACCGGCGGCTGCCGAAGCATGGTGCGCCGGGAGGGCTGGGGGCTTGCTTGCACCCGTTCCCCGGCTGTATTGGGACAGCTTGTAGGATCTGCATGACCGGCATCTTTCCGCCGCCGCCGCCGGCGGTCTGCATTGGCCGCCACCCGCCGCCTCCGGCGACGTCCCCTTCCAACGGCCTCGCCGCGAGGAGCACGCCGCAGCACTGCATCAGCACGGCCGCCGCCACCAACGCCATGACCAACTTCGCCGACGCCATGTATGTGAGAGATCTCTAGCTCTTCAACTTTAGCTAGCTAGCTAGCTAATTTAAGCTCGATCGATGAGTACGTACGTGAGCTGAATGCAGCAGACAATTAATTAAGTACGTGGAATGATCTTAATTAAAGGAAGGATATTGGTTTGTGTTGGGGGTGATGGGACATGAAGGGCTTCCTTTTATACCAACTCGTTGTATATACTCACGTTGGCCAACACGTACGTTCAACTGCGTATGTATGGAGTAGAAATCAGAAAAGCAAATTATTAAGGACCGGGTCTATTGTCTATTCGTTAGTGTTTACTACGATTAACTAATTCGTGGGGTTTTTTTTTTCCGGTTCAGCGTTAAGTACGTACTCCTACGTACTAGTACTACGCGGTTTTCAGCTCGGTCGATCCATGCATCCTAATTAAGGTTGAATGATTATAATTAATTAGTTAGGTGCAGTAGCAGTGTAAGTACAGACATTGCCAGTCATGCGGCCTATATATCACTATATGAGCTTACTGACTGCGTCCATCGTGTGTGTGAAACTCTGATTAGTCCATGTAGCAACTCGATCTTGACTCCGACCGTGCGGCCTTGAAATCTTGAATTGATATACGTACCTATACGTTCGTTCGTTCGTTTCGATCAAATCGACCACATGAATTCATTCCTCGATCGTAACGGCTGCGACTACTTCGACAGTTCGACCAATTTACTAGTACTCTGAAACCGTTATCGTGTATACTTGTGCAATAACAATGAGTCGTATCTGTTCTCACACGAGCGCATGACGTGACGCTGGTGTTTGCGAATTTGGTCGGTCTCGTTCTGCCCATCGATTTGGTCGCGTGGACTGGTCGATTTGATCGAATTCTGCGTGTGACTCCGGCGTTGCTGGGCAAAGCCCAGGAGGTAATTGGGCTTGTGTGCTGATGCCTTTCGGTGGCTGGGCCGCGTGTCCCGGAGGCTTCCCCGTTGTTGTGGGGAAAAAGTACACCGAAGGTCTCTCAACTTGTCATCGGATACAAAAACATCCTCGAACCACAAAACTAGATATGCGAGGTCCCTTAACTATACAAAACCGGTCACCTGAAATCCTTTGGCGGTTTTGACTCCGGTTTTGGTCTACGTGGCAGCTGACTCAGCGTGGGACCCACGTGGGCCCCACATGTCAGTTTGTCCACATCATCTCTCCTTCCCATTTCTCTCCCTTCGTCCTCTCTGTCCAGTCTGGGCAGCTAGCTGGTGGGCGCGAGGCGGGAGAGGATGAGGTCGGCGGCGGCGACGCGGGAGAAGGGGAGGCGGAGGAGGAGGTTGGTGTGGATGCCATAGGTAAGCGCCGGCGGGTAGAGGGCGAAGAGGCGTGCGACGTCAGCGGTCGTTGCGTCCGAGGCCGTCTTCGCGTCGCGGACGTCTCCACCGTGGATGGCGCCATGCCGCACCGGGCTCCCCCGCGACTCATGTAGAGGAGCACATCGCGGTCGGGCGCCGCCATGGACTTCCTTGTCTGCTCACCCAAAGGGTCTACAGCGGCGAGCACGGCGTCCACGACGCGGCGTGCACTGTCGAAGTCCCCCCAGTCGACGAGGCAGCGAGGAGGGAGTTGGTCGGCCAACGCACTGTCGCCGCCGCCCCAGCCGCCGTTGTCCTTCTTGCCCTTGCTCATCCGCGAGGGACATCCCCAACGAGCCGCTTGACGGTGTGGGGGCTTGACGGCTGCGAGCGGTGTCGTCCTAGCCTCCGGTCGCATTCGGCCACATCCAGCCGCCGCGCCATGAGCTCGGCCGCGCCAGCGCGAACCTCCATGCCAGCTACCATGGAAAGCGGCGGCATCGGGGAGAGAAACAAGCCAAAAATAAAAGAGAAAAAAAGGGGAACGGGGAAAGACAGCGTCGATGGCGCCACCTATCCCCCGCCGGCCACCGCAGAGCAACGCCGCCGCAAGGCCGCGCCCCGCATCGTCGCAGGGAGAGAAGAGAGAAGGAACGAAGAGAAGAAGGAAAAGAGATGGGTGATGACGTGGACAGATTGACGTGTGGGGCCCACGTGGGTCCCACGCCGAGTCAGCTGCCACGTCGGTCAAAACCGTCGAGGGACCTAGTTTGCACTGGTTTTGTAAGTTGGAGGATGCGTTGTATCCGTTTTCGTGGTTCAAGGATGATTTTGTATCTCGATGACAAGTTGAGGGACCTTCGGTGTACTTTTTCCTTGTTGTGGAAGGCCATGATGGCCCATGGGCCTTCTTTGATGCTTCCCCACCACCAAATCGTCTGATTTGCACCGTGGAGTCAGATCAGATGCCATCCATTCTCTCACAAAAAGGAGGATTTGAACCTGTCATTGAGACCTTGAGTTTGAGTGCGATTCCTCCCTTCTTTCGGTCACTGCTTTTAGCAAGAGCACAGTTTTACTTTTGACGACTTGTAGCAAAATACTTCCAAATCCTAACCACAAACTTCAAAAAGTTCCCAACATATTCCAAATCTCGTGGAATAAAATAATAATAAACCCTCCTTTTTCTTCTCTAATCGAATCTATTCCGAGAAATAATGATAAAATTATATTATTATGCAAACCCATCTCGAATTCGCGATCCATCCATTCTCTCTCGCTCGCTCTCCCATGGCGCTCCAAACCCTAAACCCGCGGCACGTGCTGCCGCTGCCGCTGCCTCGGCGGCGCGCGCCGCGGCCCCGCGTGCTCCACCGCCCGCCGCCTCCGCGACGGAGGCTCGAGGGGGCGGCGCGGCCGCGGGCCGTGGCGGTGGCTGTCAACGAGGCGAGGAGGCGGTGGCCGCCGGCGGAGGGGGGAGGGGAGGAGGGGAAGGAGACGGACCTCGCCACGCTCGGGAACCTCTGCGTCGACGTCGTGCTCAGCGTGCCCCAGCTCCCGCCGGCGCCGCGCGAGGAGCGGGAGGCTTACATGGAGCGCCTCGCCGCGTCGCCGCCTGACCAGGTAAGGGGCCGAGAGCTTTCGCCTGTTGGGATTGGAAATCTAGGGGCTCGGTTATTCATCAGGTGAATTCAGCATTAGATGCCGCAAAGCCGGATTTATTTTGGGAGATTTATAGCTCTAGTCACTTTGGTTTGGTTCAAAATGCTTGTGTTGTGATAGGAAGGATTCAAGCGAGCGTATCGTAATTGTATCTACTGATAAATTTGGGGATTGGAAGAAATGTGGAGGCTTTCGATGAGTAACGGAAGGTTTTAGATGTACACATCTCATGAATGTTTGCATTTGTTCTGTTTGTGTTGAAAATGAGAATGTTTTTATGACAATTTAGTTATTTAGTATTACTTATTCTGCTGCACTTTATCTGCTTGGGAAGATGGAGAACCCAGAAAAGAAACCCAGTTATAAATTGAACAACATTATGATCAATCAATCAGTGGTTATTAGCTATTCTGAACATTTTATCTTTCGTCACTTGGAACAGAAATTTTGGGAGGCTGGTGGAAACTGCAACTTGGCCTTTGCTGCAGCTAGGCTTGGGCTTCGCTGTTCCACACTGGGGCATGTAGGAGAGGAAATTTATGGGAAGTTTCTTCTTGATGTGCTTGAGGAGGAGGGCATTAGTGTTGTTGGGATGCTTGATAACTCTGATTCTGGTGCATGCCGAAATGCCTATGAGACCCTTCTTTGCTGGGTTCTTGTAGACCCATTTCAGAGACATGGATTTTGCAGGTTAGAACTTCATGTTCTCATGCATGCCTTACTGCTCTTATTATTTTCATCATGAATATTGTCAACTTCAGCTTCAAATTCTCATGAGCTAATATTCTTGTTGTGCTTTGCATTGCAATTTTCATCTACGCCAGCCGAGCAGACTTTAGTGATGAGCCAGCTTTCAGTTGGATACGTAAACTCCCAGCTGAAACCAAGACAGCTATTCATCACTCCAAAATATTGTTCTGTAATGGCTATGCTTTTGATGAACTTTTCCCTGATGTGATCTCGTCCGCTATTGATTGCGCAATTGATGCGGGAACAGCAGTATTTTTTGATCCTGGTCCTCGAGGAAAATCTCTCTTACATGGTACCCTTGATGAACAGAGGGCACTTGAGCATTCTCTGAGGCTCAGTGATGTTCTGCTTTTAACATCAGACGAGGTTAGATGCCTTACAGTTTTATTTTTGCTTTGTGAGCTTCAATTGTAATTAGTAAAAGCCAAGCGAACCATAAATGGCATGTTTTTTTATAATGATATTTGAGCTGGCTGATCTTGACTTCACATCTGCAGCTTTGCCTTTTCTCCAAACTTAACAATTCAACCATAAACCATTTATGCCAAAATAAGATTAAAGGGTACAGCCTAACACTAATATGCTTTTGTAAAAAAAACCTGTTTGCTGAATCTGGCCTGTTTAGAGAACAGTGAACCCAATGTGGTGTATTTAGTGTTGTATTCTTGCTTCATTTCACTCATAAATCTGTTTATTGGTTTGACAGGCTGAGTCCCTGACGAACATCAGAAACCCAATCCAGGCAGGGCAAGAGTTGCTGAAGAGGGGGATTCGCACAAAGTGGGTTGTCATAAAAATGGGCTCAAAGGGATCAATCATGGTTACGAAGAGTGCTGTCTCCAGTGCACCTTCATTTAAGGTATGTTTATTCTGCTGATAAAGGATCTTTGTGTAATTACTGCATTTGTCAATATTCACTGTGCTGTACTTTCATTAGATTGACGTTGTGGACACCGTTGGATGTGGAGATAGCTTTACTGCTGCTATAGCTTTTGGGTTCCTCCACAACTTGCCAGCAGTTAGCACACTGACACTAGCAAATGCAGTGGGTGCTGCAACTGCCACTGGCTGTGGGGCAGGTCGGAATGTTGCTCACCTGGATAAAGTATTACAACTCTTGAGAGAATCCAATATCAATGAGGACGATACGCCGTGGAGCGAGTTGATTGAAGCAAGTTCATTCTGTTCTGAAGTTTCAGTGCTGTCTAAGACAGCAGTTAATAGTTTCAGTGACCGCCTTGTGCATGTTCCTACTTGCAATGTGGTTTCCAACCTCCTTTCTATGCTTGAGGCAGTGTCGGAGCGAAGCACAGTTCAGGCTTAATCCCATCTTGAATGGTATATGGGGGCCCTTTTTTGCCATTAAATCATTCATATAGATTCTTCTTTTGCCAGACCGTCACACTGATTTCATGTGACGAGTGATAGTTGGAGGCTGGCCACCAGGGAAAGCTATTTGTTGGAAAGATGTTTTGGAAGCTATTAGTAAATGTGCAGTAGTGGTCTCGCCTAGAAACATCGTATTTTACCCTAACTTTTGCACTATTTGTTGGAACATGGTGTCCCTTTAACTAACCAAGTTATCTTCGACTGATCATCTGTTTGCGCCAATGATATTTTGCCCCTTTCTGGAGCCATCTGTTCTGGTTCTTGAACCAAACTTGTTTTTGTTCTGAAGTATCAACGAGTTTATTATGATAACGGAAAATTTTGCCGATGTTGACTGTAGCCAAGACAACACTTTGCAAGGTTTACTTTCGTGTGTAGTTTTGAACCCTTGCTCGTTACTGCAAAATTGTGCTGATCAATGGCAAGTGTCTGTACACGTCCGAGTCTCCGAGCATCAGAGGTAACCTGTGACCAGCACTCCTGCAACCGCTAGACTTTAAAAATTTTCAAGTTCATCTAGGCTATAGCCTATAGATTGTCTCCAGAAGTGGTTGGATAAATTCAAGACGGTATGAACTTATCTGACATGAACAGTAGCTGGCTTACTAAGTGAATTCCTTCCTCATCTCGGCAGAAGCCGGAAACTATAATTACAGCGAAGAGCTTTACTCCTAAATCCTAATAACAACCGTTTCAATTTGTACAAGAAAGATCTCATCCAACAAGATCGGTGTGTATATAATCTGTGTTCTCCCATGTTATGTTCAGGGAGATCAGGTCACAAATGACCCTGTCAAATCTCCGAGCGAGATGCCACCATGAAGGCATCATGGTGCTGTAACAATCAGTGGCAGCAACTTCAGATCTGCAAAAGAGACCGAATCAGGATCTCTTGATTACAAAAGGTGATATAAGTGAACAAAGAACAAGGCCTAACATTTCATAACTAGCGTGATTCTATGCATACAAGGAAAAGTATTTCTCTAAAAGAAGGGGAAATATGAAGATTAAATAATACTAAGTCAATGAAGTTGATAGAGTAGCTAGCGCTGAAAATGCAGATTCAAAAGACACTTTAGTGTCCTTTTAGTTAACCATGCATTCTAAGGAATTTTGACGAAAGTAGAGGATCGTCAATAAAAACTCTGATGGCACAGTTCAAAGCAGATATTTGCAATATACTCCCTCCATCCCATAAAAAACCAACCTAGTATTCAATGAAATGTTTCCTAACGAATCTAGACAGGAGTTTGTACCAGGAAAAACCTATTCAATAATAGGTTAGCTTTTTGTGGGACGGAGGGAGTATAAGAGTAACCTATTGCATGTACATCATGGAAGCAATGTTCATATTAACTACTACTATGGTCTATTGTTACCTTCAGAGATTAATTATGAGATCATAAAACTGCCCTCTCTCTTTGCTCAGTCATGATTCTTCGCAACTCTCTCAAATGTGCAGTTATCTCTTGAACACATTGTACGCCATCATCACTACATTTTAGAGAGCTTAATATCTGTTTGAGAAACTTTTGATCTGTTTCAAGTGCCGTGAATCTAGTATTTAGAAGTGAAATCTCATGTTTAACGCTCGTCATAGAACTGATTCTGCCATCATCTAGGTGAGAACATGAGCCGGAATCAACACTTTGATTTTCATCAATTTGTTGAGAAGAAACCGGCTCACCGCTCCAGTGTTCCGGATGCAATACTGACATGTTCTGTAGACTATCATATGTGCCACCAAAATTATGCCTATCTGTGGAAGACATGCCCAGTGTTTCCTCCAATTTGCTCAAGGATTTCAAAATATTTGCCTTTTCATCCTCAAAATCAAACATGGTATCCCTCATGAAATCTGAGCTATCCAAGACTCCAGATGCCATATCTCCATCAGTAAAATCAAACTTGCAACCAAATGGTTCATGAAGCCTCCGATAATTGTCAAGTTCAGCTTCCAGGTCAAGCATTTCTTTCTCCCTTTCTGTAAGCAAGTCATTTAGCCTTTCAATTGCTTCTTGGTCATGATCAGCCTGCTCTTCCATCATCCTGAGGTACTGAAGTGCCTCCATGTGCATTGAAGCCTTTTCTTCCTGCAATCTATTGATCATAGCCATTGCTTCACTCGCAGCCACCGCTGAAGCACTCCGCTCTGCCTCAAACTCCTTATAAAGGATACTCATTTTTTTCTTGCCAAGCTCAACCTTCTGCTTCAGGCCTTCGAGTGAGGTATCACCTTCATCTTCACTAGTAGCATGGACATCAAATGGTTCCATATTTGAGTAGTTAGTCTCAAGAAATTGTCTGCTCCCAGTGGCATCATATTGTTTATCATCAATCTGTGTGATTCTAGGACTAGCGGCCACCTCACTCCAAGGACCATCAAAGCCTCGCGCAGAAGACATCTGGGACAGGAATGTCTTGACTTCTTGGTTAGTTCTTGAACTGTTATCCTTAGCAGAGATTATTTCAGACCATCGAGGAGATTGAAGGTTGCTTCTACGACGAGAAGCACTCTTCATACTGTTTTTGCGGTTGATACAGGCATCTAAAACTGAACTCATTCCTGCATTTGCAGAAGCAACAAAACCCTTAGCAACTTCCTCGTCAGGGCTTCCTGAAATACCCGCTGAATCGTCAACTTCCTCAATACCAACCAGAAAAGCTACAGAACAAATTTGACATACTCAGATAAATTCAAATTATATAAGGATTGCAGCATTTTGGATAAAGATACATACTTTTCTCTTTCGGAAGCTCTGCGCAAACTTGTTCAGGCACAATCTTCGGTTGCACGTCATGATTGTTTCCACTTACATTGACATTGCTCAAGCTAATTTCCCTTGAACCTTGCGCAATATGCTCTGAAGATTTCGCTGCACTAACAAGGTTGGTGCCAGTGGCCACATTGTCAGTTTTTGCTGCAGTACTCACTGGCACAGGAGCGGTATTCATCGGCTCTGCAAGAACAACATTCTCAGAAGGATGCATGGACAAGCTGTTGGTGTCACTGATCATAGGTTGTAGTTGCGAATCATGAAATAAGAAGTCTCTGCTTCTCTGCGTAGCTTTGTGAATCATTGAATTACCATCTTCATCTTCATCATCATCCGAGATGCGGTTCTCAGACTCTGAATCATGGCGGACATTCAGCTTACTGTAGCCTCCATAAGACAAGTCCTCAGAACCTTCATCTGAAGAATGCCCTACACTAGTCATGTCTATGCTTCTCTCCTTCACTGTGCTCACATCATCTGGAACTATGCCATTTGCAAGCTCAGGTAGCTTGTGTGTATGCCGTGTCTTCTTAAACGTCTCTGAACAACAAGAGCATAAATGTGTATGCCTGGACCTCGGTTGAGAATTCACCTTGTCCTTATTTCTCATGCTCTTCAGTTTATTGGGCTTACCATCCAAACCAGCACATGAAAGTAGGCACCTTTCACACAGATCATCAGAGTGTGCGAGCTTGTTGTGACTCTGGCAATACTCCAATTGCGAGATTTCCAACTTGTGTGCAGCACAGATCAGATCTTCAGAGAACCAGGTGTTTCCATGCAGGAGGCGATCCAACCTTGAGCACAGGATGCACGGTGGTCGTAGGCTCCAGATGCGTGCAAACCTTGTGGCCGTGAATGACACCACGGCGGTCACAAAGAGCATTATGATCAGGCTGCATTCGCTGAAGGCATGGCACAGCACAGGCCAGAATTGCCGTGCAAAGTCCGGCGACCTTGCACGAGCCTTCGCTGCCATCGAAGATCAATGCACCGCTGATTTGCATGTAGGTTGATTAAAAATCAAATCCTTTCCACAAAATTCCTATTAATGTGGCACAAAGATAATCAGATCAAACCACATTGTTGAGGAGGAAGCGCTTGTAAAATCATGGTCACCCATACCAACGTGTGGTTCCAGAAGATGAGGCCTTTCACCTAGAAAAGTTCACAATGCTACAATGCAGCAGTACCTTCAGCTGCGCTAAGCCAAGAACGGGACATTTTTTCTTCATATGCCAATGATCATACGGATAGATCGCAATAACCTAATCTTTTTACCAATTGGAGCAAGGATCCAATCTTCCCTGCAAATAATTGCACAGATGAACATGCAGGGTGTCATGTACAAACAAAATTGTTCAGAATAAAAGAGTATATCTGGAACGTACCAATGCAGCAGATCTTCAACCAAGAAGCTGCGATTCCCATAATCACCAAATCTGGAGCATATTGGAGAGGAACAGAACAAATCCGTGTAGTAAAGATCAACCAAAAGGCCCAGAAATGAAAAAAAAAAATCCCCAAATGAAATTTGGAAAAAAAATGGTTCTTGGTTGCACAGGAGGCAAAACGATTCTCCCCTCACACTGTACGATTGGAGAGGAGAGAGAAGAGGGGAACAGATGTCCTCCATCTCTTCCCAAAACACAATCCTTTGCATGTGATGTGAGGCTGAGAGATTTAAGCATAGCCTCACGTTATGGTAAAGAAAACCATCAAAGCTGATAAGGAGCCAGAAGAACTGAACTACTGAAGAAATAATGACTGGTTCATTTTATTTTCAAATAATTCCCTGAAAATTTGAGGCAATGAACCAAAGACACTAAAGTTTGATAATCAGATTCTGCAATTCTGAAAATGTAAGAGCTACAGGTGCTATTATTTTAGAAAAGAAAATCCTTAAATAATAGAACTAGTAATCAGGCATGGAGACCAGTGTTCCAGGACCTCCACCTTGTGTGGTCCGGTTAGTTGCAAACCAATCAGCTTATTCTTCGCAGACATAGGTATGCGACAGATCACCGTGCCCATAAGGAATATAGCATATGTAACATGTTCCTCTCTACAATCTTCCAATAGAAATTCCTACCCTACATCAATCAAGAAACTCTCCCATGAGCCTCTGTCATAAAAAGAGCCAGCCAAACTGCCAGAACCTGGCATTACTATTCCATGATTCACACGGCCATCTTTGACCTTCATGATGAGCTAAGAGAAAAAAGGATTAGTAGTTCAGTACGGGTTACACCTGCACAATCCCAATTAACTATTGGATTCAGTCACCTGGGTCTTTTTTCACAATCTCCCCATCAAATCCATTTGCTCAAGCTAGATCTCTTTCACATCCCCACATAAAAAGTTCTCTTTGTTGTTGCAGAGCTGCAGGTTGCCCGGGGTGGACAGTTTCTTAAGTGCTAAGATTGGAATCAAAACAACTTGGCTATGCAACACGGTACATGCAAAGCAAAAGAAATCCTTTGCTTGCGAATAAAATCATGTACTACGCATGCAAATGTCACAGCAACAGCTGTGCGTTGTGAATTAATTTCAACAGCTTAGCTTATATATTCATGTATGCATTGCATCCACTTGGTTAATCATAATACTCATATAGCTTGCTGAATGCTGATCTCTTGTCTGAGATGATCCTGTGAATCTAGATGACTAATTCAGTGGCTGCCCTTAGCTGCTAGCAAGTGGTCATGAGCTCATGATTTGCTGACGTGTTCATGTTGGAATAGATGGCTATGTCACGTCTTGCAAGTTTGACTTGGATTACATAGCATTGTCAGACTGAGTGCACTAGCCAGTGGTTAAGACTAAGTAGCCAGTACAGTTTAGGTTGGATGAACCGTTGTTCATCCAAGCTGTAAATGTGAAAGCAACAAGGTGCCAAAAGAAGCATGTGGACTTGTATGACATAAAGCTGCTCAAAGCAGAGTCATCTGCCGTGAGCTAACAAGCTGCCCCTCCATATATATACAAGCTCCTAGCTTATACATGAAAATCTCTCTATATATATCTCTCTGTCTCCCTCTCATTCATTCATTTTTATGGCAGTTGAGGGGAATGTTGTCTGGTCCGAGACCTAACACCGGGCGGAATGGCGGATTCAGCTGCAGCTAAGCAAGCTAGGTGGGGGGTTTCGGACCAGGCTTCATTCCCCCCAACTCAACTGTTTAGTTCTTCGGCTTCGGCACAAATCGGCGGGCGACACTGCCAGCGTGAAGCTTCTGCAGGTAGGACGATGTTTGGCCGTGCAGCCAGCCGTCCGTGCTCCATCCACCATCACCATGCATCGATATATATCTTCCATCTCGCTCACTGGTAAGTGCTCTCCATTTCCTATAACTCTATCCCAGACTCGGTTGGATGTGTACATATGCACCGAGACCAAGCGATCAACTTATGTGTAGTGCCAGTTGATGTTGTTCCATGGTTGTGTTTGAGTACCAGTGAATTGTCTCATGGCCTTCCGTCATCTTCGTCTTGGTAGACTAATTTCTGGTGGTTAAGTTCTTGGTTGCTTGGAGTTTGAAAAAGGTTCAGAAACTCAGCGTATTGGTGTTCCCAGTGTATATACATTAATTGGGAAGTTGTTCACCCGTTAAGGAATTAATGAAGCTTCACTAGATAGTCTATCCGATCCCTCATTATTTGCTAATTAAGCCTCTATGTGGATAGAGGGAAGAGAGGCTGGAGAGGGAAGAGAGATTAACTAGGACATGATAAGCAACTTAAAGCCCCTTTTGGCACCTATAATCATAGCAGCTGATAGTAGTAGCAAACAAAGTTACGGCCAGTGCAGCAGCATATATGCTATCAGCTGCTAGGTGGGCGTGTGGGCAATGATGGTAAACAAAGGGCTTGATCGGTTCGTGTCGTCCTCGTTACGAATCTTTCCGATCATGGAAAGATCGCTTCCAAGATTTTCAGTAGACTACTAGAGTAACTAGACTACATGCATGTGTGACAACTGAAGCATCTCTGCAAAGCCATGCCGTTGCCGACACCGTTAGGTGGAGCCGAAGCACCAAAGCATGCAAAGCCCCTCACGTATGCAATCATTCCTCTTTTATGCTCTCTTCTCTCTAATTAGCTAGCTAAAGAAAATACTTAGTTTTAAGAGCAAAGGTTGAAAAAAAGGAGGCTTAGTTGATTATTCAAGGAGTTCAAACTGAGATTGGTCACACCAGAAAGATTCAACACAAAAGAAAAAAGATATGCTAATCAATTACCTTGATCTAACCGTTCAACCAGCATCTGAACGATCTCATCAACCCAGTGCTTTTTTTAGCATTGGCTTTATTCCTGCGAGTGATGCTTCATGCTTGTACGTGTGATCTGAGAAAAAAGAGGGCCGTGTTATGACAACGATGTGACCTACAGTAACAAAGAGTTGATAAACATATCATTTAGAGAAACAACTCGTCATATATCAAGAAAGTGACAAGACGAAACAAACAGCGGGTTGATGGTAATAGGGCAAGGAAAAGAGTGACGGCATGATCCATTTTTTCCGCTGAACTTTTGACTAAAAAGTTTTGGTGAGTGACGAAATTTCTCAGGAGCAATGAGGGGATTGGGTACTGCTTGGAAAGACTTTACAAGGCTGCGTACGTGCATCGCAGCCCACCGTGGGTACATTTCGAAGATACCATCATTTGATCATCTCATACAGCTTTTGGTTTGCAGCATTTTTCAACTTTGAAGCGTGGGCAAGTGCCTTTCCCTCTCGCATCACGTGTTTGCAAGTCTAGGTACAGGTCCTGGTTGACATTGCCTTCTGCCATTGTGGCTATGTGCCCTGTATAGCCACATGACAGTTCCGAGCAGTACCTTCACATATGTTCTGAATCGGCGGCAGTATAAATACTCAATTTTTTTTCCCAATTTCCAGAAAACCATTAACAAGTTTACCATAAACTAGTCATCATGATTATTACTAATGCATAAGAGGGGGGGGGGGTCAACTTACCGTGCCAACGCCGTTACGCTGCCAATCTGTACGGGCATCGCGGACCAATTGGCCTGAGATCTATCTCCCGAGGTTGGGGCAGACATTAGCGAAGTGGGTAGGGTCGCCGCAGATGAAGCAGCTGCCGTAAACGGGCTCGCCCGTCGCCGCAACGAACATCATGCCATCAGCATTCCGTCCTCTGCCCCTCCTGCCTCGCCCTTGGGTGCCGCCTCTCCGCCCTGCAGATGCAGATGCAGATGATTGCCTGCTGCTACTGCGCCCGCCCCGCCCACGCCCGCCACGGCCCCTCGGCGCAGAGTTCTCCACATCGTCTTCCCATCTGCGTTGCACACAGAGACATCAGGCAACGCAATGCATAGATAGCTAAAACAAACCCCTATAATTGACAGCTTCTCTTTTCGCATCATATTCCTTATTATGTTTTTAGCTATTTAACTTGATAGAGATTAGAGCAAAATATCACACCAGGGGGAAAGCTAAGATAAATCTGTTTATTGCCTAGTTCGGAATAGGAGTATGTGCACATAAGATTTATGAAAAACATAACTGAGATAGCTGCATAACTAGTGATACTCTGCATGCTTAGATAGTTTCAAGTGGATAGATCAGATGCAAATGCACCCTGCAGATCAATATCGTGTGATAAAATAACACTGTTACTAAAAGGATTCACATACGCGAAAAAGCCGCATGCAAGATTCTGGCATTTATAGAACTTCCTCCCCCTGTTAGCCTCTGTATTAGCAGTTCGCAATACGCAGGGTTCTCGACATGATGTGCACTGTACTTGACCTGCGTGTGAAAATAGCTCAAGATCAATTCATGAGCTTGCATTACCTCTTCTTTTTCGTTGCCAGGCCAGCTGAAGATTGGCTTGCATAACAATTTGTAGACATTACTGAGTAGTACAGTCACCTGATGCATTTCCTGAGCTTTGGGTATGGGTTGAACGAAAACCTTGAGGATTCACAACAGGTGTTTGTCCGTTAGTAAATTGCACGGCTGGATGAAAGCTAGTATGTAAATCTTGCCTTGAAGACCCCTGCCTTACACCACTTGCAGTCTGGCTCTGATTTCTTGCTGTGAAACAACAAATATGATCATAAAATATACATGTTTTTTAACAAATGACAACAAGGCCTACTTTCGATATACTACCTCCCTTTTTTAATAGATGACGCCGTTGATTTTTTCTCACATGTTTGACCATTCGTCTTATTCAAAAAATTTATGTAATTATAATTTATTTGTTATGAGTTGTTTTATCACTCATAGTACTTTAAGTGCGATTTATATCTTATACATTTGCATAAAATTTTTGAATAAGACGAATGGTCAAACATGTGAGAAAAAGTCAACGGCGTCATCTATTAAAAGACGGAGGAAGTAGTAAGCAAAACATGGGAGACAAAATAAGGTGAATCCACAAAACAAGCCTGTTTTAGATTCTATATATTTTGAGTTGCAATAAGCATAAGATTGCGATTACCCCTAATGAATCTAATTCTCTACAACTTGACTTGTAGCGGTTAAAAAGATGAACTCAACATTTTGCGGATACCTGGTGTTGCAGTCTGGCTATGACTTCCAAATCTACTTAATTCCATGAGCTCTTTGAGTATGTCATCACATCCACCAATACAACCTATAACAGCATGAAATATGTCCGAATCACCTTAGTATGTAACCAAACAAAAGATGTGTACGTGTTGAGAGGAAAGAAGGATTTGTTTTTTGGTCATATAAGTTTTAACTGAAAAACTAAAGTGAGTATGGAACTTCAATTGAAATAGGAGAGTATACCGAGGTGATCGACATCAAAATTTGGTGGAATATCCCTTCGCCGAAACTTAAATTGAATCTTATAAACCGGACCTGTAAATTTAACAGATTATCAATATTCAAAGGAGAATCAGCAAAGGAACAGTCCATCAGTGAAAATCATTGATCATACTAGTGGTACAATTTCAATAATTGGGGAACTAAATTATTCACCTGGAGCACAGGTAGGACAAACTTGATCAGTCACAGCAGCCCCTGAAAGAGATCGTGGGAGCCAAACTACATTTCTACACTGAAAGTTCAGGAAGACTATTAATATCAAAATTTTCGTCGGAGTTCAATTATTTTGGCTGCATTATTAGTTCCATATGCTCTTTTCTGGCAAGATTAATGAATTGTTTCTTATTTCCTTTTTTACTAACAAGAGGTCTGGTAACTAAGCAAAGCACACATGTTACTCACTTGAGGGAAGCCCCGACACCCAACCATAAATTCGCCAGTCTGAGGAAAGAAAAGCAAAGCTCAAGCATGGACATAGTGCGACACTTCCAATATGCCTAAGCTTCAGAACCATTTCAAGAAAGAAAAGATGTATGGGAAGATAATTTTACCGGCCTTTGCTTCAGAAACATTTCAGATTCATTGCATGCAGCACATGGTCTCACAGTTTCTATGGAGTTCTGTGTCTCATTGACCGGTCTACTTGACCTAGATCAAAAGTCAAAGTGAAGCTAGAAATTTGTAGCAATGAAAGAAGAAAGCCAAATGGATCCAATCAAACCTTGCAAAGAATGTTCCCATTGCATCAAAGAGTTTCACCTTGTTTGCCCTTGCCTGCATTATACCAATGATAAGTGGTTAACTACTAGATATAAACTCAGAGGTCAGAGCAATTCAATAGATGATGAACAGTTTCTATGCTTCACTTCCTGCGCCATATTGTTACTTTTATACATACATAAAAAAGAACTTACATCAAGAAAACAAGCCTTCATTTGCTGCAAACAATTCTCAAGTACTTCTGATTTACTCTTTGTACCAATGCTAACTGATTTCATATCAGCTTCCATCATTGATCTTAAATAAGGTTTCCAAAGCTCATACCTAAAATGACTTAAATTATTTCAAGAAACCAAACATATTACATGGGTTCAGTAAGTGAGGTTTAAGAATCAACTTACCCCATTTCATCGTAACCCATCACCAATGCCTCGCCCTGCATTTAGAGAAAAAAGAAACAAAAGACACGTGTGAAATTAGCAGATGAGCTTCATTTTCAGTACAATGGAGAAAAAGTATCTCATGGACAAGTACTATCTGCACTGGAGAAAAAATATATTACAGAGAACAGTATTTCCTGTGAACCAGATAAATATATTTTACAACCCACTAAACTTTTAGCGCATTTGACACTTTGGTGCTGCTGGTCTGTTGGATGATTTGGAAGGAGAGAAACACGCGAGTATTCCAGAATCAGAGCCGAACAGCGGGGTTCCTTTTTGGCGCAATTAAAGACGAAGCAGCGATCTGGAAAGAAGCTGGGGTTTTCAATGTTTTAGGAGAGTAACAACCTTCTGTAACTTGTATTTTTTCTTTTTAGGAAGTTGCCGCTGTGGCAACATCCTTTCACTTCGACAGCTTCTTGTCGAAGTCTGAAACTTGTATGTGTGTAAATACTCCTTTTCTTAAGTAAATTTGGTCAGCCTATCTTAGGCCGGCCTGGCTAAAAAACCCACTAAACTTTTGCCGGGTCAGCACAAACCCCTAAACTGTCTTATCAGGACTAGTCCAATAGAAATCACAGAAGGTATATGTAACGGAAATAAATAGAATATGTCATTAGAAGTAATACTTTCAGCTATTTTGTCCAAAAGTGTGGATGCATTACGTATGACTATAAGCATGAAAAATGTTGATGAATCTGACATTCAAAAGAAAAGCTCAACACAAGGGAAGAGACGTCCCAAACGCATTGCATTTAAGGTCGAGAAAATGCCCCAAAAGCCAGGTCTTACTCGTACGGGAACTCGTTGACACAGCCCGTGTCTTAACCTGTACTTTAGGGGAACACAACAACAAGGGGCATTTTTTTTCTGTGAGAACCAAGGTTCAAGCCCTGGTTGGTAGCCCTGGTTCTCAATAGAATCCTTACTTTCATACCAAACAGCAGTGCCCACATGATAATAAGAGATTTCTTCAGAAAAGCAATGGAGTTGTTGTGGTAAAAAAATCATCTGGGCAACATGCTACTACAGAGTATTATATTTGAAATGGGAATTCTGTTTATTTATCTTATGTTATGACTTAAGGTATGACAATCTGCACACAGGCTTAGGCCCTCTTTGTTTAGGCTTATAAGCCAACTTATAAGCCGAAAAGTCTAAACCTAAACAAAGATGCAGCTTTTTCGTTTGGCTTTTTTGAAGCCATAAGCCACTCTAACACTATTAAGCCAAAAGCTAGGTTGGAGAAGCTTTTTTGGCTTATATGAGGTAGATGTATGACTCCACCATTAAATTTAAGACATTAAATTCACCGGCTTATAAATCGTATAAGCCAATAAGCTGACTTAAAAGTCTAAGCCAATAAGCCTAAGCCTAAACAAAGAGGGCCTTAATATAATTCTCTCAATGCGGGCAAAAACTTATATTCAGAATATTCTAGCCAGGTAATCAAACAAATTGTATTATCATAAGATGAGATTAGATAGCTGAAGTTCTGTTAGATGCCATGTCATAATAACACTAACATGTAAATAATTGCAAACAATGAATATTGTGCTACATGCAATGATCTAATGAAAACTTAGTTGTGATGAAACATACTAGATTTGTTGGGGAGAACCGTGTATTTGCATCTTTGGTTGCATAACAACGGTCAAGTAACTTTTTTATGTGATCATGCATCGTTGCATCAGTGCCAATTCCTGCCTGGAAGCGAAAGGAGTCAATCAGTCAAATATTTTAGTGGCACAACTCAATATACATATGATATTGCCACAAGAAAATATTATGTTGCAGATTGACAAGAAGTGTACTTTATCCATACAACCAAGGAGGTCAGCTTCAGCAAGCAGAGGAGGTGGGCGAGTCATTCCAGAATCAAGCGTTAAAGTTGTTGGAACAAACTGCAAGGTCATCAACTCCTCATGGTAAACAACTAAAAAGCAACCAGAATATTCTTTCAAAAAAAATGAACAACTGATTCATATATACTGCAGTTACTAAATATTGAGCAAGCAATGCATACAAATTGTAGCGACTAATACACTGCTATACAGAATTGCACAGTTTCCCTATAAATCACCAACTGTTACAACATATCAGAAGGATCAATTTTTTAATTGGGAATATAAATTTACAGTCATCCTTAAATTGCAGGCTTTTATAAGAACATTCCACACAGGTATTTTTACCCACATAGCACAGAAGACACTATAAAATGAATGAGAAAGTGTTGGTACAAATGAAGCAAACCTGTTGTCCAATGATGTATGTCGGAAGTAATGTACCGCCCCATGAGTCAAACCGATATACGTCCAAATAATTTTTCTAGAAGAGAGTATATAACATATTTTATAGGACATGCAGAAAAGGAATTTTGCCATAAGTAACCCAGAAATGAAATAATCCTATTGCACTAGAACTAACGTTAGAAAGGAAAATGTATTCTGGAGTATTAAATTAAAGACACTGCATTCCTGAACTCCTGGGCACAGCATTTCCACCTGTACCAGCAGAAGGTCCATTTCCTAAATATGCTACCTAAATACCTGGCAATGTAAACAGTTAAGCATATTGGCTGTGTAATTCACTTTCTATTTAAATGCTCCTCCTTTCTTTCCCTTCCAATAAATATCAAAGCAGTTAAAGTACATCAAAATTGGCAAAGTTAAATTTTTCATGAGTTCTCCTAGCATTTCATTCTTGTTTACTGACTAAACATTTTATCATCCTTTATGTTTCCCTTCCCAATAAATATTAATTGCAGTGCACCACAACTGGCACAGTTAATTGTTTTATGATTTTTTTTTCAGAACAATGCTATTAAAGAACCAATTAATGTAAACTAAAGGAGGAATGGCAACCCAAGACTCACATTGAAGCTTCAACACAAAGAAGACGCTTCTCAGAGCTTAAAAGTTAAGACTATGTCACCTCTGTACATAAGATCAAGTTGTTTCTATTACTGATTGAAATACACTTTCTCCTACTCTTGTTTACCAGATTTATTAGTGGAGCAAAGTGTTTAAAGAACTAAAGAACAAGCAGAATTAGAGGTATAGGATATGTAACATATTTACATGTCCTGTATGGATACTGCCTATTTACACGTTTGCAACACCTATGAAACAATAGACGATTCCAGCAAGGTTTGAGGATGCTCACAGCAAGAACAACGCGCCCTGATGCATTGAACTGTTCACCAGCAATGTCAATTTCCACAGTTGTTTCAGCTCCAACTGCAGGTTGGGAGCAACAAGCAAGGAAATGGCGAACAACAAGCTCATACAATTTCTGGACACAAGAAGACAAATATGAAGAGTTTTATTACACACTTGTAGAACATAAGAAATACTGCCTTTAAAAAATATTAAAAATGCTATAGTATCTGCTATATAGGAAAGACACATACTTTGTGATTATCAGTCCAATTTGTTTCCCCAGCTGAAAATTTTGTTGGATGAATAGGAGGATGTGCCTTGTCATCGTGACCACCATTGCTGGGGTTTCTCCAAAGTCTTGCTTCAGGATCCAAAAGACGCTGAGCATATGTTCCCCAATTTGGATGAGCCACTTGTTCATGTACGATGGACTACATCAAAAGTACCCAAACATGTCGGAAAAAATAGATATATTCTTTTTGAAAAAACAAACAAACAAGGGAAGGTTAAAATGGTATAACCATCGCAGGTATTTATCAGAGTGTAGAAAACGCTTTTAATATTTTCTAGTGGCATTTCATGAATGACATATGATTAGAATTTTATAAATCAAATATTTAAACGTGACGGGGATCATCATGTGTTAGCATATCCACACAAAATGAAAAGGGGAACCAATTACCAAAAAAAAAAGTAACAAACCAATTACTCTCTCTGTTCCCAGATATAAGTATTTATAGGTTGTTTAGAAAAGATTAAGGGTTTAGGCGAAACTCAAATGCCCTTGCTTGGATTCCCTCCCAATCATCTGACTGGCTGAAATTGCTTAGATTCCCCTACTTTGAAAACTGTGTCCAAGATAATGCTTATATTTGTGTACAAAGTTTGAATTGCTATAAATGCTTATATTTAGGAACAGAGGGAGTATTTGACTTTGAGAACATATTCTTTATCATGTAAATTATGTAAAAATGAAAGTTATAGGTGCAAATATTCAATAACATGTAATCCGAATCATCAAACCATGAAATAAGAATGGACAAGAGGAACTAGTAAATTTGAAAACATACATGTAGGTCAGTGTTTGGAGAGAAGTTATCAGTCTCTGTCCTGGGATAACTAATAAATCCAGCTTGATAAAGTTCCTCAGCCACCTGATATAGACAGGACAAGAGAGCACTCAGCAAAACAATCAGTTCAGTGATATGTGGCCATAATTGGCTAGCAAAACTGTTCTAGGTATACAAGGTTACCAAAATAGAATTATTTTTAACACCTTCATTGTGTGCTCGGAACTCATTCTGAAGTACCTAGAGGCACGTTTCTGAAGCTCTATGGTACTTAGTGGATATGGGGGGTATTTTAGTTTCTCTTGATTCCTTACATTTTGCACCTGCAGGGAAAAAATACAACTAAACTGGTACTTTTGTTCTGTCATCAAAGATACTTATCGTTATTATTTCGTGAACATTGGTGTTGAAATAAAAGATGTCAAGGGCTCACTGTCGCCATTGGTTCTTCAACACACATTTCATAGATCACAACAGCAGATGAGTAATCAAACAAATGACCACGTCTGCCAAACAAGAAATAATCTCAGATGACGTTTGTAATGAAAGAATCAGTACAACATGTCGAGTGCATCTTACATCCAACCAAAAGATGCAGTGCCTTCATCTGAAGTGTGGGAACAATTTATTGTCCAGAACTCTTCAGGTTCATGAGCTTGAATCTCCCAGAAACGCTCAACAATAAATCCTAGGGTTGGAAACTGCAATGCAAAGAACATGTTACACCAAGATGAAAGTAGGCATCATTTAGTATCTTCTGTTCATACTCTATAGTGAAGTACCTGGCAAGGACCATAACTCAGAATTATATTCCTATCATCACCAGTGTCATCAAGAACAAATGCATCTTTCAGCAGCATTGTCTGGAACCTTGTGAAGGAGGCACCGATGCGAAGGTCAATTTCCTGTACAAAATTCTTAATAATCATCGGAGATCTTCAAGACACTAAGAAGGTGCAAGAAAATGCTTTTCATTTGAGAAGAATAATATAAGAAGGAGAAAATATACCGTCGTCCCATTCCATTCCTATACCAGTACAAAAGCTATAATATTATAGTCAGAACATGTGGCAGAGGCTCTTCGAGGACCTTAGTTTGCTAGAGTTGCTGTAGTACTTCTCAGTAGATGTGATGCAAGAGAATGCAACATCAACAAAGGTTGGAATGATAATTTAATTACCTGTCTTGCATCAACAGCATCAGCAAAGAGCTTGTTGGGTCTGTCAAGATGTTGCACAGCTTCATGGATTTCCCTGCAGTTTCATTTCTTTAAGACATTAACAGGAGATTTGGGATGAGTGTGGGACTGTGGGTCGGGTTTATCCAGTCAACTTGAACACCATAGTTCATCTCCATACAACTAACTCAAAGTAACACCAATCGGGCCGGATGTGAAGTGAATGGGGATACCCGTGCGATGCAGGAGATGGATATGCCATCTTTGCAATCAAGAAGAGAAAGTCATCAGTAGCAACAAATACCTGTCAATCAAAGCTGAGAAACGAGCTCTCCAAATGTTGAGGCGGCTGTTGGCACCTGCGCATATATCAATCACTTCATATGCGATATTCTCACCCTCTCTATCACAATCAAGCCAAAGCACAAGCCACTGACACTTCCTGGCTTCCTCTTCCAATGTTCTTTTTATGTCTTGCTTATCCTGCAATTAATTAAAAAAATGAATATACCTCAGCTGAAAAAAAAAGAAACTGGAGCAGTAATTATAACTTCATTACCATCAGACCATACCACTAGCATCAAAACACAAAAACAGATCACGTGTTTGGGCAAATAGACAAATGAGCATGGTCATTCTCAGCAATTTAAGGCATGCCTGCATGTTACCCAATAAATCCATCTAAGATAGGAGATTCTAAAAAGACAAAAGGAAAAGATACATAGGCAATCTATCAGATCAATGATGACTATGGAGAAAACATACTGCTACACCAAATCACATACAACAAGCAAGCTCCAGCATGGTTGTGGCAGTGCAACCGACAAAAAGAGTAGCATCTTGTTCTCCTGATGCTGGAAGAACGGAAGAATGAGAGGAAACTTGTATATCTGTTTAACTTCTGCCTCTAGTTTACTAATTTTTCTGCAAGATAAATGATGTTGTAGGATAAACTTTAATTTCAGAACAAAAGCCCGACTTCCTGAGGCCTGAGAATAGTATCTGCCAGGGTGTTCATATAATCATACTAGGTCGGCCAGCCCGGCATACAACTACCCTCTTATACCAGCAATAGCAAGTATAGCCTTCAGTTTTTCAAAATAACCAAATAGGACAGTTTATGCATTACTGTATCCCTCTTCCTATCACAATAACAATAACTTAATGTATCACATGTATAGTACAACACACAGACGTATATGACTGGAACCAGATTGCTGCTGCGCAACAGTGCAAATGACCAGCAGCACTAGTGGTTCCCAATTCAAAAACGAGTAGCAATCATGCGATGTCCCCCGATCAAGCTCCTGAAGAACCCTAGAATAGAGTTCCTTAAGTGCAGTACCCTAAACAAAATCAGCAGACGCATCCATTGATAGTACAAATCAGGTACTCATTATTAGACCCTCAGGCCCCCACGAACTGGAATCCAGGTACAGTACACCACCAAACGCACGAACATAAACTAGTCAACGAAATTTCAGTGCCGCACATTTCACCGTGAGTTAAACACAGCCAACTCCATGGACGCAAGACACTAAGAGACCACACCATGCAAAAAACGACACGTGACTGGTGAGGGCACAATTCACAGGACACCGCGCGTTGCGCACCAACTGTTCGGAGAAATGGGTAGCAGGAAACAGAGAGCCGTACCTGGGGTACGGACTTGCGAACGGGGGCGTGGAAGAGATCAGCGGGGTCGCACGAGTGCCAGCGGCGGAACCGGTCGTCGAACTCGAGCTCCATGAGGTGCCCCGTGACGGAGGTGACGAGCATGTGGCAGGCGCGGCCGCCGATGGAGTAATCGAACTCGAAGACGCGGTTGTACCGTGACCGCCCCTCCCGCGACCGCATCCCGCCCGACGGCCGCGACAGGATCTCCGCGACGGACTTCGCCACCGACGGCTTCTCCGCCACATTCAGCACGCGGATCGCGCCGCCGCCGCCGCCGTGGTGCATCGCGAGAGGAGGCGCAGGCTACGCTCTGGGAGGGGGAGAAACCGGAGGGAGGAGGCGGCGATTTCGGCCTTACCTTTTCGAAATTTTTGGTTCTGAGCGCGCCCTCGAGAGCTAGGTCGGTTAAGCTTTTCACGAGAGAGAGCTGGGCTTTCGAGCTCAATTGTTCAAAGACCCATGAATAAAATGGATATGGGCTACATTTGGCCCATTCAATTTTCGCCAGCGTATTACGCGGATTCGACTTCGAGTCATCCTGAACTTTTTTGGGGTGGAGCCGTCAATTGTGAATTCGACCATTCAAGCTGCATCCTCTTTAACATGAAGAAAACGAGAGATTTAGCATTCCTTACTGAGCCTTGGAGAGTACGGAATAGTATTGAATGATCATGCACTTAAAACTCTGGAATGTTGAAACTGTGAAAGGGATTTCGTATGAATTCTACACGAAGACTCTCTTATGCCAAAGGTCAAGCTCTCTTATGCGAAGGTCAAGGTTTACAATTACATGAAAACCACGTGATGAATGGTTTTGCAAGTCGTAGCTGACCGCGACAACGCGTCGAGCCCTCGGGTAGGCACATCGAAGCTTGACACACAAGGAACCAAACGCGCTCAAGAGCATTATAAATTTATACAACATATGAACATATACGTGTTGACACAGTCTTTATATTCACCCCAGTTTTTCAGCCTTCGTAACTCGCCTTCCACAAGAATTCAGAACATACCAGGAGGTCAGCTGCTCAACTATGCCGATCAGAAGACAGCAAGTTCTGCCTCTAGCTCTCATTTTCATGCTGATCTTCAGCACCACAATCACCATCAGTCATGCATCCAGATTGCTGGGAGCGAGATCGCAGCCACGACAGGGAAGCACGGTGTTCTTAACTTCAGCAAAGCCAGGTGCATCTGGATGCACCAATGATCCTAACAATCCTGGAAGAAGATGCCAAACACCATGAGAGCTTTGAAACATGTACATGTACAATATTCATTTTTTTTTTCTTTCTTTTCTGTTCTTTTCCTGTTCTTCTAGAGGTTATTCTTAAGGAGCCCTTTTAACCCTCCACAGCCAATTCATTTGTTCTTTTTGTACAGAAGTTTTGATTGCCCTGATTTGTGCAGAGTTGTTTTCAATATGACATCTTTTTTATAATTGTTTTGAATGTTACCTTTTCCTGAACTCACTTGCCGTTTCCTTCTGATCAATCACGTTCTGTTGATTGTGACTCCTTAGCAAGCAGTACTCGTCTGTCTGTATCATGGCATGACTAAAAGAAACATCTTTGACGTAAGGAAGATCCAGTAATAGCAAATAACCTCGCAGATCATTATGGAATCTGTATGTTATATGTAGATATCTCAGACATCACGATGCTTTGTGTACTAATATCTCTCACCAACTAGGATTTTCCAGTGATCTTCCAAACTTCTGGTTCCCTGAACAGGAACAAACAACTGAAGTGAAGATAAGTAATTAATACAAGTGAGAATAAACTGTACAGTCATTGCCAAATTGAATCCTTTTCCTGATCTCAAACGGTGGTTCAGATCACTGTGGGACTACACAATGTACTACCACTACACAATGTCTTGACAAAACATAGAAGGGAGGAAGCACAGTTTTTTTTTTTTGGTGTGTGTGTGTGTGTGTGAGAGAGAGAGAGAGACGAGTTTGGTTTGAAGAGTACCTGAAAATTTAAAGGTGTACTTGATTTCTCCAGTGCCCCGAAAACAAAAGCACAACCCCGGATAGCAAATTCCTGGGTCTTGGCGAAGAAGTATATGGAACATGTTACCTGATGGGAGAGACTTCCACAAAATTAACCAGCAGCCTATGGAAATTACAGTCACGCCCTGTTTAGATTCCAACTTTTTTCTTCAAACTTCCAACTTTTCCGTCACATCGAACTTTTCTACACACACAAACTTCCAACTTTTCCATCACATCGCTCCAATTTCTTCAAACTTCCAATTTTAGCATGGAACTAAACACAGCCTCAGTGTGATGGTACCAAATCTCAAACAAAATTATTGAGGGATGGAATGCAAAAAAAAAGAAAAGGAAAAAAGTAACTCAACCAAGCACCACTGTTGTCAAGAGAAAAATAATACTCAGTAGATGTTTAGCTTCTTGCTGGTCAGAAAATGGATAGCATTACATCTTACCAAGTCATACTCAAAATAGTAACTTGGTATCATTTATCATGGTTGGTTCCACTAGGTCAATAAGTAGAAGAGTGGCATGAAGAGACTAGAAGATGTTATAGTGCCAACTGCAGAATATTAAAATTTCTCACCTTCAAATCCATAGGCATTTGTTTCAGACTTTCAGCAGAATTCTGAATATTCACAAACTGCACAGTGCCTGCAGCCCTGCGTTTCTCTTTCCTAAATTATCCAATGGCTCTACGGAATCCAATAAAGAAGAAAATGAGGACCCTCAGAATTTATCGTCAGGAGCAAACCCTCTTTGAAGCATCTCATCATGAAGCTGGAATGCCTCCTTCGAGTTGCCAGCTGTGACATGACCATTTATCATAGACATGTATGTATATCTATCTGGTTCAATTCCTTTAGCACACATTTTCTCAAAAATCCAACCAGCTTCTTGCACATTACCATGTACAGAAAACCCATTTATGAGCATATTATATGTGACAACATCTGGTTGAACCTTTTCCTTCTCCATCATGTTAAGCAACTTAAAAGCATCGTGCATCTTATCTTCTTTGATATAACCATGGATTAGGGTGTTGTAAGTAATTAAATCAGGTGACACCTTGTTGACCATCATCTTTTGCAAGAACTTCTGCCCCTTTGAAACATTTCCAGACCGGCAATAGCCCTTAATGATGGAATTATATGTCATGATGTTTGGCAAAATGCCCTTATTTATCATTTCATCCAAAAAACCAAATGCATCTTCCACTTGTCCCTTCTCACAGTGACTGTCGATTAGGATACTGTACGTAACATGATTGGGGAAGATTTCACGAGAATGCATATCATCCCATAGATCATTGGCTTTGTCAAGATCACCTTGTCTGCACATTCCGTCGATCAAAGTATTATATGTTACTATGTCTGGCCTCAAACGCTGGTTCAACATTGTGTCAAACAGTTGCAGCGCCTTGTCTAGTTTACCCTCTATGCAATACCCGTGAATCAAAGTTGTGAAGGTACATAAATCTGGTGGAACCCCTCTCTCCCTCATCTCATTCAAAAGCCCTTCTGCATCTAACAACCTGCGCTCTTTACAGAGCCCATTCAACAAAGTATTGTAAGTTACCACATCTGGCAAACATCCACAGCCAACCATCTCATCCCTAACTCTCAGAGCATCTGACATTAACCCAGCCCTACAAAATCCGCCTATTACCATTGTGTAAATCACACCATCGGGTACCAATCCAAAGCACCTCATCTCCCTCAAGTACGCCATCGCATGGTCCATCTTCCCCCTCCTTGCAAACAATCCAATTAAGCAACTAAAGCTCACCAAATCTGGTTTAATACCACGGTGCCGCATCTCCTTGTAAATCTTCAACGCCTCCTCAATCTCCCCAACTCTACAAAATCCCCCAATCAAAATGGTAAAACTCCGAACATCAGGCGCAACACCAAAATCATCCATTTCTTTGAACACTTCCCATGCTTTATCCCACATCCCACTCCTACATAACCCTTTCAGAACCGAATTATACGTCACAATCCCAGGCTTTAGCCCTTTACTAACCATTGAGTCAACCAACGCCATTGCTGCCTCCGCGTCCCCAGCGCGAAATCTAGCATCAACCATCACATTATGTGTAACCACATCAGGAAAGACACATCTCTTCTCCATCTCGGAGATGACAGCGTCAACCTTGTCGAACTCCAGGGCTTTGCAGTAGTTGTGGACCATTATGTTAAGCGTGTACGTGTTTACCTCGGAGTTGGAGGAGAAGACAAGGCGGTAGGCGTCCGCGGCGAGATGGGGCCATCCGGCGCGGGAGAGGGCGGCGAGCAGGGCGTTGGAGGCGGCGGCGGGGATGGGGACGCGGTGGTCGAGGATGAGGCGGAATGCCTCGAAGGCCTCGCGGGGCTTGCGGGACTGGGTGTAGGTGCGGATTAGGAGGTCAAACACCCGCGGCTGCGGGGTGGGGGAGGAGCCGAGGAGGGAGGAGACGATCTCGCGACGGCAGGCGCCGCGGCGGCGCGACATGCGGAGGAGGAGGGACTGGCATTCGGAGGCGCGACCGGCGGCCGCCGCGGCCGTCGCGGCAGCGGCCAGGTCGGCTGTTGCGGGCTTCCCTCCGCTTCCACCGAGGGCGGCGGCGAGACCTGCCGCCGAGCGTTTGGTGGTTTCGGCGGCCGCGGCGGCGGCGAGGCGACGGGGAATCGCCATTGGTGACTCGAGGAGTCGAGGTGTTCGTCCCAATTGGTGAGTGTTACTAACTAAAGCCGTGTTCAAACAAGGAATACGTATTCCGTAGAAATCAAAATAGAGCCACCCTAAACGTAATCACAAAATACGCTTTCGTTCGCGGCTTCCGTGTGCCAAGCTGGAATCCGACTCGGAGCATAGCGAGATCAACTCGGTTTCGACATGGCTTCGGTTTAAGTCGCCAACACGGCCTCGACGTTTCGTGACACAACACGTATCCTTCCTTCCACTTCACCACGATCACGGAGGCGAACATGGCGGCGCTCTCTGCTCCCGGCGCCGGTGCTCCAACGGCCGCGAAGCCTCCACCGCTTTCCTCCCAAGCGCACAACGCGCCGCCGATGACCGGCGCGGCGCGGCCGGCGAGCCTTGGCGCTGCTACGGCCGCGACGCCTTCCCCGCCCGTGCAGAACGCGCCACAGATGACCGCCGTGCCGCGCCCGGCGAGCTTTGGCGCCGCGGCCGCGAGGGTTTCATCTCCTTCCCCTTCCACGCAGAACGCGCCACAGATGACCGGCGGGCCGCGGCCGGTGAACCTTGGGGCTCCCGTTGCTCGTGGTACGGCCGCAAGGGCTCCCTCGCCTTCTCCGACAATGCAGAGGCAGAACGCGACACCGATGACCGGCGTGCCGCGGCCGGCGAGCTTTGGAGCTTCCGGCGCTGCCGCTACCACCGCTAGGGGTCCTTCGCCATCACTGCCCGTGCAGAACGCTCCGTCGATGAGAGGCGCTATCAGGGCTCCCTGGGCGGCGCCACCAATGCAGGGAGCTTCGCCGGCTGGGATGGTGCCGGCAGGTCAGAGCTCCCACATAGCTGTGACCGGCATCCCGGCCGCACCGTTGCAACACAAGCGGATGCGGGGAGCGCGAGCTGCAATGGCGCAGGCCATGGTTCCGAGGAGCTCTCATACAGCAGTACTGTCCACCGTGAGGCCCCACGCGCCATTGTCGAACGCTCAGGGAGCTCCGTCAATGGCAATGTCGCCGGGCGTTCCGACCATCCCGACTCCGACCGGGAATCCTCACGTGTCGCAGCAACAGAGAGCAGCAATGGCGAGGTACCCCGCTCCGACGAGCTCTCGTGCAATCGGAGCCCCCATCCAGCCCACGGAGCCTCACGCGCCACTGCCGAACACCGGGGGAGAAGGAGCACCACCACCAGCACGCACCATGCCACCGCCATCCTCTCAGGCCGCGACCTCCACTCCTCCCGCCGCCGCGACGCCACTGCAGCGGCCGCCGGCGCAAGCCACCGCTCAGCCGTCGACACAGAGATACTACGTCGGCGTGCAGCGAGACAAGGGCACGGGCAAATGGGCGGCATGCGTGGTCGACCCGTCCAACCCGACCAAGCACCGCCTCGTGGGCGCCTTCCCGGACGAGCACGCGGCGGCGCTGGCGCACGACCGCCTCGACCTCGCGTTCCGCGGCGGCGGCCACCGCGGCGCCGGCGACAACTTCCGCCCGGCGTTCCACGCCGTGGAGCTGGAGTTCCTCAGGCTGTGCGCGGCCACCTCGTCGCCGGGCTCCCACTGCGGCCTCGTCGCCGGCGGCGACAAGTACGACGAGAAGTACTCCGAATTCCTGCGCAAAATCTACCACGGGGTGATGGACAACTCCCCCTCCTACAAGAAATTCTTCGACGTGATCCTGGATTTCTTCATCGCTCGGGCGAGAGAGATCGGGCGGGAGGCCCTCGAGGACGGCGGGGATATGCTGGTGGAGAGGTTCGTCGCGATGCACAAGAACAAGGCCGTGACGCCGAGGTGGCGTGCGTGGTACCGGAGGTAGGTGGAGGAGGCGCATGCGAAACAGGTGGACGCGCAGCAGCGGCTACGGCAGCAGGCCATGGAGGAGGCGCAGGCGAAACAGGTGGCCGCGCAGCAGGAGCTGCAGCAGCAGGAGGCCATGGCGAACAAACGTAAGGTGGCCGAGGCCCAAGACGACCGAGAACACAAGAGGCAGGAACTTGACCACCACGAACACAATACTTTCACGCGCATGAAGTTGAAAACAAAATTGTTATGCATACGTCCCAACAGTTGGACTCACGTACAATTGAATTTGATCGACGATTATAAACAGTCGCAGTGCATTATACATGTTCTCTAAATTGATTTATAGTTGTATATTTATTTGAGTTGTACAACTGGATCATATGTAGTATCTCCGTTTCACAACGTAAGTCATTATAGCATTTATCACATTTATCTAGATTCATTAATATCAATATAAATATGTGAAATGTTATAATGACTTTCATTGTGAAACAGAGTGAGTATATAAGTATGTATTGGCTTATTGAATGAGATTTGAGATGTGAGAAGATTGAGGGCACATCTGTACATGACCTTAGCTTTCCGTACACAAAAATGAGAAATGTGAAGATTTTGAAGGCCGCGTTGCTTGCCGCATATTGCTTCTATGCCATCTGAACCGGCGAGACGCTCGAGAAGCTTTTCACGCGACTCCGCCGGAGAGTGCCTGGCTCTCTCGCCGGCGCGGCCGGCATCGGCGGTGTCTCCTGCCGACGAGGAGTCGGAGAGAGAGGCGGCGAAGTTGGACCACCAGCCGGTCGCCATATCCTCTCGAAAGCACCCTGGAAGGTGAACCGTTCGGATCCTCCCAAATGTCAGGGAAAACCCATGTCAATTCCTCTATGACATGCATGGCCCACTCACGTGGGTCCCAGCTGCACAGTCTAAGAAAGTTCAGTGTATATGTACTGGAGCCTGGAGTACTACTTCACATTTTGGAAGTTCAGTGGTGTGTTTCACAAGAATCATAACGAAGAGCACAGCACATCATGCGTTCCAACTTCCAGTGCTCACATGAAGTTTTGGTGAATTGATTTCTTCCCCCTCATAGCGATTCTCGCAAGGTTCTTCAGATTCCTCTGTCCCTCCGAGGGGGAGGAGGAGAGATCGATCACTCAACCCAGAAGGAAGCTAGGTGAGTTTCTTCCGCATTTCTCACTGTGTTATTCAGTTCTTGTTTTCCCTAATTCCTAAATAGAAGTTCTTTCTTTCTCTCATCATGTTTTTCCTTGCCCTCTCCCATTTGCATGCACGTCTGTTGTTTCAGTTATCTGGTTAGGCATTTTTGCGGTCAGATTGGGCATTTCCTTTCTATCCCTAGCTTTGTGCGTTTCTTGGGTTTTGGGGTTTTTTCCCCAAGGTTTATGGTCCTGGCAAACTAATTGCAAGTTGGGTCCAATTGAACTGTCTAGACTCTACACATGGGGATTGTGAAACAAGCATCGAATAACCGAGTTCTGATTGCAAATTTTTTTTCCCGTGAAGTCGATTTTTTTTAGGGTCCCTTGTGGACTGTGGTATTGGTCACTGCAAGCGGCTGTCTGGGAGTTGCGAGCAAGCTCAGATTAGAATAGATGGATTTGATTCAGACAGAAAGATGGGTTTTTGTTGGTAGTAAATCCATGATCGAAGTATTGCTTTGTTTTTCTTCAATTTTCAGAACAACCGCATGTTTTATTTGCATCAGTGATAGTTCTGTTCATGATGATACATTATCTTTTTTGTTATTGCAATGTACTAACATTTTATTATTGCAATCATCCATGCACAAATGCACAATGCACCTTCTAAAACACTAACAAGTCTTCCTTTGTGTTCTAGGATGGATTCTGATAGCTGCAAAAGGCGGAAGCATGAAAGCGGTCACGATAGCTCTTCACGGGTCCAGTCCCAGTCAAGCATCCTTAGTCGTAACAGAATTTTGTGTCATCAGTTGCTTGAACAATGCGATGACTTGAAGTATGGGAGCTCCACGAATGATTACAAGGCAATCAGTATGAAGCGGCTTGAACTTATCAGCATCCTACAAAAGCTGCAAGAAGTACCTATCCAGTTGCCATATGCCAGTCCACTCAAGTCATCAGAAACAAATCGCCTTGTGCAAGATGGAAGAAACTCTAGTTGTCGTAATATAATTGACTTGGATTCAGACAATGATGAAGATTATACTTTTGCTAATGTGGACAATATTGGTGCTAACACAACAGTTGTTTTAGTTGATTCTGATGACGGGGACAGTGTTGCATCCTTTGTAGATGAAAAATCATCTGATTCCAAGCAAAATGCGAATTATATTGAAGAAAGCGTTCTGCCTGAGCAGCATGCCCAACAACAGGAAATCTCCATGCTGGATAATGAAAACATCAGTTCTGAAGCACAAGCAGTTAAGAAAGGAAAGGATAGTATGGACATCAACGATGTTATTTACAACAAGGTGTGCTCAATTATTCCTGAAATTTTATTCTACTAATGTGTATACAAGAATTAAGCAGTTTTATGCATATTACGGGTAAACGGAATCTCATACTACCCCCTGAACCCTGATCCAAAATTAGTCGTCCTGGAGTGTGGGCAATCAAAGTTTGAAACCTTTGAGAATAAATAGTTGTTGCATGAAATTTTATCAGTAGTTATGTCACTAAAATTACTTTCAAAAAGCTATAGACGATCTACAAGAAACACAAAAGCAAATCTCTGTTTTTTTTCGTTCTCCAAAACTGTCCAGGTTCCTTAAGCTGATTGTAATGGCTGTGCAAGGAAAACTAGTAGTTTTGTGTGGCTGTCTCCTTCAAGTTTGGAGCATCCAGTTAGCAGGCTCCCAGTAGATTTTTTTTGTTTTCCGTTCCCCTGATGACATTTTGGCTTGTAATGAGCTTGTTATCGTTTCTATTAGCAGAACGGGAGAGGGCATCCCTCTCTCCTCTTCAAAAAGAAATATTCTATAAATTTTGCAAACAGAGAGCTATAAAAAGTAATGGCCAAATGTGTGTGGATCGGAGATCGTAACAATACCCAGAATAACTTATATCTTCAACTACAGGGAGTAACTTATAAGAGAGGTGGAAACTAATCATCCTTAGTTTCCATGACCAGCGTATAGCATATACCAGCCTTAAAATTATGATGTTTGTCTAAACTTATGCTAGTATGACAAAATGTGTTGTTTCAACATTTAAGTTTATACTATTGAATGGCTGAAAATTATTTATTTGATGTCACTCTTGCATTTCAACAGAGTGGTCATGAGGAGATAGGGGAAGAGGAAGCACAAGCTGAAAATGTCCAGATAAAAGGGAACTTAAAGAAAGAGATCATCTCTGTTGCTTCTGATGAACTAGCTTGTGAAGTTATGCGCAGTCAGTCACCAACCAATGGAAATTTTGATCAATATGACAACAGCAGCCCAGTTGATGAGCTGGAAGGACTTTGGATGGACATGTACCTTGCAATGGCATGTTCAAAGGTATACCATTGGCTTTTTCTTTATTTTTTGGGAATACGCATAAGATTTGCACACCATTGACTATTGACTCTCTTTATATTCCGATTGTCTCTGTGTTTGTTGTTTGATAGATCAGGATATAACGTACAGTTTCTATGAGAGAAATTACCTCACTGCCTAGATCCCTTAATTGTCTGATAGTTATTTCTGGAAGGTTTTATAACAGTTTTCATGCTCACTCTGAGGAAGTTGTTCTCACTTGGCCTAATCAACTACCGCAGCCATGCAAGTGCATACAACTCCCTGTAGCGGCTGACTGAAATGCAAACAAGGCAGCCGATCAGGCCAACTGTATGAAATTCATACGAGTAATTGTTAATGCACAGGCCTTTATTTAGTATCATTCTGCTGTTTTGCTTGACCGTCAATAAAAAGTTCTGTTTGTTTTATCTCACTTCTCAATTCCTTGCCATTCAGAACATGTAAATTGTAAATGTTTTATCTTTAGTCTTTACCATCACCCTGGAACTGAGTTCCTTCTTTTTAACATGCTCCTTCTACCTTTGCTTTCTGTATGGTTTAGCACCACTTGCCTCTTGTTTACAACTGAGTTCTTTTTAACAATGCTCCTCAATCTTTGCTTATTTCATGGTTTGTAATTACTTTCTTCTTGTTGAATGGCTCACTAACTTAGTTTGCTTCACCAGACTGTTGGAAGCGATCATAACATTGTCCCATCAGAGAATTCTTGTGAACAAGCAGAGGATGAATGCCAGCACGATTTCCTGATGAAAGATGATTTGGGCATTGTCTGTCGTGTTTGTGGTCTGATCCAGCAACGTATTGAAAATATTTTTGAGTACCAGTGGAAAAAGGTATGAAATTTCTGGTCCAAATTATTTTACTATAATTAATTACTGAAAAAGAATTAAAATTATGACATTTCCAAAATTACTTCATGGTAGCACACATGCTCCATTTATCATCACAACATAAACTAGTTATATTTTGCCTGCTGTCCTGTAGGCTGTAGTCACCTGATTGTTGTTACATACTTTTTCGGGAATATTGCTGTTACATACTTACATTCTTAGTGGCCTGTTTACCTAGGGATGAAACAGATTCTCTTATAGAAATGCACATGGAAATCATTTTGCTACTCTTAAACTAAATAGCTCCTTGCCTAGCCTCCTTCTACATTATGTTCCTTCTACATTCCTTCTTTTTGTTCAAAAATATTTCTCATTATCTGTTACATGTGTCAGCGGAAGCAATCGTACAGAGCACGTCCCTCAGAACACAGAAATTCTAGTGATGCAGATGCAATTGACAAAACTTCAGGAGCTATTCTCGAAGTGGTCCCTGATGCTCTATGCCTCCACCCTCAACATTCACAGCATATGAAACCTCACCAAGTGGAAGGTTTCAATTTCCTGGTCAAGAACTTGGCAGATGAGAACAACCCTGGTGGCTGTATTCTGGCACATGCACCAGGTTCTGGGAAGACTTTTTTGATAATTAGTTTTGTCCACAGCTTCCTAGCCAAATACCCTGCTGGAAGGCCATTGATTATTCTCCCAAAGGGAATTCTATCAACATGGAGAACCGAATTTCTTCATTGGCAAGTTGATGATATTCCTTTGTATGACTTCTACTCCTCCAAAGCTGACAAACGGTCTGAACAACTCAAAGTTTTGAACTTGTGGGAGGAGAGCAGAAGTATCCTGTTGTTGGGCTATCAACAGTTTGCATGCATAGTTTCTGATCACACTTCTGATACAGAAGCCATCATGTGCCAGGAGAAGTTACTGAAGGTCCCGAGCCTTGTCATTCTAGATGAAGGACACACTCCAAGAAACGAGGAAACAGACTTGCTCACTTCACTGGAAAACATCCGAACTCCTCGTAAAGTAGTCCTCTCAGGAACCTTGTTCCAGAACCATGTGAGGGAGGTTTTCAACATTTTGAAACTTGTCCGATCCAAATTCTTGAAGATGGACAAATCTCGTGCTATTGTTAACTGCATACTAAGCAAGGTGGACTTGATGGGGAAGAGTGCACGATCAAAGAATATCTCAGATAAGGACTTCTTTGATTTGGTTCAAGAACACCTTCAGAAAGATGGAAATGACAAGATGAGAGCGGTGATTATCCAAAATCTTCGTGAGCTAACTGCAGATGTGCTTCACTATTACCAAGGCAAGCTTTTGGATGAGCTACCTGGAATTGTGGACTTTACAGTTTTTCTCAATATGAGTAGCAAACAGGAACATATTATTAAGGGCTTGGATGGAATAAATAAATTTGCGAAACGCTCGAGATGCAATGCCGTTTCTCTTCATCCATGCTTGAAGAATGCCAATAAAGCTGATGCAGATGATGGAAATGTCACCAATAGGAAGATCGGTTCCATCATATCCGGAATTGATATCAACGACGGGGTGAAGGCCAAGTTTGTACACAATCTGTTGTCTCTTTCAGAAGCCACGGGAGGGAAGGTACTCGTGTTCAGCCAGTATGTGCGCTCTTTGATTTTCTTGGAAAAGCTGGTCAGTAGAATGAAAGGATGGAAATCAGAGGTACATATTTTCAGGGTTACTGGTGGCTCAACTCAGGATCAGCGTGAGCAAGCAGTCCATAGATTCAACAACTCACCAGATGCTAGAGTCTTCTTTGGCTCCATCAAGGCATGTGGCGAGGGCATCTCCCTCGTTGGCGCGTCTCGTATAGTGATCTTGGATGTCCATGAGAACCCTTCAGTGATGCGCCAGGCGATTGGCCGTGCCTATAGGCCAGGACAGTCTAAAATGGTGTATTGCTACCGCCTCGTCGCTGCTGATTCGCCTGAGGAGGATGATCACCACACCGCCTTCAAGAAAGAACGAGTGTCGAAGCTGTGGTTCGAGTGGAATGAGCTCTGCAGCAGTGATGATTTTGAGCTCGCAACGGTGGATGTTTCAGATAGCGAGGACAGGTTCCTTGAAAGCTCTGCATTGAAACAAGATATCAAAGCCCTATTAAAAAGGTATATCTCAATGATTAGTATGATTCTGAAGTCTGATTAGATCATAATCTGATCTCCGTCCTTCACATTTTTTTTGTAGGTGAATACCACCATTGAATGCTGACCAGTGACCAACATGTGACGAAGAACTAGGGGGAGGAATTAAAAACAACCTGAGCAAGTTTTCTGTGATCTTTTGAAGTGTTTGGCAGATGGTATGCAGCATGCTAAGTTGAATACTAATGCAAAATGGGGCACACTACATATACTAGTTATCAAGTGTAAGAATTAAGATGCTTTTGATTGACCTTTCGCATTATAAGTTCCTGGACATAATGAGATTCTCTTGTATTCAAGTACTGCCAGTTTGATATATGACCATTAAAATGACTATTGCACTTATATTTGCTTCTGAGTTTCTTCTGAAATTTTTCATGGTGTGTGCTTGGTTCAATCTGTCTCATGCATCTTCAGAAGTTCAGATCATGAACTTGCAGTAAAAAAAAGTGTTACAAAACTCATACACCCCCCCCCCCCCCCCTCCTATCTGCATTGCTTTATAACATCTGGTACAAAACATGAAACATTTGTAGCTGCAATTCACAGTAATCCATTGAACATCTGGTCCAATCTGACCCAACACATCACCACATATATATATATGAATGATCCATGCATCAATCAGTAGAGAAATCTGCAAGCTAGCAAAAATACCAATCTATCTTTACAGCAAGCTACACCCCCTTCTCATATACAGTTTTACAATTACACCCCTGATCACCCCTACTTCGATCACTTTACTTACCCCCCCAACACAACACACGAGTGTACGTGTATATTGCTTGTATACCTGTATACCCTCGCCGACGGCGCCGGCCGGCCGGCCCAGGCTTCTGACGCCGTCTTGCGTTATTCCCCGCCGCCGCCGCCGCCGCCGCAGACGATGCATCCATCGCGCGCCGTGCTTTGATCACGCGACGAAATCGTGCAGCAGCTGCGACGCCGGGCCGAACCGCTGCCGGTCGTCGGAGCCGTTGATGTAGTCGAAGTCGCCGGCGCTGCCGTAGAGCAGGCCCTGCTGCTCGGCCGGGACGGGGCCGGCGTTGTTGCAGTGCTGCAGGCCCAGCGTCAGCGACACGCTGCCGCCGTCGTAGCCGCCGCCGCCGCCGAGGTCGGCCATGTCGCCGTAGGAGACGAACCTGGCGTCGCCGCCGCCGCCGTGGTGGTGGTGGTGCAGCGCGTCGTGCAGTAGGCTGGTGCCGCCGGCGCCGGGGTGGTGCACGTGGTGGTTCAGGTTGAGGCCGGTGGCGTACGTGCCCATGGCGCCGCCGAGGCAGCTGGACAGGCCGACGACGCCGACGCCGACGTCCAGGGCGGCGCCGCCCATCGCCTCCGACTTGAACGGGTTGTTGAGCTGGCCCGCGACGCCGGCGTGCCTCGCCGCGGCGGCGCTCGACGGGCTCTGGAACTCGTCGCGGTCCTCCGACGAGATCGCCTCGTCCTTGCCCTTGCCGCCGCCGCCGCCGCCGTTCTCCGACGACGAGTTGGAGTCCATCTCCGCGCCGAACTCCTCCTTGTACATCTCCTCGATCATTGGCTTCCACAGCCGCACGCGCGCGTTGATGAACCAGTTCGATACCTACGTAAAAAAAGAAAAAAAAAACCATGGAATTCTCTTCTTGATTTGAATCCATCAGCTTTGCATGAGAGCGTCGAGTTCATGGAGCTCAATCTCACCTGCCCCCTGGACAATCCCGTCTGCCTCGCAAGCATCAGCTTCTCGGAATCTTTCGGATACCTATGGATATTCATGGCGCCATTGGTGAGGATTAGATTGAGATCGATCGATCGACATGGATGACGGCGGAGGTGGTTCTTACGGGTGGAGGAAGTGCTCGAAGAGCCAGGCGCGGAGGACGGAGACGGCGGACTCCGGGAGGCCGCGCTGGGGGCGCCACGCGTGCTGCGGCTGCTGCATCATGCCGAACTGCTGCATGGCGCGCTGCTGCCGCAGCTGCTGGTCGATGTAGCGCAGCCGGGAGAGGCCGCCGCCGCCCTGCGCCGACGCGTCCTGCTCGCCGAGGCCCCGCCGCGCCGCCTGCGCCTGCGCGCCGATCGCGTCCCGCAGCGACCGGAAGTGGCGGGAGATCGTCTGCAGCGCCAGCGCCGTGTACGGCCTCGCCGCGCCGCCGCCGGCCACCGCGTCGAACGACGACATCACGATCTGCATCTGGTGGTGGTAGTGCCTGTACCTCCGATCAACCTGCCGCGCGCGCCACAACGCAACAAAACCTCCATTGACGAGCACGTTCTTCTTGTTCGGAAGTGACATGGAGTCATGGAGATCGAGGCATTACCTGATCGAGCATGGCCATGAGCGCGGTGACCTTGTTCTGGAGATCCTGCCTCTCCGACGGCGAGAGCTCGGGGGCTGAATTGCTCTCCTGCTCCTGCGGGTTCGAGCCGGCCTTGTCGTCGCCGGCGGCGTCACCGCCCTTGCACTCGCCGGAATCCTTGCCCTGGTTCTTGTCACCCTTCCGCTTGATCGCGTCGCGGACATTGACAACCTCGTCGAGCAGCTCGCGCGCCGCCCTGAGAAACCTCGAGTTCTGCACGTAGATGCTGTTCTGCGCGCTCCTCCCCGCCATCGGCGACGACTGGCTCGGGCTGAGCAGCGAGGCGGCCGCCATGCCCGCCGGCCTGTACTGGTAGAGAGACACCGGCACCTGCGTGCCGAGGCTAAGCGATAGCCCGCCCTGGTGTCCCCGCGCCGCCGCGCCGTGCGCCATGAGCAGCTGCGTCTGCAGGCCCATCTCGCCGCCGTCCGCCGTCGCCGCTTCCCTGAACGCCGCCGGCTCGTCGCCGCCGCCGTGCGCAATGTGGCTATGCGACACGATGCTCGCCGGGAGCGGGATCAGGCCGCCGGCCGACGAGTCCGAGTAAGGGTTAGACGGCGGTGGGTAGTGCTGGAACGACATGTCGCCTCCGTCGCCGCCGCCGCCGGTGAGGTCTCTCTGATTGGTGGAAGAGGAGAAGAATGTGGCCATCGTCTTCAGAAGCAGAAGAAGAGACAGACTGAAGAAGAATCATCACGTAGATGACGAGACAAACTGATTAACTCTGTCATCACAAGGGTATTTGATATTATCAAACCCTGATGAAAGATTCAGTCTTTGGCTTCAGCTGCAAACTGGCTGCAAAAGAGAACAAAAAAAACGAGTGAGGATTCAAAACTAGTAGTACCAATTCGTCTTTGAGATGATTTCAGGTAGTAAATTCAGACTGCTGGATTGCTGCAATCTGATTTTAGGTTGTTGCTTTCTAGTAACATTCATACTTGAGTCAGACGTTTCAGAGAAAAAACCACAGAAGATTTAATAGGAGCAAAAACATCTCGTGCATCAACATGGTGTACTGAGTTTTGTCAGAGACGTGACGATGAGTCCAGTAGTAAACAGTAGCCACAAATTCAGACAGCAACTACAAACGAAGTTCAGAATTCCTAGTACAACTGAAGTAATTCCGATTCTTGAAAGAAGAGAGGAAAAACTGGAATATGTCAGGAAGACGAGGAAGTGAATCCAACATAGCTCAAGTGCTAAACTGCTTATGTCAGCTGTCTACCTTGGACAGTAAGCTTCAGATTGCTGCGCTTTCTGCAATACTATTCCCAAAGCTTTCGCAGTACCTGCAATTTGATAAATTCAGCATCTAATGCGAACAAAATAGCAGTTCAAACCAGTACTTGTGAAATCATGAAAAGGAAAAAAAGGAGTCTGAATTTCTCAGCAAGCTACAAAAACGAATGCATCCAGAAATAGTTGGTTTCAGAGAAATTCAGCTCAATTTCAACAAAAACTCACCGCTGCTTGAGAAATTCAGAAAACAATCTCAACAATAATCTACGTAACAAGAAGCAATCTTTTCAGTTGGCACACCAACCAACCACAAAGGAGCTAACAAGAAACGGAAAGTTCAACAAGCAAGAAGGCAGAAGACAATACCAAGAATTCATATGAACACCAATCAAGCCCAAAAAGATAATTCCTTTTGGTTTTCTCAGATCAAACTCAAAGACAAACTGATGCAACCAAAGAACAACGTTAAACCTGATAGGATAAGGCTATATACCTGTGCAGAAATCGACTTTCAGACCAAGCAAAGAGCTAGAACAAGACAGTTCCTGGAGTATGACAGAAACCACCCAGAACGGGGACAGAGATGATCCCAAGGATTCTAAAAAGAAATTGCAACAAGAGAGAAGATTAGAATAATAAGAACTAAAACTGCATCTACTCCTTTTTGTTATTTTTTTTCCTTCTCTCTTTTGGTTTCACTCTGTAGGCTACACTAGAGTTGTTCTAACTCCTCACTCTTTCCTTGAGCAATAATATACGGCTGCCACCAATAAGGCGCTGCCTAACACTATCTCCCTACAAATCCTAAAGAAACCCCACCACCATTTTGTCTGTTTCCTTTCGATTATTCTTCTCTATCTCTTTCCCCGCTCCCTCATTTTCTCACTTAGGTTTCAACTCGTGGATTCACTGGAATTTTCATCGGCTGTAGCAGTCGAACATGCAGCAGGAAATTGAACGGACGAGATTGACTGAATGCAACTATTGCAGTATCCCTGGATCATCCAACGCTCAATCTGAACTTGCAATTTGGTTTGTAGTCTGTACATGGAGCTAGCCGCAAATTCTAGTGGATTCTTTCACTTTCAATTTTTTTGACTGAACAATCAAGTAGTAATGATTTTTCCAATGAATTAACTCAGTTCATCCACTGACAGTAGCACAAAAAGGAGTCAGTCTAAAAACTCTCAGTTTTTACTCTTCTTGAGTTTGCGCTTACAGCAAACAGTACTTGTTGAGCAGTTCAGTTAGTTCACTCTGTGCATTCAAATAGAGTAGGTGCAATTCAGTTATCACTTGCTTGGTGTGTTTTTACCTGAATTCTAACCCAGCTTGCCATATTTAGGTGGTTCTTGATTGCTAGGAGGCCGATCACTCGGAGTAGGTGACGGCATCTGTTAAGACGTATTAGTCTGCTAACAACCAGTTGGTAGACCTAAACCCTCTTTTCCCTTCTGAACCTTCCAATCTCTCCAACTGATCATGAGATGCTCCTTAGCAATTTGCATAGGGGGAGGATGCAGACATCTCACAGGACGAAGTGCAAAAAAATGTACTGCATATATACATTTGCATTGCCCAAAATCTCTCATTTCTTTTCATTTCTAGTTAAAAGTGCAACAGGAGGCCCCCAAGGCCACAAAACTAATGCTCAACTTTATTTCAGTTTGGTGGCACACACTTGCTTTAGAAATTGGGCATGAGGTAGTGATGTGCAAGGACAAGTGTCTTCATGGTCCCCTCCAATAATGAATTTGACCTCCCAACTCCTTGCCTTTGCTTTGCAGGTGCCTCTCGCTGACATGTGGGCCAACTTCGAAGAGACGAGATTCGGCGAAAAAATGCGATTATTATAGCTGAGTATAATTGACAACCAACGCATTTTTTTTAAAGAAAAAGAGGATTATTTCTAGCCTCTATACCGAATAAGGATGCACAAAACCATATTTGTAGACATTGGGATTTGAACCATAATAGGGTAGAGTCATGCAGTCGGACAAGGAATGCGTATTGTTGTCTCTGTGACTGTTCACAATTTTCATGGAATGTATTCTAAGGCATATGATTCTCAGAAAAATTATAAATAATTTAGTAATTTCAGTTTCATCATGAGGTTTGTTTTGTTCAAGCTATTAGGAAATCGTTGAGAATGTCATTAGCATGTCTTTACTATCAAGAAACACAGGTCACATCTCATTTATTTTTTTTACACAGTATCTGATTGTGTTACCTAGAAGTCTCGTTACTGTACAAGGAAACGAATTAGTCTTCAATGGACTACAAATCTATTCAATAATGCCATGACAGGGATCTTCATAGATTTGGGCGAATTTAATTCCACATTTACAATTCTAGTTTGAAATTTACAACCTCACTTCTTTTTCGCGAACCCACAACCTTACAGTTACAAAGAGGAGAAGATACACATATTATTCATTTGCGACTATATTCAAGACAGAGAGTAGTACTCCATTTTAGAGGGACAGGCCCATAACAATCAGAAATGTGTAGTTCACAATCCTTACTTTTCAAGAAACACAGGTCATATCACATTTAGTTATAGACATCCCATCAGGTTGGATCACCCCAGCTACTAACAGATACTAGCATGTCGGTTCCTGAAACGAAGAGGGGTCTCCTCTCCTGTTTCCCTCAAAAGAAAAAGGACCGAAGAAGTTTCAGACTCATTCAGATCGATCGGCCTGTGCCACCCAACGCAATTGCATCAGGGTCCTCATGTACTTACGTTTCTGTGATTACACTCACCTTGTCCACTTTACTTTTCTTTATCAAGCTGACCTCAATTCTGTTGGATCGTCACTGGAATTAGGTGATTGGGACTATCTTAATTCGCCGTGTCGATACATGATTCGCCAATCTCTTCTGCTACACTGTTAGAACGGTGTGGTGTCCTATAACCAACAGAAGTTTCTAATGATTATTTTTCATCTGAGATACTGTAGGATAATAGAGAATAAACTTCTGCTACTTTCAGAGACTGTTCAAGACCAGTCCATAGAAGAGAACGCTGTTCAGGACAATTGGCAAGAGTCTGAATGTGGCCAATCATCGCTGCATGCGAACACAAGGCTGTCAAAATCAAACGGAAAGATAGGATAGGAAGAAGAGAAGAGAGGAGCTACCTGACGAACAAGTGGCAGTTTCACGCTAGATGAACGACAGCTGAGTTCAGACAAAAGGTCCAATAATTTTAGGAAAATTACGGAGGTAATCACGATGCAACTAACCCAGATCAACATTGTTAAGGACGGATTGGGATTAACAAGGAGCATATGCACCTCTTATTAACAATTTAATTGATATTGAAATTAAAAACTGCACGTTGTAATCTTTAAATGAGGACAAGAACAAAAAGGAAATGCGTTCAGAAAATGGTTCTCTACCGAACGGGGGATAAAGAAGAATTTTCCATGTCAAGTCACGTGAAACGCGCACGGGTGATGATGCCATTAACATTTTAGCTGCTGAGCAAGCGCACTACCTAACCCTGTCTGTCTAGATGGTCATCACCTTGCAGTTGGGTTGTTTCTCTTGTCGTCTTTTTCTGACTTCTTCTTTTCTTTTTCGCCGAAGCAGCCTTGTGGAAGTTGCTACTAGTGGAGATAGCCAACCGGGTTCCAGCAGCTGTTCGATCTGTGGATCATCATCGTTCACATCAGTTGCCAATGATTGTTTGTTCATGTGCCACAACTATTTATTCTGGCTGATTGTATATATATACATTCAGATGGTGGTAGAATTGGCAGATAAACATTGACCATCTAGGCATCTATCTATATAGTAGCATAAAGTACCAATGGAGCCTGCAAGACTGCATCCCGAGGTAGCAACTGATATTGTGATCACTTGGAACTTAAATTCTATGATTGATCCGGTTGCGTACGTACAGGTACGGCTTAGTTCATGAGCAGCATATACAAACTGAACTCTTTATCATGCAGGATCTATACAGAATTCAGTTCCAGTCTGCACGAGGTGGTGAAATATGAGCAGGATGGGACAGAGAAGAGAAGATGCAAAGGTAAAGTAAAAAAAAAATCAGACGGCGAGATATTTTTCTATGCGTCGTCGCCTTTTGATGTCACATTCCGTTACTCCGATACGATCAGGCCTTGCGATCCAGATCAACAACCACATTCTTGTGTGCCTATGGCTACAAGACAGGCAGAGCACACACTCCACACTACACTGCGATTGCAATTGCAGTTTGCAAAAGCAGAGCTTAGCTGGGGACAGATGGCTTTCGTAGCTTTTGCCTCTCCCGACTGATGATGAACAGGAGGTAGGTAGGCCAAGAGTGTCCGAGAGAGAGACAAAAAACAATAGTATCTATCAATCTATCTATCTATCTATCACTCTATCCATCTAATCTAATCGAGAATTGCATCTTTATTCCGTCATCCAGCATCGTCCTCTTCCCCCTTTTTTTTCCCAACTTTTTTCTCTCTCTGCGCTTTGCTATCAAGATCTCGTACTTTCCATAAAGCGTCGGCACGCACACGCTTTGATCGTCAACCAAGCCACAGGCATGGAGGCGTCCCGGAAAGGTAGATCGATCTCGCTGAAACTGCACTGAAATCACAGGAGAGAATCGGTCATCAGGTGACCAATAATTTTGGCGATGGATGCATGGGCGACGCATCCGCACACATGATGAGTAGAGAGAGAGGGAGAGGGAGAAGCGGCGGCGAGACGATGGCGGGAGACAGGTGGGAGGACAGTCCATGTGTGAGGATGGAGGTGACGTTAAATGTACTTGGAGGTGGGCAGGCAGGCAGCCGTGTCGAGCGAGTGGCTGCACGTACGGTCGCGCGTCACCGTGCCGTGCCGCGAGCCCGCCACGGCACAGCCGCGCGGGCGCGGGGCACGGCCGCACACGGGCACTGGGGTTGATGCGTTGCCGCCTCGTGAGATTTCGGTGGTTTTTTGGGGTGTTTGGTTGGGCCGACGACGACGCGCGGGTGTGCGCATGGACCCGACCGAGCGGAAGGCCGTGGATTTTGCAAGGAGAAGTTCACTTGGATTTCCTTAAAAGTAACTAAAATCTAATCCGTGATCCTGAATCACAAAACCAAAAATCTTGACCCTAAAGTGTTAAAACCGGTGCAATTTGACTCTCCGGGTGATTTTGGAGGGTGGTTTCGCTGACGTGGCGACTACGTGACAGTGTTGACTTAGTTTTCGTCCGACGTGGTGTTGAAGTGGTGCTTATATGGTATTAGAATTTAAAAATATATGCGGGACCCAGTTGTCATTGACACAAACAATATTGTGAGCCCCACCTCCTCCCTCCCTCTCCCTTATCTCTCTCTTCTTCTCCCCTTTCTATTCACCTTCATCCGACAGAAACGAGGGTAGCGGCTCGATGGCAACGAAGGGCGCACAGCGGCGGGCGGCAACAGGCGACGGCATCAAGGGTCAAGGGAGCTGGGCCCCGACGGAAAGCCGTGCATCGGCGGGCGGGAGCGGCGGCAGGCAGGCAAGGCCCGAACAACTCGCCATGGCCACCCGCCGCCGTGCCACCACAGCCGCCGGCGTAGACCCCAGAGCCGTGGAGCAACTCAGATGCTCACTCACTCGCCACGGCGCTCTCCTCCGCAGTAATGGTCGCGCGGCGTCCACATCCCTCTTCGGCGAGGCCCGCATCACCATCCGTAAGTCCGCCGCGAAGCCCAAGCCGTCCGCCTTTGGCAGCCCGTGGTACGGACCCAACCGCGTAATCCGCTCCACCGATCGGGGCAGGTGCGTGCGGAGCCCGGCGAGGAGGGAGGAAGATGGGGGCGGCCTTCGCCACTAGCTCTCTCCCCGCTAGCCACCACCGGCCGCCAGGCTCTCCGCCGACCCGCCGTCGCTCCGGCCCTCGACCGCCTGCCATCTCCTCTGTCGCCGCCTCCGCCTCCATCCACGCCAACTCTAGCCCGAAGCGCCGCCGCCACTCCGGTCCCCGTCCGTCGCCGCCACCGCTCCAGTGCCTCCAGCGCCTACCCTCGCGCCACCGCCGCCGTCGCTGCCGCTGCCGCCATCGCCTCTTGCAGAAGGCCGAAGTGGAGAGAGAGAAGGGAAAGAGAGGGAGGAAGAAGAGAGAGAGGATGACATGTAGGGTCCACATGTCAGTGGGCCCTATAATTTTGTTTGTGTGAATGATAAATGGGTCCCACATATATGTTTTTAACTCTAATGCCACCTAAACTCCACGTCAATGCCACAGACTAGGTCAACACTATCACATAGACGCCACATCAGCGAAACCGCCATTTAAAACCACCAAGGGAGTTAAATTGCACCGGTTTCAGTAGTTCGGGGGTGGAGATATCCGGTTTTACAGTTAGGATCATGGATTAGATTAAGACAACTTTTAAAGGAGTAAAAGTGAACTTATTCCATTTTGCAATGACATCTTCGTGAGACGGCCCAAATACACGGCGCGGGTGGTGTTCGGAGTTTAGTTCTCCGAACCCCCTGTTTTCTCAATATTATCGTTATTTTTCAAGGCAACGGTAAGATCGCTGGCTAGCTGCAACAGGAATCATCACCATTGTGCACCTAAGATTTCTACATTTGTTTCGAGCGAATTAGAGACATCAGACATATCTGAGATGCAAGACGTGGTACTACTACACCAGTCATCCTGGTCATTGGCCATTGATGATGCGCACTCATCACAGGTTTGCAGTGTGCAATCCAATGAACCGATACTGTGCTGTGCTGCCCATGATCTTTCAACTCCAAGATCCCGTGATCAATCCTAAACACACTCACAATTTTCTATTAAAAATTGTTTGGAGGTACATCTCTCACTTCAAGGCCCTTTTCATTTTGATGTCATTTTCAACCTTACCAAATTTTGGTAAAGTTATCAAAAAAGTAGCTACATTTAGTTTGCTGTTAAATTTTGATAACTATATAAGAAATCCTGTCAAAATTTTGACATTGTTAAAATTTGGTAAGGTTTTTTTTTTTTTTGCAACAAAGTGAACAGGCCCCAAATCTCGTTTTCTGCGGCGTTTGTTGGCGTCGTCGAAGACGGCGGCGCTTGGGCTCGGCGAAGTAGGGAAAGAGGAGCGGTGGGCCGGTGGCTTGCTGCTTGGGCCGATGACGAGCGTGTAACGCCTGGAGGCCTTGGCACGAGCACGAGAAAGGCCGTGGATTTGACATGCCGTTGTCCGTGAAACGGCCCAAAACAGACGCGCGAAGACGAAAGGAAAGGCAGCACATGATTCGCGACGGTAGGGGGTCGGAGTTCAATTCTCCGTCCCCCTTGTTTTCTCGCTTGTTTTCGACTTGTCGTGGCAACATGGAGGTAGAGCAGCAACAAAGATTACCACATAAGATTTTCTTCATCGTTTTTTTGGGTACCATCACTCAAATTCGAGACGATACAGTGCTTCTCTATCGAAACCATCTGAGATGGATGCAAGCAGCCGTTGAATCCTATCGCAGCTGACATTGGCCGTTGAAATGCACCGTCATCGCAGACTTGCAGTATGCAATCCAACGAACCGATGCTATGCTCACTGCACAAACAACGACATTTCAATCTAGCTCGGTCGACCAGTTCCAGATGCCAAATGTGCTGCCCTAATGCCCTTATGCATCAATAACATGCAACATTCGCTGGCGTCGTCGAAGCCGTGGATTTGCCATGCCATTCTGCACTGATTTTGGATACCATATCACTCAGATTGGAGAGCAAATTCATGACGAAATAACCTCGAAAAAACATTCAGGAGATCGGGCGGGCGTCGGTAGCCGCATCCCAGTCAGCCGACAGGCGAGGTCGAAGGGTAGGGGGAGCACATCGTCAAAAAGGAAGCTCCTTTTATTATTGGATTGCCCCTGCGCTGCAGATTTGCTGCGCGCAACGGGACGCGCGACATCTGCTTTTCTGACTGACAGGATACGTTTTCTAAACCCCTAGTTTATGGTTCTAGACCTTTATCAGATCAGTTAATCAGAGAGAGACAGTTGCTTGCTGATTGTTGTTTACGCTGCATTTGTTTGCTCTTCCATTTTAGCACTAATATATTGTTGTTCAGAGCTGAATGAATGTCTTGTGGTTACTCTGCATCTTCTTCTCTCTTTTTTTTGGCCGCGTGAATGTCGGTTTGGCTGTGGCAGTATTTCTTTAGCACAATCATTTGTTCGTTTCTGAATGTGCACCGGGGGGTGTCCCATATATGAGATGCAAAATTATTACTACTTGTTTCATTACTGTTGGGAGCTATTGCTGCATTCATGCCCCTATGTTCTCAACTGTTAATAATTCATGTGGTCATCAGTTCCGGAAGGGGCAAGGTCCACAATTTCATTCAGGATAATGTTTTGTCAGTCATTGAGCCGCAAGCATCATGCCTAGCACGCTGCCGGCCAGATTGAGCTCAATTGTTCTCCGTTTTTTTTACTGTTGTGAAAGGGAAAACTCCCCCATTTTCATTGCCAGAAATGCAAGTTCAATTATTGAGCTCAGTTGGTGACAAGGTACCCTATGCTATCTGAATACATCATCCACATTTCATACTTTCAGACAAAAAATACTTTGGGGAGGAAAAAACAACAATGGTATCTTTCCTACCTTAAAACGATTAAATTGTTTTCTAGTGCGGCATATGTCTGTGGCATAAATCTCCCTCAGGCCTCATCACAAGAATTATATGGTTTATCTGAAGAAGATAAATTGACAACCTCTTTTCTGAACTTCAGAATATGACACGAGCAATTGTTCTGCAGCATATCATGCTCACTGCACAATCAACGATTCCTCATATGGGATACATGCACAATTCATCGGCATCTTTCTTCCTTTCAAGAAAGATGAAACAACACAACACGCACACTAACGCGAGCAAAAGAATGCACCAATCTTTTGCCTTTACTCTCCCTGCACTCCATCCCAGGACCAACTTCAATTAGCAGTTGGTCACTCTGAACAATTCATGGAGATGCAGTAGAGTTAGAATCCTCTAATCTGAAATTCGACTGAGTGAATGCTAGAATCGATCTCTAATCCTCCAGCCACAGCTATGTGGCGTCGATACTTTACAGTTGAACTCTACTCTGCATCGCTTTCTGTGTGCTTTGATCAAGCACAAGCCCACCTGTTTGGTGCCATCTCTAAATTCGTCTCGGCAAAGAAATTGCCCTATGCAGCGGTAGAGCATACCGCCTCAACCGCCACCCTTTTCATCACCTCCGGGCAGGGATCTCCACCAAAGTTGCTGGGAGAGATTGCGACGACACATCTTTGTAGTCCAATGCATTTCTATTCAAATAAGCACCAGAAAAAATCAGTGATATGTGTGGTAAGTTCATGGACTAATTGCAGTGATTATAGTTTCTTTGCAAAATGATAAAAAATTCAAGTGGTTTGAACAGGGTTAATTTGCTGCGAAGGGTCTTTCTGTCCAGGTGCAGGTAGTCCACATTATTTTAAGAAAAAAATTTCAGGTAGACCAAAATGACCAAACAGCGTTCTCACCTTTTCAAGAACAGAGTTTGAGTTAATTGAATGGCACTCCCCTTGCTGGAATGTTCCGCAAGTTCCAAGAGGTGTCCCAAAGCTAGCAAATTTGATTGCAGAAATGGTCTGCCCAGGTGCACATTTTAAATGCACCTTTGCCGTGTGGAACTCTGGTTCCCCATAGCTCTCGATCTGCCAGTTCTTGATATTTGGATGATATTCAGATACATCAGCACAGACACCTGAGACTGTCCGCTTCGCAAGGGCAATCTTTGAAGAATCACCGCCAAGTTCCTCAAAAACCACTAGCAGATTTCTAGTTGGTTGCAACCAGGATCTTGGCACATGATACCTGAATGCAAGAGTTCAATTTTTATTGTTAATATAGTACTCCACTGACTAGACAATAGAACCAAAAAGGGATGTGATGGAGCACTCCAGTTTTAATGGACAAGGGAAAAGGAACCAAATATCAAGTAGTACATGATGGTTTTGTGTACAGCAAAAGAGAAGGCAAGAGGTGCCAGAAAATTCAAATATTGTTGTGAATGTTCTTACCAGCGCTGTGTAGGCTGACCACAACCTGCCTGACACTTGGGTGCCCTGTATGACCCAGTGTAATGGCAACCTTTGCAGTCACCTTCCGCATATGCTGTCCAGTACCGTCCAATGCTTTGCCCATTTATCCATATTTGACCCTTACCCATGCTGCCCATATCCAGAGCCAGTGGCTCGTCACCACTGGGAGTATCAAAGTATGCCTACAAAAACAAACTATCGTAAGAATGGGAGGCAAGTAATCATCAAATGATTATGGCAAGGTTAATTGTCCATACCCTATACCATGCCAACGGTTGTTGGTTTTGTGCTACCAATGATCCTTGCATCCATTCAACTGAGCCTGAGCCTTCTAAGGAGTTTAGATTCATCTGTTCACCTTTCAGGCCAACCTGGAATGGAAGAAGTCACATGTTTATTCATTCTTACGTTAACTCGCACCAGGCTACCAGTATGCTGAATATACCTGATAGGACCAAGTCTGCCAAGTCAGATCTCTTGAACCTTCGTCCAACCCGTGAATCACAACAGGACCAACAACACCAGTGTTCCACGTCTCATAATGCACTCCGACATTCTATATAGCAGGACAAGAAAAATCCAACTCATACAATTGATCATTTGCTGTAAACATGTACAAATTCATGCAGAGATGAGAGCACGAACCGGCAGTCCACAAGCAACACTCAACAGTGCAACTTTGTTTGTACCAGCACGAAGGTTAGCATTGCCACTATATGAGATTTTCCGATCTTCCCTGGTTCCATAGGCAGAACCTACAAAAGGGAATTATAATCATTTTATTCATTACTTCTTTTGCGGGTTATTTTGTTCACTAAGTTTTTACTACATTAATACTCTATAGACTGGGGAGCATTTTCAAGTAGAAACCTTGGAGTTGCCCATTGATGAAGACATGCAGCGCATGGCCAGCAGACTGCACAGTGAGTGACAGAGGCGTGCCACCTTGTAGAAACTTCTCAGATGGGTCTACCTCCACACTGTCAATGGTGATGAAATAATTTTAGAAAATCGTTACTTCTGTGAAAACTAAAATTTAGAACAAAGGACACCTTCTCAATTGCCATAATCAGAAAATCAATGCAAAGTTCAGCGAACAAGGGGTTCTAATAGTCACCATTTCCCAGATTCATCGTTATGTACATTGCAATTTTTACGTGCAAAGTGCAACTTATCGACTGGCATTACCTCGTAATGTACCAGAGGTAATCACTGGTGTCTCTTGTGACATTAAGCTGCTCAAGTAGACCAGTTGACGTGAGCAATGGAGCAGCTGCCAATGAATCAACCTCCTCATCATACTTCTCCCACATCATTGAAGAAGCCCCGTCTGCCCACATTTGCATTTGATTTGTCTGAACACCAACCTGTGGAGATTACAACAGTTTGAATCAGGTAAGCAAAGTCATCATATACTTGATCCAGGTAAAAGGGATACAGAATTGAAACCATGCTATAATGGGATAAGCATATGCCAAACTTACTGTTGCAGTGTTAAAAACAACATTTTTGCAATCAGGAAGGATGCTGATTGACCAAGGTGGAAGGCTGTAATTTTCATTGTTGAAGATAACTTTGGCATACGAGTTAGAATTGTAGTTTGCAAGGAAAGCTGCACAGCCAGAGGAAGATCGGAACACATGGGCCTGAAGTATAAATTCAATATGTAAATGAAACATCAAGCTGGTTAAGATATATATACTTCACTGAGAGGAAAGGGTAATCACAACAGACCTCTTGCATACTTCCAAGGGTAGTCACAGTTGGATCGGCAGAAACCAAAGGCTGCTCACATAACTTAACAGCTCTATGGAGTTCTTTAAGGTGCCCAAACTTTGGTTCCCTTGCAAGTCCTGTGTATTAGCCCCACAAGAAAAGGATTGAGTAAGAAGAATATAGTGGTGTAGCTGAATTTTATTTTTTTAAAAAAGATCCACTCTTAATGCTTGAAAAGCTGCAAATATGCTCATAGTGTAGAGAAATAACAGCAGCAGAAGATGATAATATTGATAAGGGCACTTATAAATCATGCTCAATACAGAAAACGTCTCTAAGCATATTCCTTGTAACTCACCATATTCATCAAGTGGAGCATCATAATCATAGCTCGTGGTGATAAAGGGACCTCCAGCCGTGCGACCAAAATTCGTTCCTCCATGATACTTTTACAGTTGAGGGAAAATCAATTAACCAACAAGAATGAGTATCACCCTTTAGGAAGCTTAAAGAAAACATAAGTGAGCCTCTATCTGTCATACCATGTAGTAGTTGATAAAAGAACCACCCTTCTGTACGAAGCGAGCAACACCAAATGCGAGATCTTCAACTGGTCGTTGACGGATGGTTCCTCCGAATTCAGTAAACCTGAATTATTTTGCATATTGGAGCAATTATACTACCACTATGAATCAACAGAATCAAATTATATAAACATGAACCACATCAATGGAAGTACTGGGATTGTGCTTGCAACACTAGATATTGGTTCCTCGGGGAAAAAAAATTACCATCCACTCCAAGCTTCAGTCCACATCGTAGGCTTGTAAGGCTTGTTAGGAGAAAATGTGTCACAATAGAAACCATTGCATGCATTGATCTGTTTAAAGAACAGAGGTTAAATGTAATTTCAATAATTTGTTCGTACAGAAGTCATGAGATATTTGTATATTCCACGACTGAAATTTCACAAGATCAAAATCAATGTGGTTGGCGTCAATTTTTCTTCTTCTAATATATGTTTGATATATGAGTAGGCGACAAATATGCTCATACATATGCTAGAAACCTAGAACACCAATCATGACCTCTTATGGAGATAACCCACTGAACTCGCAAAAATACGAATCAGCATGTCCTGTATCGTTGTATAATTGTATTAACATGTTCGGTATAGTTTCACAATTTACACCTGATGGTGGTAGTATTTGACAGAGGATAAGATCATCATACCACTGGGTCAGGTGCGTCATCCTCCTTGCACATCACCCACGGCACACCGGTGTCCAATCCCACGGCCATCTTTGCCGCCCAGTTGATATATGCCTTGCCGGCAGCCCCAAACTCTTTACCTTCTGGCCCATACTCGTTCTCAATCTGTGTCCAAACAATAACACCCACCGCACCATGAGCAACCCAGGAAAATGTGCAGGCTAAGATGAATCGTGCAAACAACACATTACTCAACCACTACTACGTACTAACCCAATGTTATACAATGTGCTTGCATCCATATACATGACATGGTTGAGGCCCTCTCTCTAAAAAAAATATACATGACATGGGAAGCAAAGTTTTGCACTTGCCTGAGAGAGGATAATAGGACCGCCTTGTGAAGCAAAGAGGTTTTCACTCTTCATCATGCCCACAATTTTCTCTGTGAACCCCTGCATTGCATTCTGCAAAGCAAAACTCAAGTCAGAAACACATATGAACAAGATTTACACCTCTGGTAAGATCCAGAAATGCTGAAATACTTCCACAAACCTTGAAAGGTTCATTGTCCGTCCTGAAGCTGATGCCTGGTACATACTTCAACCAAACTGGAAATCCACTGCAAATTTACATGGCAACAGAAGTCATGAAACGAAAGTAAAATATGGACATACAAGGAACAGAAAATGGTGAAAAAAAAGAACATTTGTGTGTTTTTACTACGGTCAAATTAAGGCTTGAGGAATACCCAAAATTCCACTCTCCACAAATGTAGGGACCGATGCGGAGATGAACAAACATGCCAGCCTTCTGGACAGTCTTGATGAACCTGACCAGATCGTACCTCCCTTCAAAATTGTACTGCACGAAGCCAGCAAAAACCATTGAAATCCCTGATGTGCCATTACACTGTTAAAAAATGGGGTTAATAATGAAAGAGACAGTACATTTCCAGGAGTTGGTTCATGCCCATTCCAAAAGACATAGGTCTGGATCACATCCAAGCCTCCATCTTTAGCCTTCTCAATTAGCCCGTCCCACATCTGACAAATATTTACACGAAGAAAAATCAGTACAGCACCAAAAGATTCGAGACCAAACAAGCTCATCTCTTTTTACCCCCAAAAAATTATAGCTTGGAACATGAACATATCACCATTGCAGAGCAACAAAAATCCCAAAATGGTTGCAGGAGCAGACCAAAAGAGCAGCATTTTCAAGAAAAACCTCAAGAACCCCCTCATTTCGTTCAGAAAAAAAAATGGTTGGCGAATAATCTGATGCCGAAAGGAAAAACCTCCAACAAAGCTAGAACAAAGCTCCTCGCTTTCCATGGCATTTCCACCAAGAAACCGCCAGCCCACGCCACGAACAACCCCCAAAAAGAAACTCCCCTCCACGAAATGTCCCAAAAAAAACCACACATTCTTGAAGAATGCTGTTACTACTACTACATACTTCGGGTGTGCTCCTCGGGTAATGTATGGATCCGGAGAAGAGAATCCTCCTCTGGCCGTCGACGAGCACCGCCTTCTTGTCGTACGTCACCGCGCAGTGGACGACGGCGACCAGCACGGCCACCGCCACCGCGCCGCCGAGCAGCGCAGCCAGGCACCCCCTCCCCATCACTCACCCACTCTCCTCACTCCAACAAGCGGCAACAGCGGCAGCAGCAGCAGAAGAAGAAGACCACCACCCAGCCGAATGTGTGTGGTCTTCTTCCCCACCACCACCACCACCACCTCTCCCCCTGTGCTGTTCTTGCTGCAGCAGCTGCTGCCTTTCTTGGATTCTAGGATTCCTTGGCACCCGTTCTTGGGAAGAGTGACAGTGAACTGCTGCTGATGCTGCTCTCAGTGCAGTTGAGCTTTTGGCCTATGGCTCTATTATAATGGCCATTCTCTCTCTCTCTCTCTCTCTCTCTCTCTCTCTCTCTCAACCCCGTAGTAGTTGCTCGTAGAGAGAGAAAGAGAGGAGTTGAAAAAGAGTGTGCCCGTGTGGGGGCAAGAGGAGTAGAAACACTGGAACAGTACAAAGATGGCAGCTCATCACTGCGACCCTGTGAGCCTGTGAGATGTGAGCTCTGAGACAGTGGGCTCATCTCCCCGTCACCACTTGTCCTACCTACTACTCCTTGCTCTGCAAAAGCTCACTCTTCTCGGTGCTAATCTCACTTCTTCCCTCCTCAAAACATGCTTCGGAGTTCAGATTATTTTACTCGTATACCAAGTAAATTTGACCATTCTCTCACAATCTCACACCCATTTGTATGCGACTTCGGTCGAATCATCTGTAGTCACTGAGCTGTTTGAGTCCTATAATCTGTTGGAGGTTACGATTTGAGAGCATGGAGTAATCAGATGGAGGTAGCTGAATGCTGCCAGTAGTACATAGCTGATCGAGCAGAGATGTCCTTATGTAAACAGTAGTAGATTTAAGCCCTTTTTAGTCGTACACCTGTCTAATTTTAAGCTGTCGGCGTAGTGATGTGCAGGTGTTTGCAAACCGCGATGACACAACCAGGGGGGCAAACACGGAAATGCACAAGTAGTATGATCTGCTAAGCTTGCTATAGTGGTGGATTAGTGGTGCTCTTTGTCAATCAAAACAGCTTTTGTTTTCTTATAAAAATGGCTGATCCAAATCATCACAAACAACATGGATACCAATCTCTGTCAGGTTTAATGCTATGCAAGATTGATGTCTTGGCCTTCAGCTAAACAGTTCACACACACACGCAGCACATGCCACTCCACTAGCCAGTGTCATCACTTCATCAGCAAATGCCATATTCAGGAAATGGGCACTCTACATCGGGAAGGCTGACAAGTTAGTTACTCCTAGTACAAGGTAGGAGTAGTGGTAAAATGAAAACGAAATGAAAGGTATCTTTCATAGGTACGGTGAGGCCACCGGGACAAAGGGCATGGGGGAAGGCCACCATGAGTTGTTCGGTGCGTAAGTAGTACACGATTCATCTATTAGATGGAATTGAAGGTCCATCGCAATTTCTATGCAGTAACCGTGGCTGGCCTATACGCAATAGGTTAGTTGGAGCCCCATTCAATTCAGTCGGCATATGGCTCAGAAATGCGGTTGAGCACTTGATCTTGTTCCCAATCGGCCTATAATATACTCCCTCCGTTTCAAAATGTTTGACACCGTTGACTTTTTAGCACGTGTTTAACAATTCGTTTTTTTTAAAAAAATTAAGTAATTATTTATTCTTTTCATATCATTTGATTCATTGTTAAATATACTTTCATGTACACATATAGTTTTACATATTTCATAAAAAAAAATTTGAATAAGACGAATGGTCAAACATGTTCTAAAAAATCAACAGTGTCAAATATTTTGAAACGGAGGAGCAGTTATATTATGCATGATACTCCGTACCTACTAGCTTTTACAATGAACGAAAAATGCCAACTGAATGCCAGTAGAACTTGCATGATAGATTGGTAGTATGATTGTATGAACACTTAAATATCACGATATCCATCAGGCCAATGTTACAACGCGTCAGTGGTTACTCCAATGTCAAAAAAAAAACACAACGACTAAATGAGCCATCATCAGTGACGAACCATGTATGTTTAACCACCAACTAAGCGTATAGCCCACTACTAGCTTCAATTCATTTATAGCCAATCTAATAGCTAATTCATATAATAGTTGTTTACTATACTATTAATATATGGTTTCACCTATCATACACATATTATGTCTTAGAGTCCGTGCTGCCGCTATTGTACCTACTCTAATAAAGCCAGTAAGCAGCAGGGGGGGGAACACTTGCCTTTACATAAAGCCAGGCGATTTCATCGCCGAAAAAGAGGTAATACCAGTACCAGTAGGCGAGTGGATTATAGTGGAGGAGAGGGACCAACCAAACCAAACCAACCCAACACTGCACCGCATTTGCAGTTCTCTCATCGCACAGCTGCACGTACGATTTCTTCATATCTTCAGCTGCTGATGAATCCTGATTCCTGAATGCTCCCAAGGCCAAAAGCGAAGCAAAAGAAAAGGCCCGTGAAACGCTGTGCAGCGCCCGTACGTGTACCGGTGCGTCGTGTACGCGCCGTTTGTCCCCTCCGCGTATACGGCGCGTGCATGCAGATTACGACGCATGGGCCCATCACCTGCATTGCAATGCAGCACAATCTGCCAAATACGAGACGTACCTACTACTATGAGGTAGGCGAAAAACACCAAAAATTTCACCCGTGGACGCTTGCGTTTGGAGCGTTGATCCCTCTCGGAGACGAGACGTTAGACGGTGCGTCTACGACATGAGCCTGCAACGGATACGTCGTGTTGTTTTGTAAGTAGTACACGTATACGGCTGTGTTTAGTTACTTTCAAAGTTGAAATTTTGAGTTAAAATTGGTACGATGTGACTGAAAAGTTGTGTGTGTATGACATCTTGATGTGATGGAAAAAGTTGGAAGTTTGAATCTAAACACAGCCTACAGCTACTAGTACATTAGTACGTACTACTCCCTCCGTTTTAATATATTTGACACCGTTGACTTTTTAGCACGTGTTTGATCATTCGTCTTATTCAAAAAAATTTAAGTAATTATTTATTCTTTTCATATCATTTGATTCATCGTTAAATATATTTTCATGTACACATATAGTTTTACATATTTCACAAATTTTTTGAATAAGACGAACAGTCAAACACGTGCTAAAAAGTTAACGGTGTTAAACATTTTGAAACGGAGGGAGTATTAGGCTACTAGCCATGGAACGACGACGCGACCGGCCGGCTGATTTTCAACCGAAACGCTCTTATCTGGACCGTATCAACTATCAAGGCTTGTGCTTCAGGATAATCCGCTCGCTCGTAAGCACGAGGGATAAAAATGATCACGAAAATGAGCACAATTTCAAGCCTCGTTTTGTGAGTGATACTGTTTTAGATAAAAAATTTTATTCTGGCCATACATAACACTTTTTTTTCTGATTCCTTTCATCATCGTATTGTTCGGTAGTACTAAATAGTTAAATCGATAAATATGATGAATTAATTTTCTATTATTCTTATAGTTACTACAAACAAAATGACTATGACTATTCGTGTGATAAATTCTTTTAAGTTAACTTGTTAATTTTATGAGAAATAAATTTAATAAATCGAAGTTGTATGTTACCGTCTTTTTTCTGTAATAGACTGACCGTTTCCATCCCTGCGTTGTTGCACGGTACACGTGACAGCATTGTAAACTCTGAAGGCCTGAAACTGAAACCGAAAGGATGATCTCACTCACCATCACCAAACTCTTCCACAACTTTATTACCGTGTGTCCGTTACCGGATGTCTGGATCGAACAGTTCGTTCCGTCCAAAATCTCACCGTTCCCGATTTTACTCACCGTCCGTGAATCGAATCGAGCGAGAGGGTAAATAGGACGGGAAAAGGGGGGGTCGCGTCTGCAGCAGCAGCGGCAGCCACATCCGTGTTCCTCGCACGCTGCAGGGGGCGAGGCTTTTGATCGATAAATCGATCGATCGCCACATGCTGCGTGGCAGATCGAGCAGCAGACGAGGCCCCGTCTCGCCTCCTGGCTGCCTAGCTGGGGACAACACAACACTCTTGTACTAGACTAGTGGTCCGTAGTAGTTGCTACTAGCATCCTGCATTTTCTACTGCTGATGCATTGTTTACCAGCTAGCGAGATGTGTATATATATGCTGGTTCACATGTAACGCGAGCAGCAGCAGCCAGCATATGGTCAAAATCTGAGTCGCCGGTTTTGCTTTGCAATTGTACGATGGCCCAGTGCATTTGGACTTTGGAAGAGAGACAGTGGACGTTGGACTAGTACACACATTCACAATCACATGCGTGGCGCGTACTGATGGTGTCACTGAGAAATCCCCAGCGAGAATGTGGACGGATCGATCGATCTCGCGTGCTCGTCGTCGTCGGCGCCAACCTCTTTTTCTTTAGGTCTTTGCAGATTTTGGCTGCCTAGCGACGCGAGGCACGACACTGCATCAGGGCTCAGGAGTTAACTTTTTCTTCTTTTTTGGCTTTGAATCCTACTGATGTACTACATACTAGTACGTGCAATCATCAAAAGTGCAAAGGCGAATGCCACGCATGTACGTAGGACGGAACGGTTTTTGTAGTAGTTTGTTTGTTTTTCCGCGTATGCGATCAAGTACGACATGTATGGAACACCGTCATGAGCACCAATGGAAAACGGAGTTCCCTTCAATCCTACTCTACTTATTATTATACATTATCATTCCATACAAAATAAACTGCAGAAAATTAATGAAAAGGCGTATTCAAAGTTCAGAGCCAATCGGATAAACCAGTTCTGTTAACTTCCTTCATGCCACTCGATTGGTTGGAAAACAAGTGGTTAAAATTGAATGATACGGCCACGTACAACGTGCAACTAGCTCCTCTCAGCACGTACAGAGAAATTACGGCACATCCATTTATCCAATAAACCTAAGAAATGGTCGCACCGACGCAACCGAGTCACCGATGCAAAAATCGGGTGTCACGCACGGCGAGCCAGCTGCAACCGAGAAATCCAGGCGCTAATCGCTGCGAATTCTGGAGCCAGTAGTGGGCTTGCACCGAGACGAGGCCCTACTCACAGTACTAGCTCTAATTCATCTATAGCTAATCTAATAGTCAATTCATATAATATTTGCTTACTATACTATTAATATATGGTCTCACCTATCATATACACATTATGTTTTGGAGTCCGCGCTGCAGCTGTCTACAGATTTATAGCCTGCTGCTCTTCTCTCTCATATTTTATCTCATTAAAATATGTTTATAGCTAGCTAATAGCCTGCTATTGTACCTGCTCTTAGGCGTCGCGCGCATGGCGGAGTGGAGTGGCGGTTGCGGCTGCGTCGGTGCGCGCACGCGGCGACGGGGAGCGGAGGAAGGAAGCAAGGAATTACCAAGTTTTCATTGGAGATCTTGTTTTGTTTGTGCTTCAAGGAAGAAGGGGGTACGTGCATACAGGAGAGAGACATCGATAGCCATACCTTCGACCGGTTGCAATGTTAATGCGAGATAGCGAGGCACGCTGTACGGATCTGGATCTCGAGACGTATTTTAGTATTAGTATATGTGCTCACTAAATCTGTCTTGTATTTTATTAGTTGGTGCTTAATGGTTTCATTACAGTAGTAGTAGTACTAAGTATATAGTGGAGTAGTACTGCTAGTATTGCTACGCTGTACTGCCTATCTGGGCTTGCATAAGTTTTTATTTTTATAGAAACACAATATAAATGCAAGCGTACATAACGCGCACATACTCACTCTTATGGATACACACGTACACCTTATCTCTATAAGCACTTCCGAAAGACTGGGTCGATATATCTTGAGATTGACAAAGTTACTACAAACGTCTCGCTGCCAACGGGTACATCGCCTACCACTGAAATAATAATTAGTCGTAAATATTAGCACCCGTGTAAAATCTAGGGGCATGTTCACTATGATGCCAAAAAAAACTTGCCACTTTTTTGGCAACTTGCCAAAATTTTAGCATGATTTCTTATATAGTTACCAAAATTTGGCAGCGAACTAAATGTAGCCTTTTTTTTTGCAACTTTACTAAAATTTGGTAAGGTTGAAAATGACATCAAAGTGAACAGGCCCTAGGATTTATACCTAGACGGATTGGTTCCACCAGAAGTAACTAATCAGTTGAGTTATGCTCCCTTCGCAATGGCGTGTGTGAAAATGGCGCTTAGTTTTGTAGTACTCCCTCCGTCCTAAAATATAATAATTTATAGCATATATGATTTGTCCCAAAATATAATTACTTTTTTACCAACATTCTCTTCAACCAATCACAACCCCACTACCATTTACTTTTCTCATCTATCTCCACTTTTCAACCAATTACAACATCTCTCCATTAAATTTTATCTATTTCTGTAATAACCGTGTCTAACTCTAAAACTTTTTATATTCTAATATGGAGGTAGTATGATTTTTTATTTGGTAGGAATTTAATAGTATTATTGTTATATAATGGGTTCAGAAACGAGATCTAGCAGCTGGCTGGCAGTGGCAGTCTATCTGGCACCACCATCACGTTCGGCCACTGCAGAAATGTGCACATGCCCTAATGCTCAGTTCCTGTGCGTGCTTTTAGTTGACCAACAAGTTCTCTCAACCTTGACGGCTCATGCTACGAAATGCCCGTGCAGTAAGCCGATAACCTCAAGAAGGCTGAAAGAAAATATATGGACTACGTACGGAGTAGAATCAAGGATTTTTTTTATTTCAATGTTAATTGCGTTTTGCACCATGTAAAGAGCTCCTTTTTCTTTAACAATCTGACACAAGATAGTGCCAATTTCAATGTAGAGTAGGAGTAAAAGTATTTACAAAGACTTCAGAAATAATAAAAAAAAAGCTATACAAATGTTTTAAAAAAGCTATGGTAACATTTTCATGAGTCTTTTCACTTCCGCTCATGTCCAGGTTTTCACTTTCTCCTTTATCTTAGCGAGTATCTTATGTCCCTTTGCATCAGATTTAGCACATACGACGATTTTACACTAAGGCGTGGTGTTCTTTTCTTCTGAAGATAAAGATTAAGTTTTTTTACGCAAAACGAGATATAGTATTAACGTATAATTGATTAAGTTTAAATTATTACAAACTTAAAAAATAGATTAATATGATATTTTAGAGCAGCTTTCATATAGAATGTTTTCGCACGAAACGTACCGTTTAGCAGCTTGAAAAGCGTGCCACGAAAATCTTAATCTCCATCCAACTCTTGTTGGAGAAAAGAAGAGGGCCTAAAGTGCATCGAAATAAGTTTCACCTTACAACAACACACATCATCAAAACTATATAAATTTTGTGAAATTTCATAAAATCTTGACGAAACTTTGTTCATTTATATGACAGTACAAACCAGTTTAAAGTGAAACATATTTTCTGTATACCCTTTGTAATATAAAGTGAAATCAATACTAAACTTGCTGCAAAGTGAAACAAAATTCAATTGCAAAATTTAATATTCTCTCTCTTTTTTTTCTCTCATTCCAGAAAACTAATAATGGCCTTGGTAGGATCAGGCCGAATTGAATACAGCCCATTTTGGATGCCGCGAAGCCTTTTATTTAGCCCATTGGATCCCGGAAATTAAGGCCTTCGAGTGCGAGAAAGCTGGTCACGAGGCCATTATAATGCCTCCGCCGCGCCGCGCACGCGAAGGCGTCGGCACCGGCACCGGCACCGCGCCGCGTGCGGCGCCGCCCTGCCTCGCCGCAATTAGCGCGGCGCCGCGACCGTCCACCCCGGCCTCCAGCGGCCTGGCGGCGCTCTGTCCACCAAACCATCCTAGCAACTTTCATGTATAGGAGTACTACTAACGAAGGGTCTATTCACATCGATGTTAAAATGAATATTTTTAAAATTTAGTAATGTCAAATTTTTAACAAATTGATAACATTACCAAGGTTTAACGAAGGGTCTGTTCACATTGATGTTAGAATGAACATTTCCAAAATTCGGTAATGTCAAAATTTTGACAAATGAATAATATTGCTAAGTTTTAGTAGAATTTGCTCAATATAATGTTGTCAAGATTACGTAGACATCAAAATTTGATAATAGACATCAAAATTTGATAACAAACTAAGTATAACCAAATAATTATCAATTTTACCAAATAATAACATGATTTAAAAGGACATCAATCTAAACAAGCCCGAAGCTTATTGCGCTGCATAACCCATTTTTATTGCAACAATTCAGTGTCTCGCATTTTCAACATCCTTCTGTGCCCCGGTGTCCATTTCAATATGCTCTGCTACGCACAAATTGGAAACCCCAGTCTCAAATTTACAAGGTAGAGGAACTACTATGACGGGAAAGAGAGAACTCAGTATAGGGACGACTAAAAATAGATCGCACCAGGTAAAACTGGCCACTCTAAAGATTGCAATAATGCATAGGATAACAGCGAAAGCCTTATTTAGCCTACCACTTAAATCGCAATGTCTGTACAACCCATTGAGAAATAAATGCATCTTCATGATGGAAATAATCGAGGAAAATAGTGAACGTATGAGCTTGGAATTCGAAGAGTACTGTTGCAAAGACCAGCCAGAGTAACACACTCAGGCAATTTAACATCGCTTTAAAGAACATGGCGACCATTCATTTTAACATTGCCAGGATTATGGAAATTCTGTAACATTTCAATGTAAGCACCGTGCTCCCAAAAACATATCCCTTCCCCAACATTTTCCAACGAATACAACCAGTTTTGCATCACAACTCGCCCTTCTCCAAAAACTAATGAACACCACCCCTATAGCCTTCCCATGGTAAACACAACTCTGTACATCGTCGATGCATTCGGATCAGCTTCAAAATAAATTCAGCAATGCTTATGAATCTCTGAAATTTTCTCTATCCTCTAGATGGCAAACGATCGAATGGCCACCCTCCCACTCCTATGCCAAAATCTTATTGACAGGATCAGGGATCAGAACTATACCGAAGCTCCAAAAAACCTAAACAAAAGGATTACTGGCTTTTCTATTTCTAGTATTCTCATGTGACCGTTTATTTATGACGGGGCATGACAAAACTAACTGATCAGTGCAACTGCTGAATTACCACTTTACGCCTTTATCCCCCACAGCTCAAAACGAATTTGGTATCAATTTCTAATCTTCACAACACCACAAGGAAAAGCCTATCTGAAGGAACAATTACTTTGCAGCTTCAAAGAAGAGCACCTGAGGTTGCAAGTGACCTTTCTTACACATTACGAGCACATCATCCCAATTACCAACAACCTGCACAAACAAGGGAGCAAGTAAGAACACGAGCCAGAACCAAGTTCTTATAAGCTAGAGTAAGAATCAGCAGAGTTGTATGCCTCTGAAGGTTTATAATGTTGTTACCTTCACAGTCTGGTCATCGTACATGACCCACTGCCCATCCTCAAAAGCAAAGCAATGATAGTGTTGCCCGTAGTAACAGACCTGCATGTGTAAAAATAGTAGGCTAGATGCATTATTTAATTGACAGGTTTTTCTACTTTAGAAGACTGGATTTAGATGCGGTTAGGTAATATAGTGAAATATACAATATTGAGCTAATGCTACTACACCCACTGGCCAATGCACCTAATGGCAATAGGAAAAAGAAATGTTAGCAATGTACCCACAGTATAGCCATAGTGCCAGCAGTAAACTCCAGTAGTACCTACTTCACGACAGAAATATTGTACTGCAAACTGTGTAACTTGAAATAGGCTAATAGCACATTCACTATAGTTAATACAAAAGGCAAATCCAATCCTATTGTACCATTCATTTAGCAAACTGTCAATTTTGAAAGTTCTTATACAAACATGAAATGCCCTAGAAAAATGGCATGCCCTTTTATCCATTCAAAAATGTGATTATGTGAAAGAACAAAATGAGTCCTCATAGGCATACCACTGACACCAGAGAATGTTTGCTTCCTTGGTCTAGACCACGGTAGAAAGTACTGATGTCTATCTCAGTTGAAATACCAGCCAAAGTTCCAGATATGTCATCCACACTTTCTTTGTTGTTCTGCCACCCCAAAACTGAAAAAGCAAAAGTATGAAGAGTCATGTCAATAAAGAGTATTATTACACAGAGAACTTACATGCCCTCAAGCACATGCAGAAAATTTTCAATAGCAAATGTAGAAGTTATCAGGCAGGAAGCCAATGGAATAGCAGTTGTTTGGTTAAAGATGGCCAAGTCAGACTGTAAATGGAGCAGGCAATTGTGTAGCATTACGCTAACAAACACACAACGAAAATGCAAGATTAAATATTTGTTATGGCTCCTTCCTCCTGGACTGAAACGACTGGTTGCAAGCAGATATCCATACATATTGAAGATAAAGAAGTTTACCAACTGTAAAAACATGAGGGGGGCTAGAAAGAATGTGATGAATATGGTTTGGTTTTCCACAACCACCATCTTCTGGATCACAAGCTAGATGGTCATTCATTATCACAATCTTCAAAAGATCATCAAATGAATGATCTGGAAACATATCCTGAAAAAAAAAAAATAGCATCATGGAACAAGTAACAACTAACAAACCATAGCAGTTCGAAGAAAGGAAATAACATGCCAAAAAATCACAGAAGAAAGGAAATAATAGAATCAATAAATACCATGAGATCCAACCCAGGGTATACTAACCTTTGCAGTTCGAAGTGAACTAGCATTGATATTGTGGAAAAATGAAGTGTACTTGAGTCGTCTTGACTCCAACCGACAACTCTGGCAGTTCATTCGTTCAAGGATATCCATTCCAAAAAGACAGTGTGCTATGCAGGAACTACTTGCACAATCCCAGGAACCAATATAATTGATCTCATGAGATTTAACTTGGCAGTCAGCACGAGAAGTGTATGACTTATGCAAGCACTCAAAGATCACCCCCAAAACCTCAGATGCATCATTCATTTGCCCCTGCAATGAAGATATATTGAACAAATTAATTCTGACAGCAAATTTAGTATCCGAAATTACATCTCACAAGCCTAAATGTTTATGTATGTTTGTGGTCAAACTTCAATGATTCAGAACATTGACTGCATGCATTATAGACAACAAGCAGAGTAGATAGGGGGTGTATCCGAATTAGTAGGTTGTTATACATGCATAACGAGCTTTTGGATAATAAATGCTGTTAGGAATGTGCCCAAAATCCCTAAAGTACAAGATTGTACCTCCTGAAAGAATTTGCTGTTGGGGTAGGATTTGCTCAAAGCGATCCTCAAAGAAGTAGGTGCGACAGCTTCCCCTTGCTCCTCTGATGCTTTGCTCAGATCAGTGAAGATATCATACAATGCACAGACAGCACAAGGATCTTCAACATGCTTATGCAGCGATGATGTTTTAAGAAATCCATCACGAAACCGCTTTAAATGCCATAATGACTGCATAAAAAGGAACAATATGGGTTGGGGGTGGGGGGGGGGGGGGGGGCTAACCACAATTGCTAAGCATCACATGTCTGGACCGTTACCTGGATAATCACATTCAAGAAACAATTGTATTCACCAGCAGCATTTTTAAGGCCAGTCCCATAGACTTCTTTTTCATTAGAAGTGCCTGCAATATCAGTAGTAGAAATATTGTACCTTGGCCTTAATTTTTTAAACTGAGAATAGGACTGAACTTGAAAGAGATTAAGACAACACTTGTCTGAATGATACTTGTTAAGTGTTAATAGATCACTTGCAGTCAATGCCGGAATAGAAACTGGCATTGAGTATGAGACTAGGGAGAATCTATATTGTCATGTTTTCTTCACTAGTATCATAGTAAAAACTAAGCATCATTTATATATATATTGATTTCTGATCATAGAGAAACAATTATGTACAGCCTCATTCAGTGGCAAGTGGCAACTAACAACATATAGTCAAATATCTATGATGACAATGAAGCAATAGTGAAAAGACAAAAGGCATATTCTCCTGTTACTTAAAACATCCTTAGTATGACATTTAGCATTGCAAATTGCACTTTATACATATCATTTCAATGGAAATTACAGTCTTTTATCAGCTCATTAAAAATTAATAATATTAAAGATGCACCCCACACACTAAATAACTCAAAATCGGTAATTTGTTGGAGGTAATGTTATGCATTTCCTAAAATCGAATTATTTTTTGTTTTCACTTTGGGGCTATAGCCAAGCTAGTCTTCGTTTTAGCAATACTGCATCACCATGTCCACGCATATGCTCACAACAAACTAGTTGGCAGTTCATATAAAAAAAAACTTGTTCTGAGTAACCAAAATCACAACTAAACATCTCCAGCTATTAACAGATAACATATACAAGACTCATTTATCATGGAGCTAGCTAATATTGAAATTTTCACAGCAGTTCAAGGTCCAAAGTAAGAGCGTGTTGATAAGAGGGAAGAAAAGCATAGCAAAAAAAGGGTATTTAGTATACCAAGGCTTTGAAGCACAGCTCTCTCAAGGTCTGCTTTGAACCTTTTGTCATCCTCAATGTACAGATTTGTTGATGGGATTGCACTACTGTCAACTGGATTAAGCAACACGTTTAAAAAATCTCAAATCAAAAGATCAACTATGAAATATGAAATCTAACATACTACATTACTACCATCTAATCAAGCTTCAGAAATCCACCAAAAATAATAGGTGATTAGAGAAAACATAGAGAAAAAAAAAAAGAACCAACATGGACATGGCAATAGTAATGAATAAGAAAAGAGACACTTAAATATCTAGAAGAATAGCTATGCATTTTCTCTGTTTTAATACTTCACAGACCTTAAGGCTTTAGCATAACTTGAGCATTCAAACAAAACTATAGTAACAAATGGATTGCATGTTTCATAGAGTATTTCATCTATCAGAGAGATATTTAACTATTTGCCACTCTTACGAGTGGCAATTAAGGATTTGCCACTGCCACTGGACCCACATGTCATAGACTGAGTGGCAAATCCTTGATTGCCACATCTTAAAAGTGGCAAAAAAATTAAATGCCCGAGTGACAATTGAGCTGGAAAACATTCTGCCAGTTTCTTTGAATTAAATAGAAGTTCACGAGTAGGAGACAGATTAAGGCTAGGATCATTTTAGGTGCTGGCGACTCAAAGTTTTAACACGTTAAGTTTCGTGCAACATGGAGTTAATACACTCTTCAATTTCAATAAAAGTAGTTAAAACGAATAAACAAGCACAAGTTAAATGAATAAGAATGAAACATAAGAGTGAACACCAACTAACCTTTCTCACTACTTGAATTCTCTCTTCCAGCGGAGTGAGCACCATGCACACGGTGTGAATAAGACAATAGTGGTAGCTGATTTTGTTTTGTGTCTTGATAACTGTGATTGGCAGTGTCAACTGCTTTACCAGAACTGCTCCATCTTGAAACTGGTGAACCAGATTGTCGAATAGATGGCCTAGTATCATCATCACCATCGTCAACAGGAAAAGTGCCTGTCACACCTTAAAAAACATACAGGTAAAGAATTGTTTGGATTGAAGTTGCAAAAACGATTAAAATAAAATATCTGATTTGGACAAGACAAACCAACAACCTTGAATGTACTTTTTATGAGCTTGGCTGGTACTTCTCCTAGACTTTTGGGTGCTAGGAATAGTTGGAACCTTTGTATTTTCTGCATTTTTCCCAACTCCATTCGCTTTCAGTGTAGCCTTTGTATATTCTACATTTTTCCAAACTCCATTCACTTTCACTGTAGGCTTAATAAGGTCCACATCGCTGCTGGCTATTGGGCGTGTACCAGGATAGCCCAGACCATTATGTACCTCGTTATGATTTTTCTCCTTTGTTTGCAGAAGATCAGAATCACATGATCTCAAAATAGAATGTTCTTCCTGCAAAGGAACTTCAGAAAACCGAAAATCACCAAAATTTATGCCCTCAAGATGAGTGTGTGAGTTATTTTGAGCACAATGGTGCTTATCCTGATCCCCGTTCAAATTCACATCAGTCCGAAGGCAAGCTGACCCATCGGAACCTGGTGAAGTCCTTCTGTGTTGTTCTGCAAGATGCTTCTTCTTTGCTTCCTCCTCTATCCATCTTTGGTACTCCAAAGTTTCCTCCAACTTTCTTTCCTCTGCTTCAAGTCGTAATCGATTCCTGAATTCTTCTTGATCATTTAAGTAATTATCACTTGTTGAAAGTCTGCAGACAAAGTCATCACAATCAACAAGAGTCTGACTGCAATAGTGTACATGGTCAATAAAATTGAACTCATCCAAACATGAAAGTTCCAAAGCAAATAATAATATCAATGTTGATAAAGATTACACTTCTATTCAAGAATGGTTTTTTCACAGGGGCATGCACTATGACCACCATTACATGAACCTAAAGAATGACAGACTCCCAAAATTCAAACAAAACAACCAAATATTGTATATCAAGAAATGGTGTTGCATGAGTCCTGAATCACCAGATGGGAGATATAGCGAAAAGGCTACTCTGCGACGCTCATGCGAGCCGAGATAGCACAAATGCGCACGTGGGTGGGCCCACGCTCAGCTCTATATGTGCATGCATGTTTGCATATATAGAATACTTTTGCATGTAGATGCAATCATTGTTAAAATTTCTACTCGCTGAGTTATTACAATTTGTAATTGTAAAAAAAATTCCATCACTAGTTTTTTTTTAATTACTGTAAAAGTTTTCAAATAGAACTTTTATCATATAGAAAGTTTATAAGTAGAGATTGTTGAATCTTACAGTTTGCATTTTTTAAAATCCCATCAGTAGATCATTTAAATTACTGCAAAAGTCTCCTGGTAATATTGATCTATAGAAAGTTTATGAATACAAACTTTTTATATTGCACAAAACTTATGAGTAGAGATTTTAAAATTTGAATAGGTGTTTATCACAATGGGAAGTTTTAAAAAATGGATAAAAATTTATTGATTGGAAGGTATTGCTATCTTTTTTTTAACCTACACCACAATAACACTTAATTACTTTGTGGATTTTATCAGCCAAATGCATATGCATGCGGCCGAGATTTTCAAATAACTGCACCCTAATTATATGCTAATCACATGGTGGTGCATTAATTAAGCGGCAGCATGCTAATTACACAATGGTACACGAGTGTGTTGCGGCGCGCCCTCGCTGAAGATTTTTCGGAATGCATTTGCACCCTCACGACCAGCGAGTTCTTGCATACTAGCCTCACCCGTGATATAGTGCATGTGCAGAATAGGATAGAATAAAAGGGAGATGCATTTCACGATTCTATTACTGCCTCTCTTTTTTTAATTCAAGCTGCACATGACTAAAAACCAATGCAGCCATTAACGGAAGGTAGAAAACATCTGCAGTATGTTCCAATGAAGCCCACAGCAGATAATAAACAATGATTCAAAGCAATGAATTCCACAAGATCGAAAATATTTTCATGTCCCTGACCGCCTGCTGGAGAATTCTAAAATGTGTGGTGGTTGACATCTCAAGATAAATGACAGTCCTTTACTCCTTTTATGGAGCTGGTGGTTGTGATGATGTGTTCTGACATGCCTCTTTACTCCTTTTTATGGAGCTGGTGGTTGTGATGATATGTTCTGACATACCTCCTTCAAGGTTTCAGTTCATAATTCATGTTGTGAATAGATATAAGCAAGTATGCATGTTTTATTTGTACGATAAACACTTTTTAAAAGGATTGCATCATGCTGGTTGATTGATGTGATGCAAAATATGTAATTATGTAAAGTTGAGGATAATGTTATGCATTTTTTAGTTCGGTACTGGCCTTATATCTATTTGATCAGAAACAATGCATGGGCACTATTGCTAGGATTGTTTTTCCCTAAAGGAAGGGCTGGAGCTCTTATGATTCATTGATGCAGCAGCCAGTGCAAAAGAGAAAGGAAACGAAAAACAGTATGACAGTATAGTAATTGGTCCTCTTCGCTAAAGAGCGAAACAACTAGTGAGGGCTCAATAAAGGATTACTCAACCATCAACATTTGATAACCACTCAACTAAACAAGCTGTAATAGTGAAAGGAACGTGCCACGTTAATAGAAGCACTATAAGACGGTATTCAAAACAGATGCACAAACATTGAGCAGGTTTACATGGTTGAAACGGTTTACCAAAAGAAAGATTGAGATCAAGTAAACTCCAACACATGTGTTCACATGATGTCAAGAAGATTATATGCACAAAATTTACTTTCTCCAATATTGTAAGCAGGTTCCAGCTTGCTTTCAAAGGTCAGCTCTCAGCTGTGAGCTGTCTGACTAGTTTCTCAATTTCCTTATAAGTTATAACTAGTTAATTTAATTGCTAACTAGATTTAACAAGAAAACAACACAGACAGCATATGAAATGAGTTCTTTCTAACCAAAAATCCTTACACTGATTGTGATTTAGATTAGCACTTTAGCATTACTAAGTAACTGAGGATACATAGAGAAAAGGGAACATGAAAAAAGAAGGCATTCCATGCACGTTTGAGAAAACATGCGCAACACATTGCATTCAGATTCATTTTAGATAGTGCGATTTTATCAGCAAAAGGAGAGTAAAAGCATTACTTACGATTGCTCTGATGTCTCCTCGTCTACACTATCTGGGCGGACGAGGTACTGATCACTCCAGCTCAAATCCTAGAAAATATTTAGATGTAATTTAGGAAAAAGATAAAATACCCTTTTGTGAGTAACAGGAGTACACATATAATCAAATTCAAAAGCATAGATACCTTAAGATCCTTAGATTTTCGAGAATCCTTCACTTTCTTCTTGTCCTTTGACTTATCATGGGATTGTTTTGTGTCGCTCACTTTGTTTGCATTTCTCTTAGCATCCAAAGCAAGTTCAGCCAGGAAGGCTTCACTTGCAGCATCAGATCTCTCCCTAGCATCCTTGTCCACCAGCTCTTCCAAATGGGTCTGAATCGTCACACAATAACCACGATTAAGAAATGAACAAAGCAAGGAGGTATTAAAGCAATTGAATGAGTAAAGAGATTAGTGTACACATACTCGCAAGAATGATTTCAAAAGGGGAAGGATAATTGTTCGGTAATCAAGGACAGAAGCAGGCCCAAGCTTGAGTTTCAGCTGCTCAATCACGGCTGAAATTCGCATAATCCTAGCATCTATCTTGTTAAGCTGTAAGTGAAACAGATAAGAGAGGGATATATTGTTAGTTGTTACGTGTTAAGCTGTAAGTGAAATAGATATAACTTTTTATGGGAATACTGAACACCCAGAAGAACTGACCTCCATAGCAACATGTTCCTTCAGTCTTGAAACAACCAACTGTACCACCGAATCGTTTGAATGTTCAAAGTCATAAAAACCCCATTCATCTTCCTCTGTCCCATCATAGTCACGATGGTTCGAGGTCATGCCAGAAAAGGTTTCATCGTATCTAAAAGGTGCTGTTTTAACTTCCCTTAAGATAGTAGAGATAGCATGTAGCTCAGATCTGCAACCGCTAAACAATTCCTCAGCATTGAGCTCCAGCTGCTCCTGTCGCTTCTTTAGGAGCTCCTCATATCCTTGAAATGGATAGGGATCCACGTCGTCCCTCCGCCTTTGCTCTTCACATAAAAGGCTATCCACAGCAAGCAAGCCCTCCTCACTGCTCAGCTGGTCATGCTTCTGTTCGTACGAGTTCTGCAAGGCTGAGAACTCTTTCTCGAGCTCATGAAGAATGTGCGTGCACTGATCAGACCTCACATCAAGCATATGGTTCCAGTCCAACAGCTGCTCTTCAACTGAAGGTCCAGTATATAACCATGAAAGGAATGGGTCAGCAACAACATTATCACGGTCAGATCTCATTTCAAATGCCTGGCCATCAAGGATAAGCAATGATGAATCAGAATCAAGTGTAACCTTCTCCAAGTTACTGCGATTTTTTGGGAAACTATCTTTGTCAGCTACTTCCTCATCCTTATCTGTGTTCCTATCATTAAGTCCACTAGCCTGCATAAGTTCCTGCAAGAATTTGAGCACCTTCCGCAGTGATGATACATCCAAGAAACAAATGCAGAGTGGTGACTCATCCAACGAGTGGTTAAGCAGCAGTGACGCGGAATGCATCTTCCTGAGTTCCTCCATAGTAATATGTAGAACCTTGTTCAGATGGCTCAATGAAAGATTCTTGTGTTTCACGAGGATTTTGAACAACGAATGGATCCTCTCTAAAATATTTGCTCTTTCCTCATCATCAGACAGTGGCCACTTCCTGTCACCTTCCCTTGTCACGGCGCCAAAACTTTCACACTCCTCGTTGTGTGGCGAGGTTGAGGAATCTGATGTGTCTGATTTATCTTTTGTACTCCAAATATCCGATGACATTGAATCTTTGTCCCTATCTGAGCCAACATTGTCAGCTAGTTCTTCCTCGAGAATTTTCAGTGCCGCAGTAGCATCCACCGGCCTCCAGGTTGAACCAGTGAGCTTTTCTGCCCAGGCATCATCAATCTCCTCCGGCACCACATCATTCAACCGGGGAGGTAGTACACCCACATGTTCCTCCATTGCATGATGTACATGTGATTCAGCATCAGCAAAATGCTCCTCACACCGGCCACATACCAAAAACTCCCATTTTCCACTCCTAGTGGCAAACCTTATCGCCTCGTTAAGCACATCAGATACCAAACTGGCAGCATCTTTCTCCTTATGCATCGCAGTAGCGTAGTGTGACTTGAGCTCAGAAATACTGGTGCTTAAGAATGCAAGCCTCCGATCCATGGGCACTGTGGCCCAGAACTCACGCACCTGATTCATGCGACCGGACACTGGCGAAGCTGCTGCCTTCCTGGACCCACCCTTCCTCCGGTCAGCGCGATGCCCAGACACTGATGACTGACACGACGAGGAGGGGGCCTCATCCCCCGGTGACTGTGATTGGGAGGTGGATGATGAGGCCGATGTGGCATTGTGCTTCTGCTGCTCCATCAGCCTCATCGCAGCAAGCCGCACCTCAATCTCCTTGCGCCGCTCTTCAGGGGTCTTATTAGCCTTCTTGATCTCATTCGGGCGGCGCGGCGCAGGCGCAGCAGGCAGGAGCCGGACCTCGGAAGAATCGTCGGCGCCGCCGCGGCGAATGGGGAAAACCCGAACCTTATCCTCAGGTGTGTAGCCCATGTTCATGTTCTTAACCCACAGCGAGATGGACGTCATGTTGGACCTCTGCAACAGGTTGCTGAGCTCGGCCTTGACCTGCTCGACGTCCGGGGCCGGTAGCCTGAGGGAGTGGGGCGCCGGGTCGGTGGGGCTCTGGATGGCCATCCCGCGGTTGCACTCGCTGCTGGCGGCCTCGTACCCGGTGGTGTCGGAGGCGATCTCGTAGAGGAGCATGGCGTGGAAGTGGGCGAGCTCGATGGAGTCCGGGGCCAGCTCGACCGCCTTGCGGGCCGCCTCGAGCGCGAGCCGCTGGTGCCGCGCGCGGGAGACGGGCTCGTCGAGGACCGCGGCGTAGCGCGCCAGCACCGTCCCCTGCGCGCGGAGCAGCAGCGGCGATCCCTCCCCGTGCTTCCCGACCGCGTCCTTCACCACCCGGAGCGCCTTCGCGTGGTTCCCCCGCTGCAGCGCTGCCAGGGCCTTCTCGCAGACGGCCCGGACCGCGGCGCCGCCATCCGCCGCCGCCGCATCGGGGTGGCCGGCCGCCGGAGGGGAGGGAGGAGTAGGGTTTGCGGCGGCGGCGGCGGTGTTGAGGGTTCGCTTCTTTCGGCCCATGGGAAAGGGGAACGAATGAGATTGGAGGGGGGGGAGGGTGCGCGATAGAAAATGGCAATCGAATCGCGATTTCGACTTGGGGTGTGGGTCCCACACCCACCACGCGACTCTCTCTGGAGGTAGGTTTGCTGCGTGCGGATCGGAGATCGGGCCGCCGCGGGCGGAGTGGTACATAGATGATGGAGAGAGAGAGAGAGAGAGAAGGCAAGCTGAGATAGACGGTTGCGGTTTTGCATGGGCCGGGACGGGCCGTATTTTTTAGTCTTCGGGCTTTCTTTCCGCTACCGGATCGGTGGTAGTGGGCCAGAACTCATGGGCTATTTCACAATCCATTTTTGTCCATGTTAGGGTTATTAAATGTCAGCCGAACCTTTTTTTCAACTCAGTCCTTATATTTTACAGAAAAAAAGTTATGTTCATTACCACCCATAGTCACCGCACGTAGCTATATCTATGAGGATAAAAGTGCATTGAAGGTCCCTCAACTTATCATCGAGTTATAGAATCATCTCACAACCGTAAAACCGGATGCAACGTATTCCTCAACTTACAAAACCAATGTAAACTAGATCCCTCGGCGGTTTTGACCCCGGTTTTATCCGACATGGTGGTTAAGTCAGCATGGGACCCATATATCAGGTGCCATATCAGCAGGTTCTCTTCCCCGTCCTCTCCCTTCCTACTCTCTCTCTCTTTCTCTTCTCTTCCGACAAGCCGGCCGGCGGCTGGGGCAAAGGCCGCCGGGGCGAGGCGGGAGAGGAGGATGAGGCGGACGACGAGGCGGCGGCTGCGATGCGGGAGAAGGCGAGGGCGGCAGCGGCTGCGACGACGAGACGGCGGCTGCGATGCAGGAGAAGACTACGGCTATGGCGACGGCGGCTGCGATGCGGGATAAGGCGAGGGCGATAAAAACTTTCTAGATTATAACATTTTCTAAACAACAAATATTAATAACACCTAAATTTAGCAAATCATTCAATGAGGGGAAAAAAAATCAGAAAATCAACCATCAGCCAAAATTAGCATGTGGCTTGCCTCCCCCACCTCCATTCCCCACCACCACCTTCCTCTCTCCATGCAGCACCCCCCACCTCCTCGCCTCCCACACATCGCTCCCGCGCATTCCCACCGCCCGCCTCCCTCCCTCCATCTGCCGCCGAGGAGTTCCCCGATCGCGCGCGCGCGTAGCGTAGCGTAGCCTAGGCGGCGGCGGCCGGGGCCGGAGGGGGGGACATGGCGCCGCAGAAGAGGACGACGCTGGTCTACAGCTTCGTGGCGCGCGGCGCCGTCGTGCTGGCCGACCACGCCGAGGTCTCCGGCAACTTCGCCTCCGTCGCCGCGCAGTGCCTCCAGAAGCTCCCCTCCACCAACAACCGCCACAGCTACAACTGCGACGGCCACACCTTCAACTACCATGTCCACGACGGATTCAGTAATGGCACCCCCCCCCCCCCCCCAAAAAAAAAAAAATCCATCCCCTTCTCGATTCTCGTATATTAAAAATTCCATGACTATCACTTGGTTAAATCGACAGTATGTGATTAGCGTCGTTTTGAAGGATGCGATTCTATTTCCTTCTCCATTTCGCTGCTCATGGTCATGGATATGCTTTAGGATTTGGCATTGGCTGGATCGTTGTGTCGTATCTGTTTAATCGATCGGATTTCTTCAACAATGCATGCATTTGCACCATTTGTCCCTTCAACTCGACTTATTGGGATCATGTTGGGCTATTCCATGGTGGATCTGGGTTAATGCCGTGTTTGTCGTGGTGCAATGTGGTGGATGGGCGTGTTCGGAGTGCAAGTGCATAGTTTGTCTTGTTTGATTGATGTTAGACTGATCAGTTTAATTAATGTGGTGTTTCGTTGTTACTTGATTAGAAATGCTCGTTTAACTATGTGGTTAAGATCTGGACAAGTGAGGTGTACAGTTCCTTTTCTTTTGTCAAAAAGAACTCTTCTTTTTTATAAGCATAATGTCGTTTCTAGAGGGTTTAATGTGCAACAATATATATTTCATTTATCTGATGTTGTGGATCTTCATCTTTTTTTGTTATTGAAAACCTACAGATCTTCAGTGTTTGTTCAAGTTAGGTTTTTTTTCCCCACTTAGCAATTTAGCATTACCTTTTCATTTGCACTTTGATAATTTGTTGGTACTCCCATTGCGATATTAGTTCCATAGCCTACGGTTTTTTGGAGAAAAGGCAAACCATAGCCTACTTTGTCCTTATATAAACATTACATGCCACGAATAAGTGTTATTTTTTTTTGTCTTTGAAAGGTACGCCTATTTTATTCATTGAGATTCATCGCATATAACCATAAGGAAAAAAAAAGATTCATCCCATATGTTCTTTGGTGTAAAATTTAATGTTAAAGAAAACCACATCTTTATTAATTATTGTTTTATTATTTTCTTTGGTGTTTAGTATAGATAAAACTAATTGAACAGCAAAGTTACTGCTATAGAATTGTTTCAATTTTGCTAGTTCCCATTTGACAATGCATTTGGTTTTCAGCATACTGTGTTGTTGCTACCGAGTCTGCTGGTCGGCAACTTCCAGTTGGCTTCATTGAGAGAGTAAAGGAAGATTTTTCCAAGAAATATAGTGGAGGAAAAGCAAAGAATGCTACCGCGAATAGCCTCAAGCGAGAATATGGGTATTTTCCTTTAAAAATTTGCTTGATGGCCTCTATGCAAAATTTTACTGAGTTATCATAATTTATATGGCTATATGATGGTGTGAGTGCCCTTAATTACAATCTGAATAAGCTAGTTATAAAGGATTTCTTTTATCAGGCCTAAACTTAAAGAACACATGAAGTACTGTGATGCGCACCCTGAGGAGATTGACAAGCTTGCCAAAGTGAAGGCTCAGGTTACAGAGGTCAAAGGAGTTATGATGCAAAACATTGAAAAGGTTAGTGTTCCCTTTACTGTCACCAATTGGACACTGGTCCATACAGCCTACAATGGTGGTTTTGAAGCCTTGGAAATGTGTTCTTCTCATCTGTTGCATCAGGTTTTAGATCGTGGTGAGAAAATTGAGCTGCTTGTCGACAAGACAGAGGATCTCCGCTCACAGGTTTCATCATTTGCTCTCACATTGAATCATAATCTTATTTCCTCTTAATTGCACAATATGTGGTCTATTGGACATGATGATATTCATTCTTTCATTTATAGGCACAAGACTTTAGAAAAGCGGGAACAAAGATTCGGCGAAAGATGTGGTGGGAGAATATGAAGATGAAGCTCATTGTTTTCGGCATTGTAGTTGCATTGATCCTCGTCATCATCTTGACGGTTTGCCGTGACTTGAACTGCTGGTAACACACAACACATATACGGCTCACCTCACCTAATATTTGCTATAGCCTTCAGTTCTGATAATGCTGAAGAAAGGGCACACATAAAAAAGGAGAAAGGGCGTGTTAGAGGGTTATTGTTTTGAAACAAAACTGTCACATAGGGAGTGCGAAATCACCATGAATCTATCAGCTTGATTGATGGTGTTGCTAGCTCATCAACTTTTATTTAGTTATTTCTGGACCCAAAGGCTCACAATATATAATAGAGCCCTCTCCTGTGCTTGTACAGGGATGTCCATATTCTTTCTACAATGTAATATTACTAGTATTCTTGTAATTCAGAAGAGGTAATTTTGCATGTTTGCTTCAATATATTTCGTACAGAGCTAATTGTCCAGGCCCATGCTCTTCTATATTTAACGACTGTTTGACTGCCACATAGCATCCTCCCTTTTTAACTTGAAACAGTTGCATCTTACTAGTATATGATATCAAGATATTTTTTTATTGCAACTATACAGTGAGAAGCCAATTCAAACTTTCTTAGGCAATAAAACGGACCTAATATTGTATAAAGAAATTTTATTTTATATTATAAGACGTTATGGTTTTGTTCTAAGTCAAACTTTCTTAAGTTTAACCAATCTTATAGAAAAATATGATAATGTTTTAAACACCAAAGTAATTTTATTAAATACACCACTAAATATATTTTTATAGTATATTTGTTTTGGGTTAAAAATGTTGCACCTTGATCAAAGTTGAAAAGTTTGACTAGAACAAACATTAATTGTAATATGGAGCAAATGACGTATTAAAGAAGATTTTCTAAAATAATATACACACTATTTTCATATACCCAGATAATATAATGCGTTAATACATACACCCTTTATATCATTAAAAAAATCCAACGCTACCAATGGATTTGGACATATGCATGTCCGGATTCATAGATATGATTAGACTTTTATCCTTCATCATAAAAACCAGATGATGCCCCGCGCTTTGCTGCGGGAACCCTATATGTTAAGTGTTGGAGAAATGATGAAATAATTTGTATTGAAATATTATGAAAATGATTTTAGTATGATGATTTAGCATGTGTATGTTTAGTTTAGAATGAAATAAATTATAGATATAATTATTATATGTTTGCATGTTGAGTTTTGTGTACTTATATGGTGTTTGGGAAGGAGGGACTAGACTTTAATCACTCTCACAAAAGTATAAGTCTCACTCTCACAAAAGTATAAGTCTCTCCCACAGAGACTAAAATTTTTGTGAGATCCTTCCCAAACACCACCTTAATGGGTTGATGTGGCATGTTTGCATGCAGATTTTAGGAGTGGCAATAAATACATTATACTTGTATGTTAAGCTTTAGGTGTTTAATGGGCATAAGCTTTATAGATAGAAAATATTTTCTTTTTTCCAACGGAAATATTGAATTGGGAAGAATACACCAGACATTTATGTACACATTTATATCCTTCACCAAGCCATGCACTTATCAACTCTACATAAGTACACAACAACACAACCAGAGTACAAAACATGCAACTGGTCACACACACATTATACTTCTCTATCTCACACTATTAATTTCACACACACACACTCACAAGAAAAAAAAACATCCATGCATGCTTAGCTTCATGCACCTGCAGCTAGTTCTCCCTATAAAGTTGAAGCCGTTGACACGTCGGATAGGTGCATGAAATTCTATATATCTACCCAACACTAGATGATGGACCTGCTAATTTAATTAACAATTTGCTACTACTCTTAATTAATTACCATCTTCTAGCAAGCTGCCATCTGCTCCCTGCAGACCGGAGTGATCTCCTCGAAGACCGGCAGCCTCCGGTTGCTCCTCCTGTACGGCGCCGCCCACTGCCGGACCACCACGTCTAGCAGCTCCACCATCTCGTCCTCGACGTCGCGGTCGTCGTCGTCGCTGCTGCTGCCGCCGCTGCTGTTGCTCCGGCCGTCGACCTCGCCGGTGATGCGGGCCATCAACTCCTCCACCTTGGCGAGGATCTTGCCGCCGGTGTGCGGGGCGCCGTGGTCGTCGTCGCGGGCGTGGTACCTCCCGGCGAGCACGCCGGCGAGGACGGCCTCGGCGTCGGCGGGGCGGCGCTGCTCGATGAGGCAGAGCGCGAGGTTGCAGGCCTTGTTGGCGTCCGGGTCGACCATCTGCGCCTTGCGGTACACCACCTCCGCCGCCATGAAATTCCCCTGCTGCATGTACGCCCACGCGAGGTTGCCCAGCACCCGCGACGTCTCCTGCTTCACGGAGACGTGGATCTTCCGCCCGTGCGACCTCGCCCGCTTCGTCGTCTTCCCGTGGAACGCCTCGCCCAGGTAGATCTTCCGCAGCTTCTGCTTCAGCAGCTCGATCTCCTCCTTCGTCCTCCCGCTCGCCTGCATCATCAACAATGTCATTTACTGAATAACAGAGGGGTCTGAACAATTAGATAAAGCTATAATCCTCTCTCCCATCTACGTATGGTAAAAGAATTCGGAGAATTTGTGGGGGTTCTCATGGTCTTCACGCTAATAGTGGGGGCTCGAGATTCCGCCATCCCTGTGCCGGATCCGCCCTGCAGCGGCCATTACTGCATGCCGGCGAGGTCGAGAGTGAGAGGATACCTTGTAGAGGTCGAGGAGGATGTTGTCGAGGGAGTCCTGAGACTGCTTGGGGCAGAGGTGGCGGAGCGACTTGATGGCGTCGATGGCGTCGGCGTGGTAGCCACGCTGCTTCATGACGACGGCCATGTCCTTGAGCGCGCTGTCCACCTTGTCGCCGGAGTTGATCGCCTTCCAGAACCACGCGATGGACGCGTCAAGATCCTTCTCCACCAGCTGAAAAGAAAGTGAACTTCGTTAGCTAGCTAGCTCCGAGGTGCGTTACCATGCATGCATGCATGCATGCAAAGCCGTTGTATATGGAAGTTCAGTCATATAGAACCACTAGGTGATACCTTATGCTTTTACTACACAAATAATAGATGAATATATGCTAAATATCATGAAATACTGGAAGTTGAAATGTTATGAAAATAATATGAGGAAGATGATTTAACATAATTATATAATATTTTATTCTAGATGATGTCTCATACTTGAATGAGATTTAAGATACTCTCTAGTACAATAATTGCTAGTAGATGTTGTTGTAATATACTTGTATAATAATCTTTATTATCTTCTAAAATTGCTAGTGAGTACTGACTAAATAGAAATTATAGATGTGCATGGTTCTAGAAATATTTATGGAAAAAATATTTTAAAGCTTTGACCTTATATAGTACTAATTTTCTAAGTATTAATAAGTAGATTCAATGTATGAAAATATCGTTGAGTTAAAGTGTATGCAATAATAGAAAATAGTGGCTGGTGTTGTTCGAAGATAGATCGATGTGCAAAACTAAATATTTTATTGATGACTAGAGGACATATAGGTCCTTTAATTTCAAAAAAGGACCGAGAATATGAAATATGTATCTAAAATATATTTTAATACCATTTTGTACCAGTTGGGAGTAGATTACAATGGGGTTGTTCGTTTCCGCTACTCTGCAGCTATACACAGCTGTAACAATAGTAGTAGCTATCAAAAATTTAACTACGGCTGCAGCCATAACAGCTGTCAGAGCTAGCACAAACGAACACCCCCAATATTAGATCTGCTGAGGTTAGCCAACCTGGCGAAATCCATTAATTGGTAAATTGTAGTAAAGACTGTACCATATGGCATGTATATATATGGAGTACGTTATAAAATTAATTATTGTATTCTTACGCCGTGTAATGTTCTTTATTTTTTTCCTCTGCATATTCTCATCGAAATTTAAGCAGTAATAACCAAATAAACAACTTAGCCAGATCTTCCTCTCAAAAAAAAGTTAGCAAATTAAGGAATTCGTTCGAAAAAAGAAATAAGCGAGCAAGAACCATTAAGGCCTTTGTACCAAGTCTCGGTCCTAACTAGATCCTGATTAATTACCTAACCTAATAAAGCATCTACTAATATATAAATAAATGCATATATAGAGAGAGCTATAATTTCCCCATGGACGCGGCGGCGCCAGCCATGAACGCCGGCGAGAGAAAACAGAGCTTATATATACCTGGTAGTGCTTGGCCCGAGCGTACGGCCCGTCGCCGGCCGGGATCTTGTACGCGACGTGCGCCGCCGCCGAGGGGCTCGACGGCCGCGCCACGCCGACGACCAGCTGATCCATCGACGTGCTACGAATTAGGCAATGGATATGATCGATTATTCGATTCGCTTCGCTTTGAACAGCGTACGGCTTCGAGAGCGCGACGGCCGGCGAGGGGAGGGGGAGCTGTCCCTGTAATATACCTACCAGCAAGATAGCTAGTCGAGGAGAGTGGGGGGGGGGGGGGGGGGGGAAGGGAGAACGAGAGTAGCTCGTCTAGCCAGTCTATCATGACGATGGATCTGGCCGTGCGAAGCACCTGGACGGAGAGGCGTCCAGGTTCGGATGTACTGGAGCAGTGGACTCGATGGACGCCTAGACGGGCATGTTCATCGGGTCGTGTCCGGTAGCTGGCCAACGGTGTTCTCCTTCGGTAAAAAAAAAAAAAACCGAAATAAGGATACGACACCACCACCTATAACAACGAATCTGGATAATTTTTTATCTATATTCGTTTAAGTGATATCGAATTCTTATTTATATTAATTTTTTTAATAGGGAGTACTAGTGTGACTGTAGCTTAGCTAACCCGTTCGCGTGACGGGGATCCAGGATGATGGGCGTTGTGCTGTGCAAGCGGAAATGGTCTACACCTGGTTTCGTGTAGCCGCACGGCCCATGGAATTGCTCGGCACGTCAGCCCCATCTCTCTGCTCCTCTCTCTCTCCACGTGGAGCAACTCGGCCTCTCGAAGCTAGTAATAAACAACCAATGAAAATTCAGAAAACTTTCTACCGTCCTAAAATATAATAACCAGGATATTTCCTAAGGATTATTAATCTGAACATTGTCTAGATTCATAGTGTGTTTCATTTAATTTTAAGTTTTTAGAAACAGAGGGAGTACTTCTTTAGTTTCTAGCTACTATATTATTTTGTTTTCTGTATTTTGTAGGGGTGACTTTTAAATTCCATCACTCCCTAAAATAAAAACTTCTAATACGAATATAGACATAGCCTATATATAGATTTATTACTGGAGGTTGTTTCTTAACCTAGCTAGAATTTTTTTACAAAAGGGTGTAGATCCAGACTATAGATGAGATTCTAAAAGGAATTATAGGTTCCGTTTAAGGATATAGAAACAACCGGTTGACAGTCAGTTTCTAGGAATATGGAGAAACTGCTAAACTCAACTTTTGACTTATAGTTTATTTTATGGATTCTATAACTTCAGTTTCTCAGAATCCTAATGAAAAACTGAAATGTTTGGAGAACTTTTGATTATGAAAAACAGCAGCTTGCAGAACCTCCCAAACAGATCTTATAGCTGCCAAAGCCCCATAATAGGCATATTTATCACTCAATAGTGAGTAGCTTAGAACTATACCACTCAGGCCCTTTTTAGATCCCTGGCAAATTTTAGAGCCTGCCACATCGAATATTTAGACACATGCATAAAATATTAAATATAAACGAAAAAAATAACTAATTTCACATATTACGTGTAAATTGCGAGACGAATCTTTTAAGCCTAATTGCGCTATGATTTGATAATGTGGTGCTACAGTAAATATTTGCTAATGACGGATTAATTAGGCTCAATAAATTCGTCTCGCGGTTTACAAGCGGATTCTATAATTTGTTTTGATATTAGATTACATTTAATACTTTTAAATGTGTGTCTGTATATCCGATGTTACACGCTAAAACTTTATACCCCTGGAGCTAAACACAACTTCAATAGTCAAGGTTCCTATGATGATGTGTTTAAAGATATATGCCCATTCTTTTTCTCCAACAAAAGTTGGATGACAATTTTGATATTAATAGCACACTTTTCAAATTGCTAAATGGTGCGTTTCGTGCAAAAACTTTTTATATGGAAGTTGCTCTAAAATATCAGATAAATATTTTTTTCAAGTTTATAATAATTAAAACTTAATTAATCATACGTTAATACCACATTGTTTTGTGTAAAACAATTAATCTTCATCTTCATCCTTATCTACATGAGTTTCATCTTTATCTCAACAGTGAGCAGTTCTTAGTTTGATAGTATAATCCTTATTCTTAGAGTTGTAGTGATTTTTCTTTTCTTTTTTGTTCAATATTTAATCATGTGATCTTTTATTTTTATATTCACTAGAAAAAATACCCGTGCATTACAACGGATAAAGGCTATTTTAATTTTATTATTGTTATATGGTTTAGTTGAGAGGAAATTTACTGTAGAAATTCGCTTGGATAAATTTTTTTTTTTAGAAAATCATGAGCTGCAATTAGAAGTCTTTTATGTATTTCCAAAAGCAAACGAACTTAAAAATCGACTCAAATACGGATATGTATTTTCAAAAACGAACGAAATTAAAAACTGACTCATACACGGATGACGTACCAAAGTACCGATAAAAACATCTTCAATTTTTATAATAGTAGAGATTTTTTTTATACGACTGCTCCTATATTTCCAAAAAACAAACGAACTTAAAACCCGACTCAAATACAGATCTGTATTTCCAAAAGCGAACGAACTTAAAAGCCGACTCAAACACGGATGGCGTACCAATGTACCGGCAAAAACATCTTCAATCTTCATAATAGTTTTATTGTGAGAATTCACTTGATATATATTTTTCTAGAAAATCATGAGCTGCAATTAAATGTCAAATCATCTCAACTTAGCATGCAAGTTTCTTTAAAGAGATTTCTCATATGACTCCTCCTGTATTTTGAAAAGTGAACGACTTTAAAACCTGACTCAAATGCATGTATGTTTTTCCAAAACAAAAGCGAACGAACTTAAAACCTGACTCAAATGCATGTCTGTTTTTCTAAAAGCGAACGAACTTAAAAACCGACTCATACTTCAAAAGCGAACGAATTTAAAAACCGACTCATACTTCAAAAGCGAACGAACTTAAAAACCGACTCATACATGGATGACGTACCAAACTACCAGCAAAAACATTTCAATTTTTATAATAGTAGAGATGTAAATATGGATTATCTTTTATTTTCTATAGAATTTAACTATTGGATAAAGCCTGTAGTGTTACTCCTAAAAATAGTATGTGCATCAAATGGGGTGATTTTTTATTCAGATAGAAATTATACCGCATGATAACCATTTTTAAATGTCAATCAAACACAGTGACGTAGAACTGCAAACAACCCCGTCCAAACCCATCTTGAGAAATGTTTGAAGGGACATGTTGAGGAACTATTGATTTTCTTTAGATGATGACCTAATGATTTTGATCGTGAAGTACTCCTGCAACAAACTTAATAATTCAACGGAAATTCTGTTCTGCTTTTCCATGAACAAATGCAGAATTCATTTTCTTCCGGTTGAGAAGAGTCTGACTGGTGCACTCCAAGGAGCTTCACATCAAACACGAAACTCAGAAGCTGGAGGAAGATAGACAAGCTATTCAAAAATGCACTCTTAAATACAGGAAAATATGTCCAAGGTAAAACTTAACATTCTTGTCAAAATCCCACAGAATCGAAGCAATGGCAGACACCATTGATGATTATAGCGAAAAGCTGGGAAGACTAGTCGATTGATCACAAAGAAACAGCTAGGGTTCCGTCCTATGGAGAACGCATCCACAGTTTTTGTTCTTCATACAGCACCCAACGACCGGGCTGGCACATCCAACTAAAGTCGATCTAATAGTTTTGGTTGCCTCGCCCACGGCCACCGCCCATTCGTCCACGGCCCCGGGCATAGCCTCTGCCGCCTGGGCTACCTCCACCTCTGCCACCACGTTCATATGCCGGACCTGAACGTTCATATCCTCCTGGACCTGAAATAACAGTTTCCACAATTGGATGTTTTATGCCGCTGCAAGATGACGAAACGTCTCCTATTCTTTGGTACAAACAAAAACAGATACCACTAAAGTGAAGGTAAAGCAGATAACTTTGGAAATGAAATGCCCCTGGATAATTTAGAAAAGGCTCAACATATTATATCATTTTCCACTCATTTCAAGTACCTTCATGTAATTGTGTTACATGACAGACACTGTTGCTATTTTAAGTTCAGCGTGTGTTAAAAATTGTTACTCCGTTCAAATATATGGGAGCCAAGAAGGTGGATTTGAACTTACGGTACAAGAAGTAAATTGTGAAGACTTTATTCTTAGTAAACCAGCATGTAAATAATTATCAGATTCCGATTAAAACAATGTAAAACATAATAGCTAGTTCAGAAGAACACTAGTACCTCTGACATATGAGAGGCATGAACACAGAACAGCTTACTTGGTCATGAATAAAATAAGGTGTCAATTATTAAATAGTACATACCACCATATCCCCAGTTGCCTCTTCCACGGCCCCCGCCACCACCACCACCTCTGTTCCGGTTGTAGTTCCAGCCACCATTTTCTGAAAAGATAAATGGTTACTATAAATGATTGCAAACAATTTCAGGACACCAAATTCCTGATTGAGAGATTATCTCATAATAAACATTTCTAGCATATCATCATATTACTTACCATATCCTCCATATCCACCTTGGTTGTAACCATACCCTCCATAACCACCTTGATTGTGGCCATATCCTCCCTGGTTGCCATACCCCCCTTGGTGTCCATATCCACCCTGGTGTCCATATCCACCATAACCTCCTTGGTTGTTATCATATCCACCATACCCTCCACCATAGCCTCCCCTACCACCCCAACCCCTTCCTCTTCCTCTGCCTCTACCACGGCCGCGCCCATATGAATCTCCAATACAAAAGGAACAAGTTAGCAATCCGGCTTATAATGGTACGAAAATACTTCTATTAGTGAAAAGATATTCACCTGTTTGAACTTGGCTTGGCCTAGACTGGTGCTGTTGTTGTTGATATTGCTGGGTTTGTTGGTATCTTTGTGGCTTAATTGGCTCTGCATGCAAGGGAGCTTGATACCTTCAAAAGGACGATAAAATGTTGCTACATTCATTCAGAACTATGGTAGTGTGATTATTTGAATTGAACACTGAGGAGATAAGAGCAAATCAAACAAACCCAGCTGAACTCTTGTTAAGCTCCTTCGGTGACAGGGAAATTGATATCATTGAAACATGACGAGTCATCTCCAATCTGCACAAGATAACACTAATAAATAACATAAAGAAAAAGTGTAGTCCAAGAATATACTGACAGATGAAATTGTTCTCAGAAACTTAACGGTACAAGGCCTTCCTCAATGGGTTCCCATACATCAGTAATACTGACTGAACTAATTGATGTATCTTGATGCAACCCAGGGATCCGTTTCTGCAGTTGCCAGTTAGATGTGAGTTAATTGCTCAACAGTTCAAATATTGGTACCTAAAGCAAGAGAGATAACAATAGGCTAACCTTTATGATCTCAGCAATAGCCACTGTCTTGCTGATAGCCTGTCCCATAGCCTTCAACACTATTTCTTTCACGCGCTTTTCCTGCTACAAACAGGTTATAAGATTCATAGCATGCACATACCAGAGTACATAAACGGTGACAATTGGTAGATGCCTCAGTACAAATGGCATAACACTTCACACGAAAATAAGTGAATAGTGATACTGCAAAATGTTGTCAAAATGGGTTATATTTCCAGCAGTTGTTACATAACAGCTCAGATTTGTACTGGTTAAGTGGTTATAAATAGAACAATCATGTGGACTACCTGATGAATATAGACACTGCTAAAAAGAAATATGGATTACAAGAATGCATCTTCTGCATTCATATTTTAATAAAAATGCTGTGAACCCCCCAGTCCATAAAAACAGGAGATACATTGGTCAAGGTATGTCAGCCACAAACATCAGTCTCGTCGTGCAGCAGATCCTCGGTGACAGCAATAGAGCTAGCATGGGCATAGGGCTGAGAAGGAAACAAAACAGTCAACTTGGAGACTGGGGGTTGAAGAGGAGGATCCAATCGGGCAAAATGCAAATACACTTATCACAGGGTGGCAAAGGGCCAGCAGGGATACAGTTTGATGTGCCTGCAGAAAGAAAGGACAGGGAACTGTTTCCTAGTTTGCTCTTCTATAATTTGAAATCGGTGTGGAGCGCAGGTGCAGGAGCTGAATTAGGAAATCATTTTTTTTACGATGAGAGCTAAACTTTGGCACTAAATCGTGATTGAAGGATAATACCCGTGTGACAATCCACTATATTCAATATCAGAATTATAGGAACAACCAGCTCTTTAAAGAGGCATTAAAAGTTGCGCTAGTTTGCATATTAAACATAAAACTTGTATATTGCGCTCAACTTAAATCGGGCATGCATAAACGGTAGTATCAGAGAGTTCTTGTCGTCAATTGGCACTTGGCACATGGCACATTAATAACAAGAGTATCTCAAAAATTTAACTCAAGCCACAGCAAGAGAAATCCCATGTGCCTACTATAGCCGTGCAGAAAAACAGCTCCCTCATCACTCATTGCTATGTGAGTACAAAGGTCACAGCCCTGCTACCTAACTGTTGAAAAACAATGCATTGCACGGCACCAATATAATCCCCATATGCTGTTCCTTTAGGCATTGACGCAACAAAAAAGAACTCATCTTTAATATCTTTCATGTTTTTGCACATCGAAACTAACAGAGGCAGGAACTTTGTGAGCTCAACACAACCCTTATCACCAAGATTCCAATCAGCAACTCAGCAGCAGCACACAATGCACCAAATCCACACCTCGTCTTACTCACGCGCCTAACTCATGCTTCCCCAAATATATTCCAAGCCGTAGAGTGCACCACACCAACGGGCATTCGCCTCATCCCAAAAATTACTACTACTACCTTTTTTTCTTACAAGGTACAGCAAGATCTAACCGGAGAACCCGCTACTAGGCGCGGGGCACCCGCAAGAGGGGGGCATCGCGGGAGCGAAGCAGGAAGAGCGGCGGCTGGGGGGAGGGGGCTCGCTGTACCTGGAGGAGGGAGGTGGCGTAGGTGACGTAGTTGCGGATGAGGCCCTGGGTGGTGATGCGGATTTCGTTCTCGCTGATGACGGCGGCCTCGGGCCGCGGCTTCTCCACCCGCTGGTACCGATCCATGGCTACTCCCTCCCTCCGGCGAACCCCCGGCGATGCGGCTCCTGCGGCGGCGGCGGCGCTGCTGTTGTCGAAGGGGAGAGGGGAGCGGCTGAGGCGGTTTGGGTGAGGCTTAAAACCCTAGAAATAGGGGGGAGTGGAGGGAGTTAGGGTTTAACGGCATCCGCGGGTGGCAGCCGCAACGGATGGAGAGGGATCACCCGGCTGCCTCGAGATTCGTACTTTTATTTTTTTTAATTTTCTTTTAGTACTATAAGGCTGTTTTTGAGAGAGAGAGAGGTGATTGAGAAGATTGGGAATATACACAAAACGAGTTGAGCCATTAGCGTATGATTAATTGGGTATTAACTATTTTAAACTTCAAAAATGGATTAATATGATTTTTAAAACAACTTTTATATAGAAAATTTTTATAAAAAACACACCATTTAGTAGTTTGAAAAGCGTACGCGCGGAAAACGAAACAAACAAACTCCCTTTTGTTCTAACGCAGCCTAAGTCTCGCTTTGTTTGGCTTTGGAATATTGTTATGCTTCTCTATGGTTATTAGGATAATGATGATTAGTGTTAAATCGAGAATTGCCTTTTTCAGGACACGTTTTGGCATCCGGTTGATGCTTTATTGACTGATAGTGCTTCAATGGAAATATGGAATTTCTCCTTTTCTTTAAAGCTCCCGTGTAAATAAGTTTTTTTAGGTTTTCAATAGATTAGGTCACCTTTTCATTGAAAAATAGCATGTGCATTCATATATTTCTCTTATGCCAAGTTGCCAACTGATGTTCTCATTGGTTACTTACATTGAATATAACTCGCATGTGGCATTAAGGGTATTGCCATAAAATATTATCCGTGGCAAACTATTTATTATTTTTGGATAGTATCATTCGCGGACCATCCTTACCACGAATTTAAAAATATGATTACTCAGAAAACGAACTTTATATGACAACATTGTTTATACTACTTATTCCAAGTTGCTATTTGTTGTATTTATAATATAATATGTATTAATATCTAAACCATAATCCATTCTTATAAATAACACCATCATCCATCGACCTTCGAAGGTGTTTTATTTAAAAATACAAATAACTAGGTTAGTACATTAACATTTGCACAATGAAACAAATAGAAGAATGACAATCACATAGGCGAGGTTGGACTGGGCGACAAAGGGACCCAGAGTGAACTTACTCCGTTCTCAAACGATAAACTCAAAGCCCATCAACTGTTCGGTCCGCTAGGCCCACTGGCCCACGCGGGCCAGTGCCCCCAGCTCAACCAAAAACCAAGGCCCAACCAGCGTCATGTACCGTACGCTCCTACCGTCCTACCCGGCGCCGCCATTTCGAATCTTCCGAAACACGCGTCGACGTCACACTCGACACATGGGTCCCACGTTTATAAACACCCTCTCGCTCTCACTCTCACTGACGAAGCGGCCCCACAAAATCATCTCGTCGTCTCCGACCATCCATCATTATCCTCCGTCGCCGAAGTGGGGGCTCGATCGTCTCCGCCGCCGTCGCACGGGCATGGCTCGTCTCGTCCTCCTCGCCGTACTACCTCTCCTCCTCCTCTTCGTCGCCGGCGACTCGTACGCCACCGCCGCCGGCGGCGGCGGCGGGGGAGGAGGACGGCGATTCGACGCCTCCCGCGCCGTCGATGTCTCGTGGCGCCCCAGGTAAATAATGAATCAACCGCCGCGAATCTCTGGCGGCGGCGACTTGCGGTTGATCTCTCTGTTGCGTGGGGGTTGGCAGAGCGTTCCTGTACGAGGGGTTCCTGTCGGATGCGGAGTGCGACCACCTCATCTCGCTCGTAAGTTGGGATCAAATCAAATCCTCTATTCTTGGGAAATCTGTGTTGGTGTGTTCACTGAGTTGGTGCGTCTTGTGTGTGTGTGAATCGCGAAGGCGAAGCAGGGTAAGATGGAGAAGTCGACGGTGGTGGACGGCGAGTCGGGGGAGAGCGTGACGAGCAAGGTGAGGACCAGCTCCGGCATGTTCCTCGACAAGAAGCAGGTGAGGCTACCAGGGTTGGTGTAAAGCTGGAAAATCCATGTCCTTGTCGCGATGTCGCTTGTCCTACATAAGCATCCAAATAATCCAAGTCTTTGTAAAGCCAGGATTCCTTTTGAGACGTAAGAATTTTATAGGAGTTTTAGAGCGATCAGTCCAATTCATATAAAAGAATGTTTTTCATGTGGTATGCCATGTAGATAAGATCATGGTTAAACGTGTTTTGGACCGCGATGATACAATAATCCAAGCTTAGAGACATCGATATGAGCTTTGTAAGTTCGTGGGTCTAGATGAAATATGTTTAAAACTTTCAGTAGCATTGGTGTGATTAATTCTACATAAAATTGATCCCTAGTTCCTTCTTTCCAAGTGATCCCAAGGTCCCCATTTGGATCATATGATTTTCTCTTTTCTGAATCGTAGTAACCGGAAAATTCTCTGCATGGCGCATGCCTACTGAATTTTCTGCTTACAGACTTGCAGTGATTTGCCAGCACATCTGTGATCTGTCGTAGTTAAAATTGCTTCTGACCCCTCAAATTTTTTTATTTATCTGAAGGATGAAGTTGTTGCAAGAATAGAGGAGAGGATTGCGGCTTGGACCATGCTTCCAACAGGTATGGTGCAGGTGCACTGAGCACTGTAAAACTGCTTAATTGGACCTTGCTCCCGATGTTCTGCAGAGTGCATCATCTTCTATTGTTTTGCCAATTTTGCGATTCTCAAACTGTCAGAAAACGGTGAATCGATGCAAATACTACGTTACGGGCAAGGTGAGAAATACGAGCCACACTTTGATTACATTAGCGGACGGCAAGGCTCAACTCGTGAAGGTGACCGGGTTGCCACTGTGCTCATGTACCTGTCCAATGTCAAGATGGGTGGTGAGACCATCTTCCCTGATTGAGAGGTACTCTCTCCACCCAAAAAAACACCTTTTGAAATGAATTTAGATTAGCGTTTGTCCAGATTCATTCTCGGAAGTTAGTTTTTCCTGGAGCGGTGGGTGTAATTTACACCTTTTTACCATTGTTTGATTTTGTTACTAGAATGAAATGATTGCAACTACTACAGATTCTCTTCTCCCACAGGCTAGGTTGTCACAGCCTAAAGACGAGACATGGTCCGACTGCGCAGAACAGGGCTTCGCAGGTATGGTTGACACTTGCCAAGGCAGACAAAAAATCTGTTACAAATTGCAATGCATTCGCTACGAGCAACTCCAGCAGAGATCATTTCTTGCGGTCTTTATGCGATTTCTTGAATAAACTGGTAGCTCGGCATACACAGACAGTACCCTCCATGGCAACAGCTGGGCTCATTATGCACTTTTGATTTATTCACTTGCAACAATGCTTGGATTTTGTTTGGCAGTGAAACCTGCCAAAGGCAGTGCTGTGCTGTTCTTCAGTCTCCACCCCAACGCGACGTTGGACACAGACAGCCTGCACGGAAGCTGCCCTGTCATAGAAGGCGAGAAGGTGGTCGGCGACGAAGTGGATTCATGTGAGATCCTACAGCTATCGCCGGAGATCCGCCGGCAAGTGCGAGGATGAACATGTTCTCTGCTCCAGCTGGGCTGCCGCAGGAGAGTGTGCCAAGAACCCCGGTTACATGGTCGGCACCAGTGACTCCCCCCCTGGCTTCTGCCGGAAGAGTTGCAACGTATGTACAAAGTAGTTTCATACTACTAATTGACTAATAATCACAATAAACAAGTAATTATTTTTCAAAAAAAATACAGTACAAAAATGAACGTTCACAACGCACGCACCCTACCAATATGATCGCTTTCAAAAGATCGGACCGATATATCTTAATATTGACGAAGATACCACTAAAAAAATAAATAATCGAGCACTCATATTAAGTTTGAAACCTAAAACCAAGTGAATTGGTTCCACCACAAGAAACATATCTAATTGAGCTACACTCTCATATATACTTCTCTTCCTATAAATTTGTACTATTCTTACAAGAAATTTAGGTTTGTGTCATTGTGTGAGTTGTGAGTACTCTTCTCTGGGAATTTTTGATGAAAAATATGGCGCCATAGATACAGCTACACCCTTCTTCTAGGAGTTGTACTATTTTTCAAGTGGTTGTAGCTATATTTATTACGTCATATTTTTCATCAAAAAATAGTCGGCATGTATTTACATTGTAAGTTCCTAAATTACATATGTAATTTTAGTGTATTTACAATGTAAGTCTCAAAATTACATATGTAAGTACTAAAATTACATATGTAAATTCGAAAATTACATACTAATTACATATGTAAGTGGAGTGTAAATGAGGTGTAACTACTGTGTAAGTGGCTGAAAAAAATCGACTGTAGCATATGGCGCCATATTTCTAGCAACTCCGTTTCAAGTTGACGGGGTGTTATCAAATCTAAGTTTAAGGTCAACTCTAAGTTGAGAGGGTTTAAGGTCCAAGCCCAACTATCCGTTTTTTCGAAAGAGAAAAAAAGTCAAGCCCAATTGTTCGGTCCACTGGGCCCTACTGACAGAGCGCCGCCATTTCGGAGCTTCCGGAGCACGCGTCGACGACGCACTCGACACGTGGGCCCCACGGTATAAACACCCTCTCACTCTCACTGGCGCGTCGGCCCCACAGATCAACCTCATCGTCTCCGACCCCCCTCCGCCGCCCAAGGGAGCTAGGCCGGCGGCGCTCGTCTCTGCCGCCGCCGCCGTCGCACGGGCATGGCTCGTCTCGTCCTCCTCGTCGTCCTACTGCTTCTCCTCTCCGTCACCGGCGAGACGTCCGCCACCGGCGGTGGCGGGGAAGGCGGGCGATTCGACGCCTCCCGCACAGTCGATGTCTCGTGGAGCCCCAGGTAAATTAATCGACCGCCGCGAATCTCTGGGCTCAGGTGCGGCGGCGAGCCGGCGGCTTTCCGTTGATCTCTCCATTCTGTGAGGTGGCAGGGTGTTCCTGTACGAGGGGTTCCTGTCGGATGTGGAGTGCGAACACCTCATCGCGCTGGTAGGTTGCGCTCAAATCAAATCCCCTCTTGGGAAATCTGATACGTGCGTTCATTGAGTTGTTATTTTTTCTATTTTTGTGTGCGTGTGTGAATTGCGAAGGCGAAGCAGGGTAGGATGGAGAGGTCGACGGTGGTAAACGGCAAGTCGGGGGAGAGCGTGATGAGCAAGACGAGGACCAGCTCCGGCATGTTCCTCATCAGGAAACAGGTGAGGCTACGAGCGAGGGTCGCTTTAAGGCTGGAAAATAAGCAATGTCGCTTGTCCGGATCACATAAGCATCCAAACAATTTCAATTTTCAAGTCTTTGTTGAGCAAGGATTCATTTGAAACGTAAGAATTTCACAGGGGTTTTGGACTGATCATCGGTGCAATTCTTCCAAAATTCTTCATTCCAAAATGAGGTCAAAGTCCACATTTGGATTATAGGATTTTTCTTTTACCATGTGAATACGCAGGAATTAATCGAGTTTCATGTATTCCTAAAGGGCTAAAATAGCCAATGTTCTATGCACGTTGCATATACCTATACTGAATTTTCTGATTGCAGTGATTTGTCAGCACGCGTGTGGATAATAAAAATTGCTTCTGACCCTCTAATGTTTTATTTATCTGAAGGATGAAGTCGTTGCAAGAATAGAGGAGAGGATTGCTGCTTGGACCATGTTTCCAGCAGGTATGGTGCAAGGGCACAGAACACTGGAAAACTGCTTAATTGGACCTTGCTCCAAATGTTCTTCAGAGTGCATCACCTTCTATTGCTTTGCCCGTTTTGTGATTCTTGAACGGTCAGAAAACGGTGAATCTATGCAAATGCTACGTTATGGGCAAGGTGAGAAATACGAGCCACACTTTGATTACATTCGCGGACGGCAAGCCTCAGCTCGTGGAGGTCATCGGATTGCTACTGTGCTCATGTACCTGTCCAATGTCAAGATGGGTGGAGAGACCGTCTTCCCCGATGCAGAGGTATTTTACACCTTCTGGCCTCGTTTGATTTTGCTGCAAAATTTCATTACAATTTATCTTCTCCCCACAGGCTAGGTTATCACAGCCTAAAGACGAGACATGGTCCGACTGCGCAGAACAGGGCTTCGCAGGTATGGTTGACACTCGCAAACCAAAATTATATTTACAAATTTTGGTTTGTTCAAATGTAATAATGTGCAATTTCGAAGATAAGAGTTTGAACTCGCAACTGTTGGGCTCGTCATGCAGTTTTGCTTTTTGTCCGCTTGTAACAATGTTTGGATTTTGTTTGGCAGTGAAACCTACCAAAGGCAGTGCGGTGCTGTTCTTCAGCCTCTACCCCAACGCGACGTTCGACCCAGGCAGCCTGCACGGAAGCTGCCCTGTCATACAAGGCGAGAAGTGGTCGGCGACGAAATGGATCCATGTGAGATCCTACGACGAAAATGGCCGGAGATCCTCGGACAAATGCGAGGATCAACATGCTCTCTGCTCCAGCTGGGCTGCTGCTGGAGAGTGTGCCAAGAACCCCGGTTACATGGTCGGCACCAGTGAATCCCCTGGCTTCTGCCGGAAGAGTTGCAACGTATGTACATCGTAGTTTCAGACTACTAATCGACTAATAATCATAATAAATACATATTTTATTCTTACTCCTATCGTTTGATTCCATGTTTTCATATATACTTTTGTTCAAGAAACTATTTTGATCGCTCTTACATGTCACTCAAATGATTAAAAAATTTGAGAAGATATATTAATATGTGTTGTATCACTCCACAAACATGTAAGTTAAAATTCAACTTGTACATCTCACAACGAAAAAACAAATTTGACTGTAAATATACGTTAACTAGTTGTAGTTTATTTATTTTTTCGTTGCGAAATGCAGAAGTTGAACATGTTAATACATCTTTCCAATTTTTTTTAAAAAAAATTTCATAACTATATAATTGACATGCAAACACTCCCCTTTTATTCCTATAAATTTTTACTGTTCTTGCAAGAGGAGATCGGCAGATAGGCTGATCACTGAGCTGATTACTTGGCCTTCGCTGTCTTGACGGCGACAATGCCGTCGTTGCCGGCGAGTGCTTTCACTGGTAGAGAAATCATCTTTGGTCGGTCAACCCAAATCTACAATAATCTCGGTTCCATTAAAAACCAGGACTAAAAATGATTTTTAGTCCCGGTTAATAAGAGGAAGATCTTTACTCCCGGTTGTTGTTACCAACCGAGACTAAAAATCATCTTTAGTCCCGGTTGGAGTTACCAACCAGGACTAAAGATGATTTTTAGTCCCGGTTGATTCCATGTCAGGCCGTGTCAGGGCCCTATGATCTTTAGTCCCGGTTAGTAACACCAATCGGGACTAAAAACCTATTTTTAGTCCCGGTTGGTGTTACTAACCGGGAATAAAAATCAAAACACACTGTATAATCCATAGTACCGATCCTCTTTTTCCGTCCACACAACAAACTCCTTCCTCTATCTCTTTTTTTCCTCTCTAACTTCTTATCTCTTTCCTTATCTCTAACTCCCCTCCTCTCCTTCCTTTTTTCCTTCACCACAGTGCAGGCGGCCGGCGCGGAGGCGGCGATACGGGGGACGGCGCGGAGGCGGCCTGCGCGGCGGCGGCGGTGGGCGGCCGGCGCGGCGGCGCGGGGGGCCACGCGGCTGCGCCGGGGGCCGCGCGGAGGCGGCGGCTGCGGTGGGTGGCCGCTCGGCGGCGATCGGCGCGGTGCCGGCTGGCTGGCGCGGATGGGAGGAGGGGAGGCGGCAGTGGCCGCCGGCCGGATTTTTTTTTTAATGTGAATCTGTGATGTATTTTTGTGTGAGATGTGAATCTGTGATGTATTTTTTAGAACCTTGTGAGGTAATTTTTTTAACAGTTTGTGATGTATTTGGAGATGATTTGTTTGATGATTTGGAGATGTTCTGTAATATGTGATGATTTGGATATGGGAGGGGATGGTGTGAAATCAATATTCAATATTAAAAGCAGAAAAAAAAAGAAAAAATATCTTTAGTCCCGGTTGGTGTTAACAACCATCTTTAGTCCCGGTTGTTAACACCAACCGGGACAAAAGATTGATTTTTAGTCCCGGTTATTTGAACCAGGACTAAAGATAGCGATCTTTAGTCCCGAATTCGTCAACCGGGACTACAGGGGGGTTACGAACCGGGACTAAAAAGCATTTCTCCACCAGTGTTGGTACTTGTCCCTCCTGGTGAGGCTGGTGCACTCGTAGGAGAGCGTGGAAGCTATGAGCTTCTGGACATGGTTGGCCACGTCGTGGCTGGACTTGCCGCCGCTGCCGCCGCAGGTGAGCTCGGCCGGCAGCTTGTCGAGGAACGTGACGGTGTACTCCGGGAACAGGTTCATGAAGAAGTAGAACGGGTCCATCGCCTTGCAACCCCTCGCCGTCGTGCCGTGGAACATGCTCATCCAGCACTCCGTCGCCACCGGCACGATGTCGTCGGTGAGCTCGGCGAAGAGAGCCGAAAACCGCAGCAGGTAGGGCTCCCGGCAGGTGGTCCCCTGTTAAGAATCCAACAGAGAAATGGAACCAAATACTCAAGAACAGATAGATCGACGGGGATTCCTACAAATTCCTCCGTCGCCGCCGCCGCCGCCAATCACCTCCAGATTTTACTAATTTGATAGATGAACAAACAGAGTTTGCTTCTGTATTTAGCTCTCTTTCTCTCTCTCTCACCTGCTCTTGCTTACAGACAAGGCCTTGGGCCCTTACGCACACGCACGCTTACACGGCCCACTCCGGCCCAGATACTCTAGTATTAGCTTTCTTATGTCTTCTTCCCCTCCCGCCAGCATCCTCCTCCTTGGAGCTGTTGCCATCGCCCGGATCACCACTGCAGACATCCTGACATTCCCCCTTCCTTGAAAATTGGCTTGCCCTCAAGCCAAAGCTCGAGGAAAATGGGAATGAAGATCCTCCAAGTCCTCCCAAGTTGCTTCCTCAACTGGACAATCAGACCAATGAATTAAAGCTTGTTGAATGACAGCATTACCTGACTTACGCACCCGGGTATCCAGAACAGCCACAGGAACTTGCTTCTGCTCAAGTTGAACATGAAGATGTGCAGAAGAGAATCCCTTAAAACCCCGAGCTGATTTAAGTTGTGACACGTGAAAGACCGGATGAATAGAGCTCCCAGCAGGCAATGCTAAATGATAAGCAACTGCCCTCACCTTGTGCAGCACCTCATAAGGACCAAAATATTTGAAGCTCAATTTGTGATTGGCCCTGGCAGCCACAGAAGTCTGAACATACGGCTGTAACTTCAAATAAACCCAATCCCCCACAGCAAAAGTCCTGGGACTGCGTTTTTTATCAGCTTGAGCCGTCATAATTTGTTGTGCTCTGTTCAGATGTTGCTGCAGGAGTTGCATCATTAATCCTCTATCAGACAACCATTGCTGCACATTTGGAAGTTCACAGGAATTGACAGTGATGCCTAACTGATTTGGAGTGTGGCCATATAAGACCTCAAAAGGGGTTTTGCCAAGGGTGGAATGCTAACTGGTGTTGTACCAATACTCAGCCAAGTATAACCAAGTGGACCATTTAGAGGGGCAAGAGTGAGTAAAATAACGCAAGTAAGTTTCTAAACATTGATTCACCCGTTCTGTCTGGCCATCAGTTTGTGGATGGTAAGCCGTATGTCGAAACATGATTTCGGCAATAATAAAAGGGGGTAGCGCACGAGACCTAAAAGTGGATGGATGCAGAGACAAAGGATTTAGACAGGTTCAGGCCCTCTCAATGAGAGGTAATACCCTACTCCTGTTTGGGGATTTGAATCCGCCGAGTGTGTATTGATCTGACGATCAGGTTGTCTCATATCTGCCCCCTAGAGGGCCTCCTGCCCACCTTATATAGGATGGGGGGCAGGATTACAAGATAGAAACCTTAACCAATACGGTATCGGTTTCCTAAATCAGGACTTTAGGCCGTTCCGTAATATACAAGGAAACGTAACACCCAAGTCATGATCTGTTACATATTACATAGATATAAGTTATCCCCTATAACTAGTCGGATAACCATGCCGTGTGGGTATGGGGTACCCATAATCTCCACAGTAGCCCCTGAGACCTTCACAGTCGGAAAGATAACCTTCTCTCGAACTAGATTACTCCAAAGCCGAGTGCTTCAATCATCTTCGCCATGGTCTCCCGAGTACTTTTACCAAATCTGAAGACTGTGGAGGGCTGAAAAATATAGTCAGGTGCATCGACTAGATGCACCTAATAGGTGTAACCCCCGACTATGTGGTTAATCGAACAAACCAAACATATAGTCAAGGAATAAATAATCCAACCAACCGAGTGGTTTTTGATAATTATAGTCAACCAAGTGACTTGATACCAATATATAGCATATGCGGTGTGAATCCCCGAATAATATGATTCAAGTGATATACCGACTGCTTGGCAAAATATGATGCGTACAACCTAAAGTTGACAACATCTTTGAAAGTTCACATAACAAAACAATTATAAAGAAGCTTGAATGCTGTGAATAAAGAAATTTCCAAAGTATTGGGCATACGCCATGCGCACACTGCTTTAACAGATGTGCTTAAGTCCCTAAAAGACACATGGTTTCACCACACCTGGAAATATATGGCATATATGGTATAACATCCGAGTAAGTAAACTCATAAAGGATTTACCAACCGCCTGAAAAATGACCATAATATATAATCAGCCTAAGCCATAATATTGGTCAATAAAAATGCACACTTACGTGGCAAAAAGCAATGATATTGTATCCAATCAATTGCTTGATAAACCCAAACAGCACCTTGACTATATAAAAAAGCCAGCGGGGCAGCTATATAAAGCTTTACTGTTTGACACCTTTTAAGATGCATTGTACCAACTCCTAAAAAGTCGAGTAACTGCGGTATAAAAGGATTTTAAGGTATTGGGCACTTGATCACGCGCACTTTGGCCTAAGCGAAAAGTGCCTAAGTCCCTAAAAGAACGTGACAGGCCACACCTGAAAATATGGGCTGCAGACATATTAGGCCTAGGCCAAAACATATGCCCTCGACACCCTTTAAAGGATGACGCATGTAACATGCTCCCGAGTAATAAATCTTCCGGGTAATATAGACCAAGCGTAGCTCATATGAATAGCTTCTGATCTGAGTGATTATCCCTTATGGGATACTCCAAAATAGATATAAAAATTGAATCCCGACTGGCGCAAGTATTCGGTTGATAACCCTTACGGGGAATAATAAATAGTCCAGTCTTTGAGCATAGAAAATAGACCCATGATCATGAATTCATGTTGCATGTATCCGGAGCAAGTCCAAATTGAAGATATAATACTTGTATTTGAGCTAGTAAGCCCCTGAGCACGTAGCCACAATTGTTCATTGATGGTAGCTGACGCAGTTGGCATAGAGACAAGACGACCAATATAGAGATAATATTGCCCAACAGAGGTGGCAAAAATATTGGTGGTAGTGAAGATAGTGATACCAATCAAAAGTGATGAAGTTGCACAGCCGTGGAGGCGAAGAAACCAGTCGGCAACAGTCAGGTCAGCCATCAATGAAGATGAAGGCGCCCAGCGATAAAGTTGTGTAGCCATGGCAGCGAAATAATCAGTCGGTG